ACAGCTTTACAGAGTTAAACAAATGCAACATAAAGAAAGGCAACACATCTTTGCATCATTAAACAAATATTCCACAGCATAAACAAATGTAACACATCTTAAATAATACTCCACAACAGCAGGGAGAATACCCCTCTTGAAACTGTTTAAGAAGAATTTAACATTACTTCTCTGAACTTGGGGGTGGGGGGTGCCTTGAACTGTGTTGGGAGCCCTGGTTTCTGCTTGAGCTACATGCAATTTGGAAAGAACATTCTAGTCTTAGAGAGACAATGACAATGTTACAATAGCAATGTTGATAAAACTAGACAATCTGGATAGCCCCTTGACCCCATCAGCTTCTCCCTTAACCTCCATCCCACAGGATCTGAGACTCTCTAGGTAATGTCATACAGGTCCCTGAATTGTGATGTCATTGACATGACACTTGCTTTCATACTTACATTATCTGAGTTTTCTGTGCAATGTGCCTCTTGACAGCTACCCTGTCCTAGACACTGCCTTACTGATCCATCCAAGATTATTATAGTCCTAAATTCTCCTTCCCTATATCCCTACATTAAGTCCTCTGTAAAATGCCAATCTACTGGTTCTTTCTTGTTGTCACACTTGCTACCATATTGGTTCATGCCACCACATTGCTACTGACCATTACACTTCTCTTTCTTTCCTCCTCTGTTCTATTCTAAGGTCGAAGCCAAAGAGATCATACTCAAGATCAGTTCATACTTAAACTTCCCATCTTTCCCAAGCCCTGTAGCTGTTGTCATTTCCAGGGTCCCATGGCCACCCACCTGGAAGTCAGCATTCAGGCAAAATGTTCAGTCATCCCAGGTTTTAGCATCTCCAGGGGTGAATGTGAATGTGCCATCAGGGCTTGTCAGCCAGTAGAGGATGATTGGAAAAAGGAGAGAATGAGCACAATGATAGGATAATGCCCAAATTGGTAATAAACAACCCAGAGATTTTCCTGTCATAAAGGAATTTAAAGAATTCATAAATCTGTCCACCTCCATGGAAGCTGAGAGAGATTGTAGCATGACTAATTGTAGTAATTTGGCCATGCTTACATTGTAACCAAAATGTCTGGATTATACAGAGAGGAGCCTCTGGGGAAAGGGCAACCCAGCCCTTGAGCTGGAGAGTTCAGAGTGGAGGGAAGGGTAAACAGATAGGGGATGAGGGATGCTGGGAAAACCTGGCAGCTGGATTCAGCTTTGATGTGTTAAATAGGCACCATACCCTATTGTCCTGTGTTTGAAACAACATTTCATTCTTTTTGCTGATAATAAATGAATGATCAGGGACAATGAAATCCATCTATGACTACTTCCTATTGACACTGGGTGTGTTTTTTAGGGACCTAAAAAGTTGGAATGTTGACTAAATCCAGAAAGAGCAGGTGTTTCCCTTGTCCAGGTTCTTGAGGAACTTCAGGAGCTAGGGACAGTGCTAGGCAGCAGTTGGAGTAGTATGTAGTCTTTAATTGATTGGAAATCTGCTGAAACAGATACATATTAGCGCCAGACCATTAAGTTACTTTTTTTCTTTTAGGTGTACATTTGAGACTTCCAAGCCCATGGTCCTGGTAGCTGGGAGAAGTGAGTCCCAAGACCAGAAAAGAGAAGAATTCCCACTCAGTCCAGAACTGGCAAGTGGGAAAATAGGCTACTGACTAACAGTGCTTGTCTGGAGTCCATTTGAGAGGTGGATCTAAGTCCATTGCCTGAAGCTTAAAATAACCTTCTTAAGTTTACAAAAAGTTTCCGATATGTTAGCATTACCGTTGTTTGCAATCTGTATTGAAATTTACATTGTAGAAAAGTTAGTTAACTGGTATCTGTAAAACAGCTGGAATAGATTCATGACTTCCAATCCTAGCAAGAGCTGCAACTTTGGGTTAAAAATACGAACATTTTTTCCTCTGTCCAGAGACCCAGACATAGATTGGACAGGTCACTATGTGGTCCACACCGCCTATATGTCTGCCTAGGGGCAAGCACAGGGCATCTGATTAAACACTGAGTTCACCAGTGGGAGGGGGGGTGCATGTGCTGAACACACAGACATACAAAGACATGGAGGCATGAGAAAAAGTCATACATTGCAAGGGAGCGTGTTCAGTTTATTGGAGTATTAAAAGGACGTAATAAGCAAACTGATAAATTAAAGTTCATAAAAACCAAGTAGAAAATGAAATGTGTAAACACTATGAGAAACATAGGCTGCTGCTGAAATTTAGTCAGATGAAGATACATTGTATTTGGAATTCAGAAAGCCATCTTAAAATTTTTAAAAAAATTTTTTTGAGACTGGGTTTCTCTATGTAACAGCCCTAGCTGTTATGAAACTCTCTCTGTAGAGCAGGCTGGCCTAGAACTCACAGAGATTTGTCTGTCTCTGCCTCGTGAGTTCTGGGATTAAAGGAATGTGCCAGCATCAACTGGAAATTTTTAAGATTTTATTTTTTTATTTGTGTGTCCTTACATTTCTGTGGAGGTCAGAGTTCAACCCGCTGGAGTCTGTTCTTTTATCAATTACATAGATTTCAGGGATCATGGAGTCTGTTCTCTCCTTTTACCAATTATGTGAATTCTAGGGATCATGGAGTCTCTTCTCTACTTTTACCATGTGAATTTTAGGGATCAAGCTCAGACCACCAGGCTTGATGACAAAGGGATGAGCCACCCTGGAAGCCCTAAAGCAGTGTTTTAAAAGTAGGCTGTGCTCTTTCTAAAGGAAACTCTCTTGCATGTCTCAGTGTCCACTGATACTTTTAGTTACAAAGTTAGTGAAATGTCTACAAATGTGTAATAAGATGGCAACTGATTATTTTTGCAGTGTTTGGAAAGTCACCTATCTTAAAAAAGAAAGAAAAAGTAAAATAAATGTATATAATCTTAACCAAACTACAAACCAAATTACTGTTTGACTGAACATGTCTTAATGCAATGATGTTTTACTTTAGTAAAATTGTCACACAGCACATACAAGTGGTATTACTTTGATGTAGTTTAATTTGACTATGAAAGAAAAAGGAGAAAAGGGGATATAGGAAGCACCGCTAGTGGATTTATTTAGATGGCATCATCTCGAATATTCCCCAAGAGTCAAAGAGAAACTCCTTTTAAATTACACTGTAGCTGTAGAACACATTTAGCCAAACTATACTTCCAAGATGTGAAAATCTCAGAAAACAGTTTCAGTTACTACAGCCACAAGAACTTAAACTTCTTGTATTTCTGTCTCTATACTAACCTAAAACTGCCCAGCTTAAACATACTGTGAAAAAAAGCTCTGCCACATATTTCAATGCTTGCAATTAGCATTTGAGTTTATGACTCAATTGCTACTATCCTAATTATTTTCTACTGACATAAGAAAGCAAAGATAGACTCCTTTGTTGTTTTTGTGCACCTCCCCAACATTTACAACTGAACAAAAGCTAAAGTATTCAAGGGGTTCTCAAAAAGGAGCTGTTTTGTTTTGTTTGCTTGTGTATATATGTATGGTATTTGGACATATGTGTGCCAGTTAGCAAGTGTATGGATACACGAGTTTGCAGGTGCACAGGCATGTAGTGTGCACCTGTGCACCTGCCAGTGGAAGCCAGAGATTTACATCAGGTATCTTTGTAAGCATTTCGATGGATCAGATGGGATGGACAGGGATGGATTATGGCACTCGGGAGCCAGAGAATACTAAGTGTTACAGCTTAGATGGGAAGGTGTTCTGACACTCCAGAGCCAAGGAGTACCACAGGTCACAGAAGAGCATAGCAGTTTACAGCCTTGCTTCAGGGAAAGGCTGCCCCAATGTATCAGCTCTGCTCTGGCAGGAGAGGGTTTCCCGGGCGATGTTGCAGTTCAGCTCCATTCCCTGCAGAAAGTGTAACAACTTCAGTTCGCCAGGGGCAGGTTTACCCCAGCGAAAAGTGTTACAGTCCTGCTCTACTCTGGTCTGCTCTGCTCTACTTAGGGTCCTCTCTGCTCCTACGAAAGATTTCACACAAACCTCATTCAAGAGGCTTATTGGGAGGGAAGAATCCAGGAGAATGGCTGCCTTGGCCAGAGTGACAGAGGACAGCCAGGTAGCACAAATAGTCAAAAGCTGAACAGACATGGGGTTTATATAGGACTTCTTGGGGGGTGGCGCTTCCAGGTTGGGAATTGGTTAGGTTTTAATCCCTGAGTTTAGGATGGCTTGATCTCCTATTCAGGGTTTGGTTAGTTTTCTGCACAGAGTTAGGGTCAGATTTGGCTCTGGTTTCAAGGCCAAAGTGTGTTTCTTTCTCTGGTCCTTTTTAGCCTTTTGGCTCTAGTTTTAGGATCAGGGTGCATTTCTTTCACTGGCTCTGATTCCAGGGACAAAGTGTGTTCCTTTGGCATTGGTTTCAGGACCAGAGTGCATTTCTTTGGTTCTGGTTGCAGGGCCAAAGTGTGTTTCTTTGACCCTGCTCAGGGTGTGTTTCTTTGGCTGGACCCTTTCCCCGCAATCTTGCCTAATGACACTTCACTTACTTTTTGAGTCAGGGTCTCTGGCTGTACCTGGAGCTGTCAAGCAAGTTAAGCAGGCCCGCTTGGCTGGTGGATTCAGTATGAGCCTCCAAGAGATGGAGTTACTTCCAGGCAGCTGCCACTGGGTGAGAGGATTTCTTCCTATGCCCTTCCATAGCTATGAACCCAGTCCTTACTTAACCAAATCAAATAATAATGGTTGTTCAGTCCTTATTTACTGTTACATATATTTATTAAACACGCTGTTCTAAGACTTTCTTTTAAACCGTGATAAAAGAGAGAGGGCTTTCTTTAATTCTGCGTAATTTTTAAAAAAGTATTTATTTTTCACTGGTAATAACAGAAGAAAGAAAAGCAGAACAAGAACGCATTCGGGTGATTTGACCCCTTCGGGTCTACGTAGGAGGCCTCCAAGGCTGGCCCCGGCATTATCCACGCTCCGCTAAGGCGGAAGCTCGCTAGGCTCCGCCCACACGCGGACTGGCCAATGAGACGCCACTCGGGCCGCGCGCGCAGGGTATCATGGCGGCCTGCAGGCAGTGCTGCTCGTACCTGCGGCTCCGGCCGCTGCGCTGCGCTCCCCTGGCTCCCCTTGGCCCCCTCGGCCGGCCCGGGAGGAGTCGGGCACTCAACTGTTTGCAGGTGCGAGCGCTGTGGAGCAGCACCGGGTCCGGAAAGGTTTCTGTGGACTTGGGCCATAGGTAAGGAACGGCGTGAGTTCGCGGACTGGCAGCCAGCCTTGGTAGCCAAACCCCCCCCCCCCCAAGGGTGGGACTGCAGCAGCCTGAGTCTCTTAACCTCTCTGCTCCAAACCTGAGTTGGAGAGTTCCTTTTCCGGGTTTGAAGTCAGTCTCCCTGGGCCCTCCCCTTTCCCACGCTGGCCGCTGCCCTTTGCCTCTTGCTCCAACCCCTAGCTCTGTGGTGGACTCCTTCTGAGTCTGAGCCCGTCCGTGCCCCTGGCATCCTTTCTCAGTACTCGCCCAGACCGCGGGCTCCCAAGTGGGAAACCTGCCACCCAGAGATAACCCGTTGTCGGTGTGTGCCCGGCTCAGTTCTGCCAAAAGCGAGGTCAGAGTGAGAAGGGACCGTGGTTTTGTTGAATACCAGTTCTATGATGCACACAGCCCTGTTAAACCTGTAGAAGTACTATTGCCTTCGTTTTGTAGTTAAGACAACAGAGGGCCAAAGGGGTGCATTTTCTCAGAATTAACAAAACTAGGGCATCTCCACACAGACGAGAGAGGAGAGACAATGAATGAATGAATGTGAGAGTAAACATATCCCCCCACACACACAAGCTCCACTTTCTGTGGCAGGCAGCCGTCCCCTGTCCTTCCTTGGCATCTTTCTGCTCTTCTCGTCTCACTCTGTCATGATCGTTGTGTCAGAGTGTTTAGGCATTCGCTCACATGGTTTGACATATTAAAACTTTAAAGCCCTGACACCTGCTCCCATAACCCCCGGTCGCAATCCCCAGAGGCCACTCATGTCATATGAATCCTCATGCATTTGGAGATTTTGGTTTTTCGAGACAGGGTTTCTCTGTATGGCTTTGGAGGTTGTCCTGGAACTCTCTCTATAGATCAGGCTGGTCTCGAACTCACAGAGATGCGCCTGCCTCTGCCTCCCGAGTGCCGGAATTAAAGGTGTGGGACAACTACGACCAGCTGTCTTTATTATTTTTAACATAGCATACAAAATACTGTTATATTCCAGAAGATAGAAGTCTATTATTTTTAACATAATATACAAAGTACTATTATATAGCAGCAATGAAAGTCTTTGTAGTCAGTATTCAAAAGTATCTGTTTTTTTTTTTTTCCAGAAAGTAATGGGGAAATCTCATAGTATCTTAATTAGGGGAGAGAGGAGGCCATATGTTAAGGTTTATGCAGCCAATGAGTCGTGAGACAAGAACTAATAGTTAGGAACCCGCTTTCTCCCTGGCGTTTCCCCTCCTCCAGATGAGCCCTTTGCTCTGGTTTCCGTCGTCTTAGGCCACACCTGTGTCTCCTTTGTGCTTTTTGTGGTCACAAACCCTGCATACTTTGCTTTTTTTTTTTTTTCTTTCCCTGAAGTGGGGGTGGGGACTTAGAACCTTTTGTCCTTTGTTTGTTTTCTAAATTCTCCACTTACTTTTGCTAAGCTAAGACTTGTACTGGTGTCATTTTGTTTTTAAACAGAAAATTAGAAATATCCTCTGGAAAACTAGCAAGATTTGCAGATGGATGTGCTGTGGTACAGGTAAGAAGCCAGGCTGCGTTTTAAAGTGACAGCAGCTGGGTATCTCTGTGCCGACACAGGTCATCATGTGGTATTGGGAATTAGCTCAGATACACTAAGCATTTCAGTGTCAGAACCATGCTGGGCCAGCAGAGTCAGTGCCGGGTATATTAAGTGACCTTTACGATCTCTTCCAAACTTTGGACTTTCTTGTATTCTGTAGTAAAATCTATTACGCCTTTTCTTGAAAAGCTGTTTTTTTTTTTGTATGCTTTCCATAGTAATTCTTGAAGATTTTTCTTTATAGTCTAACTTTCCTCATAGAGTAAAAGTATGATTCATTGATGTGACCAAGCTAGTAGTCATTTCTCCATGTGAAAACCCCAGTGAGTATTCTAATACTGATTATGATCAGATAGAAAGGATCAAGATTGCACTGGTTATAATCATATGAAATAAGAGCTCTTTTGTTGAGCCAGGGTAATGTAAGCCTTAAAACCCAGGGCTCTAGTCCTCTGTAGGCAGAAGTAGGTAGATCTCTGAGTTTGAGGTCTATATAGTGAATTCTAGGCCAACCAGGGCTACATAAGGAGACATTATTTCAAAAACAGGAAGAGAGAGATCTTTCATTGACTTTATTTGGAGTGGGGATTCATTCAATTGCTGTTTACACACTGTCTATTTCAAAGGAATTTACTGGTATTTTTGTGTATGTTCAACCAAGTCAGGCGACACTGCGGTGATGGTCACAGCGGTCAGTAGAACAAAACCCTCACCTTCCCAGTTCATGCCCCTAGTGGTAAGTATTTGCTTATCTGTCTGTAGGCTTTGTAGCACCCTGCCAAGTGTCTGAAGGATTGCCTTACATGTCTGCGGCTCCGTCAGTTAGCAGATGTGAGCTGATGGCCAAGAGTGCGCTCACTTCACTTGTTGGGCTTGTCGAGCTGGGTGGATTTGGGCAAGAGTGTTGGTGTTAAGGAAGCAAGGATTCATTGTCTTCTGCTAGTTTGAGTGTGCAAGCGTTCATTATTAGGATTTTTGTGTCTTTCTAATGTGGTAAGCAGAAGGCAATGTGTCTCACAGAGTTGATGCACAAAGTGGGGAGGAAGGGGCACAGTTTGACTGGATGAAGGTAAGCTATTTTAGAAAGTAGTGACTGCTAAGTGAATAGCTTTTTTTTTAATCAGTTGGTTGAAGCACTCTGTACACTCTTCTTCCCCTAAGTGGTTTAAAAGAATGCTAAAAGGAAATTAAATATTATCGACTTGTCGTCTAGAGTATGTTGTGAGCCGCCTCAGAAAAGTTGGAGCTTAGGTAGCAGTTCTTGGGATGTGAACCTTCGTGCTTCATTGCTGTTTCAGGTTGACTACAGACAGAAGGCTGCTGCAGCAGGTAGAATCCCCACAAACTACCTTAGAAGGGAGATCGGCTCTTCTGACAAAGAAATTCTCACAAGTCGAATAATAGGTAAGAAGAGGCACCGCCTCTGCAGTATGCCATTGTTTCCTGTCTCTGCTCGGCAGGGTCTCCTAAGCTCCCTTTCACTGTGTGACTATCGCTGGCTGCTAGTTATTATTAGAGGCATGCTGTGTGAGAAGAAAAACTTGTTTCTTCACTACCAAATCCTTATACCTAGTGTAGAGGCGTTCATTCAGGAAAAACTGAATCCACCACTTCCTGGTGTAGAGGCATTCATTCAGTAAATACTGATTAAATGAATCTGTTGAGCATTTGAATTCCATACCTTTTCTCTGTTAAATCTATCGCTTGTGGCTTTTCATTTTTTGTTCGATTTAGTAAAGCATTGTATTTATCACCTATTCAAATATGTCTTTTTGAGAAGGAAGAGTCTTGAATGGGTGGGTGGGTAGGTGGGTGTGGTGATGATTGGTGGGAGGGATGATGGTGAGTGAGGGTATATTGGTGGTGATGGTGGGTAGGGTAGGTGGGGTGGTGTTGATGGTGATGTGTGGTGATGGTGTGTGGTAGGGGGTGGTTGTTGGGGGGTGGGGGTGGAGGTGGTGAAAGTCTGGACCTTTCACATGCTAGGCAAGCACTGTACTACTAAGTAATGTCACCAGCCTAATAATATTCCAGCTCTTTGATATCTACAAATATTATGGCATCATTTGTAGTCTGCAGCTTTTCTCCCAATAATTGCTAGCCTGTACATATTTATATGTATTCCTCAGACACAGTAAACCAAATGAAACCTTTTCTTCTCGTCTGCTGTTGGTCTCCAACCTCTCCCTCTGCTCTGTAGCTAGGTCATGGTCTGTATTAATGAAAGTGCTGATGCTTCCCTGTGCTTCTCAACACATGGTCTTTTTGTTCGCATCTGTGACATATCCAACAGCTGTCTGTTAGTTCAGTAGCTTTTCATTCTAAAGCAGCTCTGTCAGAGCCATTTAATATCTTTTTCTTTGTTTTGACAGATCGCTCAATTAGACCTCTCTTTCCTGCGGGCTATTTTTATGATACTCAGGTAAATTCTGCTTTAGTTTGTTACCATATATTATGTTTTTAAACTGTTTAACCCCTATAACTCTTTCTAAAGAACGCTTTATACCCTAAGTCACTTTAAAAGGCAGTACTTTGAAAAACTGTATGTGATTGGTGTCATTGTGAGCTAATGCCTGAATTGTGAGTAGGAGTAAGGGACTATTGGGAACTCTCTAGGAAGGGTGGATGAGAATCTAAAAAGCCCTGTGTTCGGAAATAATGAGTGTATACAGAAGACAGTGTGATAGTAACCAGACTAAGTGGCTGGACTTTGTAGGTCAAATTTATAATAGCCCATTAGGACAATCAACATAACTATTTGTTTTGATTTGGTAAACAAGATCTAAATCTCTGCAGCTCTGGCTGGCTTTGAACTCTGCAAAGCCTAGCCTCAAACATGTGGGCAGTCTGTCTGCCTTGACCTTCCAAGTGCTGAGATTACAACAATGAGCCATCATGACCAGTTTATCACAACTAATTTTAGTAACATATCTTTATTTCTAGGTCTTCGAACTTGTATTATATTTTAATACTTCTGGAATATTCTTTTCTTTCCTCGAGGTGATCATATGCTTTCGTGAGGTATACTTAGTAGCCATTTTATTTAACTGCACTAAATAAGTATACCTTTGAGAGGACATCAGAGCCTCAAGGAAGTTATTCTTTTAAAAATTTAACATGGGTACATCACTGCAGTATAAACTGATAATAATACAAGTCCATAGCTAACATTTGCAGAAATCTGTAGCATGCCTCTTACTAAAGAAACTCCTGGGGAGATGAAACAGAACTGGACATGTAACTTGGTAGTAAAAATGAAGCCGTGTTCAACAATGCCTGGTAGCCACTCGCACACCACATAACCTTAAGAAAAGAAAATGAGGAAACTGAAGTTTTAAATACCTAGTGTCAAGGACTTAGTTAAATGATAGCTTTAAGGGACTTGGATATATTATATTTTAGACCAAGTTGCTAATTTAAATCATAATCTGCCAACATGAAGGGGCTGCTGTTGTATGTATGTCTAATTTGTTTCTCTTGTTGCCAGGTTATTTGTAATCTGCTAGCAGTAGATGGTATCAATGAACCAGATATCCTAGCAATTAATGGTGGTAAGTATAAGAACACCAGCTAAAACGATCGCTATTGATATTTTTTAAAGCAATGAAATACTGTAATTGCAGTTTTTGATCTTTTGGTGTTTTCTCTCCTTTTGAAAGCTTCTGTAGCCCTCTCCTTATCAGACATTCCTTGGAATGGACCGATTGGTAAGTTATAGCTTTAAGTCTGAGCCACTGCACATCATTGGTGCTGACTTAATACTTCCTGGGAAGCTGAACTAGAGAGCAGTCTTGAGATCTTTTGCAGTCTTTCAGGCCTTTCCATCTTTGCTTTAGGTTTTGTTACCAGTAACACTGTTACAGTGCTATTGATTTTATGGCCCTAGACTTCTTAGTTGCCTTTCTTTCTTTACAGTGGGGACTTGCCACAGTACATACTCTTAAAACAAGCATGTTTGCAACTTACAGTTCCTGTAAGTTCTAACCATACAGTCTCCTAAAGGTTTAAGTTTGTAACTTCCAAGTGTCCTCAGTGCTAGCAGCTGGACTGAGCACTGAAGGGAAAAGGCAGTCTTTGTAGTAGCAATGGAAAGAATAAAGAGGCTCTTCTTGTTCTCAGCGTGAGTAAGGGGAAGAGACCGATATTTATTTATTATTATAATGGCACAGACAAGGTGCTTGGGGAATGATGTAGAAGGGCAGGTTGTCAAACAGGGCTTCTCAAAGTACCAGTGTGTAAGTGGAGCCAGTGGGGGAGGGGTGTAAGTATTTGCTTTGTGTAGAGTAGTCTGGATGTAAACAAGAGCAAAAGCATCATCAAAACAGGTGCAAAAAAGCTGACTTGAGGGATTTAGAGTCAGTGCAAAGGAGGGTGAGATAGGGTGCTCTCTGGGCTTTATCAGCATATGATGTTGTAAGAAAGACAGTGGGTTGAAGCTGCTACTGGAATAATATTGTGAAAACAGCAAGTTTTAATTAAATAATTGCTAACATTTTAATTTGTTTTAGGGGCAGTACGAGTAGGAATGATTGATGGAGAATGTGTTGTTAACCCAACAAGAAAAGAAATGTCTTCTAGTATTTTAAATTTAGTAGTTGCTGGAGCACCTAAAAGCCAAATTGGTAAATAATTTAAATATATTCATTCTAGATTTTACTTTAAGTTGTACTTAAAGTGTGTGTTTTTTTCATTTGGTGAAAGATTCTCAGACAGTAATTGATCGCTTTCTCTCTCTAACTAGTTATGTTGGAAGCCTCTGCAGAGAACATTCTACAGCAGGACTTCTGCCATGCTATCAAAGTTGGAGTGAAGCATACCCAGCAGATAATTCAGGGCATCCAGCAGTTGGTAAAAGAAATTGGTGCTGACAAGAGGACACCCCAGAAGATATTCACACCTTCACCAGAGATTGTGAAATACACTCACAAGTAATGAACACCTGTGCAGATGGGCAATTGTCAGCGGGTCTAATTTCCTCTAAGGAAATGTACTTTGTGCTGCTTCCATGTAGCCCTTTCCTGCTTTAAGTGATTACCATAAATATCTATCTGATGCCTACAGGAGGATTAACCCAGCATACTGCATACACTTAATCCAGGACATAAATTTAAATCTCAAGTGAAAAGGAGAGGCATTTGTTGCTGTTTAAAAATCAGCTTATTTGCTGGGTGGCGGTGGCACATAACCTTTAGTCCCAGCACTCTGAAGGCAGAGGAAGGGGGATCTCTGTGAGAATGAGGCTAGCCTGATCTTCAGAGCTAGTTCCAGGACAACTAGAGCTGTTACACAGAGAAACCCTGTCTCCAAAAACAAACAAAAATCAGATCTTTTATCTTTCCATATCCAGGGAAAGGAGAATAAAACATATGATATTTGAATATCTAGGAAATTGTTGAGTTTCTTAAAAAAGAAACGGGTTTTAACCTGCCTTATGTGCATGCTGAGACAGTGCCTGGCAGTGCTGAGAACAGAGAGGCACTCAGCCCGCGAGTGAATCTGAGTGGGAACTAGATGAACAGTGAGGGGGGGGGGGGGGCATAGTGCCATGCAAGCGGCTTACCTGAAAGGTGGGAGGAAGCTCTTCTGGGCATAGTAAGCATGCAGCAGTCACATGCAGCAACAGCTAACCTTTATTTAGTTTGTAGGTCACTGTTGTCTAATTTTTGTTTCAGTCATAGCTTCATAGTCCATTTATTGTTTTGCTAACATTTATTTTATACTTAATAGAATAGCCATGGAGAAACTCTATGCAGTTTTTACGGATTATGAACATGACAAAGTAGGTATACCTTAAATTTGTTTGACAAGCTTTTGTTGTAACTCATATAATTGTTTTTGTGCGTGTTAGTCCTTTTTGTCTTTAAAAACTCTCTGGTCAGGGCTGGGGATGAGGCTCAGTGGCAGAACAGCTGTCCAACATTCATAAGGCCCTCAGGTGGATTGGCAGCACTGCAGAGAATAAATAAATCTCTAACAAGAAAACGTTACTAAAGCAATTCTCCTTTGAGAGCTCACACCATGTCCTGTGTGTGTCTTTTTCCTTTCTAGTACCTTTCGTTCTCTTAGCCCCTACTACTTATAATCTCTCACCTCCGACTGAACTTTCCTTTATACAGCTAAGTCAAACCCTACCTGTTTGTTTTTCTATTCTTTTGTTAATACACATTGCAAGGAAATGCGCAAGTATAATTTAAATTAATTAAATCAGATGTTAACCTTTAAGGAAGGTTATTGTTCTTACAGTGCACTACTTGTGTAGCATTGAAAATGGGAAATGATAATGTTACTTGATTATATAATAGCATCAATACTGTTTTAGATTTCTAGAGATGAAGCTGTTAACAAGATAAGACTAGATACAGAGGAGCAACTAAAGGGTAAGTTCTATTTTCATTTTTAAAGAGGTTGAAAGAAAAACACTGATTTGTTTTTTAAGAGCATAGATTTGTTTTCAAATATTAGTGGTAAGATCTTGAAAACCTCAGTTATTCTCATGGTTCCTCAGTTTTATCTTATATCTGTAATGATGATAGACCACGTGGTGACTGTCATATTACCTTCTAGAAGTGTGGCTAACACTTGGCTTGAGTAGGCACCTGGTAAATAATGAACGTAAAATGTTCCTTTCTTCTCTGCTTCAGGGTCTCAATGTGCTAGTCCTGGAGCCTGCCATTTGAAAACCTCAAACATACTCTTTAAAATTCTTGAGTCAAAAAAGAAAAAGTGTTTGGACATGGTGGTGCACACCTTTAAACTCAGTGATCAGGAGGCAGAGGCTGGAGGATCTTTGTTGGTTCTAGATTGATCTGATCTGCATAGTTCCAGAACAGCCAGTGTTATATTGAGAGACCCTGTCTCAAAAATCAAGGAAAAAAAAAAAGGAGAAGGAAGGCAGGAAAAAAGAAAAGATCACGGTTGGGCATATAGCTCGGAGGTAGAGTGTTTGGCCAGTATGCATGAGGCCCTGTAATAAATCCCCAATACTAAAAGCAAAAACCATTTAACAATACATTCTTGAGACTATCACCGGCAATATTATAATACCAATAGTATCTGGTTTATAGATATTAAATGAGTAGGTGATTTGCATCTGTACCTGCCACATAGCCATCATTTAACATGATTTTATTGCTATTATTCCTCACATTGTCTGGAATCACAGGGGGGCTACCTCTCCACAAATCACTAAGCAGAGTATCTTACTGTATAACATTATTCTTGTAACAACTGAAATATGAGGAAAGATTGACATACAGTTCTTCATAATTTTTCCACCAAGAGAAAAATGCCCTCTTGTGGGAGTGTTTATCAGATTTTTAAAATAAAAATTTTAATGTTGCATTTATGTTAATGCCATTACTTGTAATTATCTCCAAATAGTTTAGAACTTTTCTATTCTTTTAATCAAGAATAAGAAATTATGGTAAGCGAGATGGCTCAGTAGATAATGGTGTTTGCTGAGCATGGCTGGAAACCTGAGTTTGATCCCTGGAAAAAGAGAAGAAGAGAACTGACTCCACACAGTTGTTCTCTGACCTCCACAAGTATACCATGGCTTGCTACCACACACATTTGTCATGCTTTCATATACAGTAATCAAATGATCAAAATGTTTTTTAGAGAATGAGAAATTCATCAGAGGTGGTAGTTCAGGCCTGCAATCTTAGTGCCCAGGAAGCTAAGGCAGTAGTATTGTGAATTCAAGGCCATCCTGGGCTATACAGCAAGACTGTCTTGACAAAGCAAAACTAACAGAAGTATTCTGACCCTGCTAGGAATGTGACTTCATAGAAACCCGCTTCTCATGTGTGAACCCTAGGTTCTGCCCAGCACTACCAAAAGAAAAGTTTGTTGTGTGATGAAGATATAATGTCTTTCAAATTTCTTTAAAGTTATACATTACTTAATAAAGCAAGAGACTGGTCTACGGTATTAATTAAAGACAGTGTAATGATATTTAAAAGCATAAGCTATGAGGCAGGCAGATGTGTATCATGTGACAGCTGGAAGGTCTCTAGAAATGTGCTGTGTGATCTCAGGCAGTGGGTTCTTTGTTTCTTTTTCTTATAGTCCTCCACCTGCTAGGCAAGCAGCCCACCACTAACCTTCAGCCCCCGCCCTCCTTACTTCCTTAAGCCTTTTCTTTCTTTTCTTTCTTACTAATAATAGACTTTTCCTTATAAGCTGTTATGAATGTTAGAGGCATTCCAAGCAAAATATGCCCGTAAAGAATCTGGCTCATGAAAAAAGTTGGTAAATGGTAGCTAAAAAGGCAGCTAGTAGGATTTGTAATCAAAGAAAATTGTTTCTCAGTTTGCAGATTAAATGAAGGCCAACTATTAGTTAACCCTCTTCATAATACAGGTGTCTGTGTTGATCAGGTAGCATGACAGTACAGGAATGGATCATCATGTGTCCTTCTGGTAAAATACACAAGCTAAATTCCTACGAATGGCCTCAGAGCTTTTGATTAATATTCTTTGCTTGCCCAAGAATTAAGTGTTCAGACATCTCCCTTGGTTTTTTCCCACAATACTTGATTTTATGCCCAGAACTTTGGAGAATTTATCTTCCCAAAGGATGAGTGTTTGATTTGTTTTGATTTGTCTCTTTTCTATAGAAAAATTCCCAGACGTCGACCAATTTGAAATAATAGAATCCTTCAATGTTGTTGCAAAGGAGGTTTTCAGAAGTATTATTTTGAATGAATACAAAAGGTAAACATATCCTCGTGTGGTGGCGCTGAAGCAGGTGTTGTGCTTGCAGGTTGCCTTGAATGTAGCAGCGTATTAAAGGAACTGGGTTCACTCTGTAAATGAGTACCTGTTGAGGGAACTGGCGTTCATCTTACAAGTGAGCACCTGTTGACAAGAAGATGGACTCTGTGGCTGAGGTTCTCTTGATGTACAGATCACACCTCCAGACACTGATTCAGTGGACTTAGATTGGAACTCGTGTTTATATTACTGCTTACAGTTCTAACAAGTTACTGTATGCAGCTGGCGATGAGAACTTAATGGCAGATATAAAGATTGTCCTAACTTCCTCTATGGCTTTACTACTTTATTACAGGTGTGATGGACGGGATTTGACTTCACTGAGGAATATCAGCTGTGAGGTAGATATGTTTAAAACACTTCATGGATCAGCATTATTTCAAAGGGGACAGACACAGGTAAAATATGTTTGAAAGTTATTTAATTATATCTGCAATGTAGATGATATAAGTTTGGGGTGGGTGTGGGTGGTGTATCCTTGTATGAAATCAAGGAATCTCATGCTTTTTACAACCACATTTGCTTGGAAAGCTGGACTGTGAACTTCTACTGTCTCCACTCCCCATCTCTCCATAGGCGCACTGTTATTATAGATGCGTAGTACTGTGCCCAACTCTTTTTGTTTGTTTGGTTGGTTGGTTGGTTGATTTTTTTTTCTTGGTTTTTCAAGGCAAGGTCTTTGTATTTAGCGTTAACTGTCCTGGAACTCACTCTGTAGCCCAGGCTGGCTTCTAACTTACAGAGATCTGCCTGCCTCTGTGTAACAGGGTTTCTCTGTGTGGCAGTTCCAACTGTCAACTTTGTAGAACAGTTTTTCCTTGAACGCACTGAGATCCACCTGCTTCTGCCTCCCAAGTGCTGGGATTGAAGATGTGCACCACCACCTGGCTCTCAATATGTTATTGGTATGATTTAAATATTTTTAAGGCAGAATTTCAATGTAGTATACATTTTTAACACATAGAATTTTTGTATATATTTTTTTTTACTTGTTTTATTTTGCTTTCTGGAGTCCTTCTGTGTAGTTTGGGCTGTCCTGGAGCTCACTCTGCAGCACAGGCTAGCCACAAACTTGTATTCCTCCTGTCTTGCTATCCTGAGTGCACGGCTTAGCCTGATGCCTAAAATGTTTGATTTGATATGTTTAAATGCCATAGTTAAAAGAATTAACATATTGGTACAGGCTCATAGCTCAGTGCTAGGGACCTTCCTAGCACATGTGAAGCCCTGGGTTCAGTCCCCAGCACTATTAAAAAGACAGCACACTAGCTTGGTAAACTTTCAGTCACCTCCAAAAGTATTCTGTGTCTTTGTAGCTCCTTCTTCTTGTTCTTTCCCTCCAAGAAACTGCTTTTGTTGTCCAGGGCTAGTGGGTATTTTAACTTTTGCTTTAAAATTTGAACTAGCACAAAACTAAGTTGCGTATTCTCCTTGTTCTAGGGTGTATTGCCATCGTTCGTCCAGTCACAATCCTCATTTGCTTTCTACAGTTACTGTGACCCTGTCACACTCTTTCTCCACATAGATACCCATTCTCTGGTATTTACATCAGTCCTACTGTTCACTTTTTCATTTACCCTGTGCCCATTGCTCTGGAGGTGTAATGTTTGATGCCTCTCTCTCTCATTAACTACTACTTAAAACCCAGTACGTACAAAGTTGTATCTTGTTGCTTTAGTTTGTATTTCCCTACTTCCTAGTGAGAATCTCCTATGTAAGAACCAGTGAGTGGGATCCCTATCTGAGCCACACCCTATTTTCCTGAAGATCATCTCACCTAGAGTTCTGTGACCCGAGGCACTGGTTCAAATCAACTTCTGTCTTTCTTTCCAGATTTCTTGACCAGCTTTTGGGTTTATTTATTTTTCTATTTTTAACATCGGTTACATTACTTTATGTGCTGTTTTTCATTAATCCTTTTCAGTAACAAATCACACTGTATACACATGACTTCATCATTTCACCTTTATTATAGTAGCTTCTGGGTGTATAGAATTAGCTTGAAATCTTGAGTTCTGATGTGGTTACTCTCTCCTTTTTACTTTTTATTTATTTATTTATTTTTTATTTAAGACCTTTATTAACAACTTGCAGTTTGTTGATTTCTTTTTGAAAAAATCAAGTTGTAAACTTTTATTACAAATTAAAAATGAAGTTCTTAAAATCTCAACTTGACCAGATATGAAACAATTTAAAAACCATTAAAGGTTTATTGAGAAAAACCAGACTTTTTTTTTTTTAAGAAAAACATGTTTGTAATTACCAAAAAGAGACATCTTTAGGTAAAAATAATAAAAACCCCATGCTGCATAGATAATGCAGACAGTTCTAGTGGATCTGGTCAACGGGCTGAGGGTGGCGGCGGGGGGCGGGGCGGCTGCTGCTGCTGGGTCTTGGCCTGGCTGCTCATGGTTGCAGTGGTGGTGACTGGGGCTGCGGCTCCTCCTGGCTGCAGTGCGGCTCTCAGGGCTCTCTGGGGTCCGCTCTCCTCTCCCGCTACCGATCCTGTTTTTTTAGTTTTTTGATTTGTTTGTTTTTGTTTGTTTTGGAGCATTCCCAGAGTCACAAAATTATACAACTATTACTTTCTTTTAACTTTCAGGTATTTCTATTAAATTTAGACAGTTAATTTACCTTAGAATATATTGCTATGTATGGTCTATAATGAACCAGTTCACTAATCATTTATTTTTCCCACTAATTTTTGATAATAACTTGTATTCTAGGTTTATATTTTTAAACTATACTTTCTTCACCGTTTTGTGGATTTTCTGGGCCAATGTCATTTTCATTATCAAGTCTTTGGGATACACCTTCGTGTTTGTGGAGTACATCTTCCTTGTTCATGCACCCTTCCACTAAACTCTTAGCTTTTCATGGTCCATTGGTTCCTTCATTTGAATGTGAGAATTATGTCAGCTTCAAACAGTCCTTCTAGACTTAAATTGGAATTGTACTGAATTAGATGTGTTCATTTGAGAAAGAAATGGTAGTTTTACAGTTTGAATCAGTGCTTACAGTGAATATAGTGTCTCACCTTTGATTATTTCCTCCTGTGCCTTTAACATTAAACATGAATAGTTAGATGTTCTGGATACTTTTGCTACCTCTTCTCACAGTCTCTGCCTTTTAACTGGAGAGTGTGGTCAATTTATATTTAATTTCATGAGTAATGTGATCATATTTATGTCTGTTACTTCATTATTTGTTTCTCTTTGACTCATCTCTTTGTTGGATAGTTACTAGAATTCTGTTTTAGTTTTCTGTTTGCTTCATCGATGGACCTATGCATTATTTCTCTCTGGTAATTAAAGGGATCGTAGAATCTTTGGTTGCTCTGAGTCTTAGAGTTAAAATAAGGAAACTTTTTGGCCGTTTCCATGGATTTTCACCCTTTTCCATCCTTCATGCTCTAATTGTGTTGAGTTACATCTACATGTGCCATATACCCACAAGGCAGGATTATAGCTTTTACTTTGACCAATCATATGCATTTTAAAAAAAAGGAAAAGGATTGTCTTTTATTTTTATACCGAACCACATATTTGCCATTTCTGGTATTCTTAATACCTTCAAAAATGTGTCAGTGCTACATCACAGAAAGAGTCTTCCTCCTGGAGTAGTTTAGCTCAAGAGTGAGCCCAGGTTTGAATTTTCTACTTCCTGTGTCTTCCATCTGTCACTCTTGTCTGTTTCCAACAATGGACTTTGCTCTGTACTTATTGAACAGCACAGAAAACAAGATATGAGAAAGGAATGGAGAATCTCTTAATCAATTCATTAACGGAATTCACAAGGGAAGAAATTACATCTACTGTTGCCACAATAAGTTATGGTGGGTACTTGTTTTCTTTAAGGTTGCTTTCAGCCTATTGGCTGCTGTTAGCAAATGAACATCATAACACACACTCACACACACACACACACACACACACACACACACACTTCTGGAAGACTCACAAAGAAAAGACAGTGAAGACATAGTAAGGTTCACTACATTGCTTTCTTAAAAGCTAGTTAAACAGGCTGAATGCACGGTAGAGAAACACATTATGTACATAGTTTTAAATGGTCTCAAGGCCTATTATGGACTTGGTTGTAAAGCTGAACAGAAATTCAGTTTCTGAAAACAAGGTATTTTCAGAAAAAGCTATTTTGACACCTGAAGATCCGAGTTTTCAGTAATACTTCCATCATTCTGACCAGACTAACTTCAGATAAGACTCTTGCTTCCTTGCTAATCTGAAAATGCCTCTGTTTATTGTATTTAGTCCTTTTTCTTGATATAGAATTATGAATTGATTGTGGTAGGGGTGCTTTTTCTTTTATGAGCATTTAGAGATGTGGTATTTATTGTTCTTTATCTTTTATCTGATAAGGACTCATTGTCTTTATGTGAGTGCTATCAAATATGTTCTTTATCTTTAGATTTCAGCAGTACATGAAAAGGTGCTTTTCTTGGAATATGTCATACTTAGAATTTCAAGCATGAATCTATAATGTGTCTTTTCATTAAGCCTGACAAGTTTCAGCTGTTGTTTTTTCAAATATGTTCTTGCGTCACTTTCTTCTCTTCTGGAATTGCAGGCGCATATGCTAGACTCTTTCATATTATCCTACAGGACCTGTGAATATGTTCCCTTCAGAGTGCATGACTGCCATTTTCCTTTGCATCTCCCTCTTTGCTGTCTCCCATGGTTAAGATTGAACTCAGGACCTTGCTACTTAAGTGCTCTGCCAGTGGACTGCTGCCAACCTCTGGATAAATTGTATCTGTCTGCCTTTAGTTGTCTGACTTGATTGTTGTTCAGTGCCCTCTGGAGTAAGTGTAGCTGCAAGAAGTCTTTGACCGTTGATCCAGATTCCAGCTAAGGATCTTGCTCCATTCTGTGTCTTTTCTATTGGGATGTTTCCTGCTTGCTGCTGATGCTGGACCTTGGGATGATGCACTGTGAATCAATCTCTAGGCTGTGTTTTACATCTGCAAAGACTAACTTTTCTTTAAACAGGCAGATTTTTTGTCTGTTTGTTTGTTTTTGAGACAGGGTTTCTGTGTAGCCCTAGCTGTCCTGGAACTAGCTCTGTAGACCAAGCTGGCCTTGAACTCACAGAGATCTGCCTGCCCCTGCCTCTTGAGTGCTGGGATTAAAGGCTGCACCACCACCGCTGGGCTTGAGGCAGGTTTTTTTGACTGAACCTGTGTTGTGGCTTCTTTTATGGAATAACATTGTTCTTATGAGTACTTCTTTCTCTTTCTCTCCCTCAGCAATTCTCGTGAGCTATACTTAGGCTATGTGTTAACCTTTTGGATTGTTGAGATTTACAATCAACTTGGTGTTTCAGGGTGAATGTATATTTACTATACTAACTGCTACGGCTAGCTTTATGTAGTATGTATTTATAGAAGAATTCAGTTTGCAGATATTTTTAGTTTGGGGCTGGGAATGTATCTAGTATATAAGACCCTCACTTCAGTCCCCAACACGCATAGAAAAACAAACAAATGAACAGAACAACAAACTACATCTGAATGTTTGTATATGTGTATACTCATACCTGAATATTTTCTTTTGGTTTTAATCTTCGTTGTTACTATTTTTAAAGTTTAAAGAATAATTTTGTTCATTTCTTAGGTACTCTGTACTGTTACATTTGATTCATTAGAATCCAGTATGAAGTCAGATCAAATTATAACGGCTATAAAGTAAGTTATAGTCTATGTTACATTTTGTGCTCTTTCGATAGTCTTTTTTTTTTTTTTTTTTGGTGTGTGTGCACTAGTACTTTATTCTACTGTCATCACTAGTTTGCAAACTCTTAAAGGGCATTGCTGTTCTGTTTGTTTGCTCTTTTGAGAGAAGGCCTCAGTCTATAGCCCAGGCTGGCTTCGGGTTCATAGCAATCATCCTGCTGATTGCTGGAGTTATAGATATGAACCACCATAACTAACTTGGTTGTTACTTGTATAGCCTGTATCTCTGTACACTTCATTTTCTGTCTACACAGTCAGAATTGCAAAGAATGCTTCTCTGTTGGTGGACCATATTTTCTTCCAAATAGTTGGTTTGGAACACATTTGTAAAACATTCCTTCTGTAATGTGATTGTATTTAACTTATGTCCTTAAAAACATTTCCCAGAGCTGGGTGTTGGTGGTGCACGCCTTTAATCCTAGCACTTGGGAGGCAGAGGCAGGCGGATCTCTGTGAGTTCGAGGCCAGCCTGGTCTACAAGAGCTAGTTCCAGGACAGCCTCCAAAGCCATAGAGAAACCCTGTCACGAAAAACCAAAAAAAAAAAAAAACATTCCCCAGAACCAACTTCTCAAGTAATCTTGAATAAGTTTTGTATTACCAAAAAGTAAACAAATACATAAGAGTAAAGTCCTGGTGCTAAAAAGAAGCCAGAGACTACTGATGAAAACTGATAAGGTAATTTTGTGCTCCCCTCCTGTCTCCACCAACGCAGCAGTGAAACTGTTCATCTGCTTAAGGTAGTGTCCACCAGCCCCGCTGCGTCATGGTCCTGAGACTCTAGTCTTCCTGCCTAACGAATAATAGTAACCCTAAAGTTTTCAGGGTTGCTACCCCCACCCCCGCTTTTCTTGTACATAATAAATTAACAGTTTAAAGACTGGAGATGTTAGTAGCTCAGTTGGCAGTGTTTGCCTAACGTAAACAAAATCCTGGATTCAGGCTCCATATCACCTGCATCAGGCACGGGTGCACATTTGTAGGTAGAGGCAGGAGGAGAAGTCGCCAAGGCTGTCCTCAACTACATAGCAGATTGGAGGGCAGCCTAGATACATGAGACCCTGTCTCGGAAGAGCAGTAACACAAGACTTTGTTTTTGTTCTTTTGAAGAAAAATTGCTTCCACAATCAATCTAGAATTCAGTTGAAGTCCCAGCTGTAGGCAGACATCTCTCTCAGCCACTCAAGGGGCTGAAGCAGGAGCATTGCCTAAGTGAGGGGTTTAAGTCCAACCTGAACAGCGTAGCAAGACTATGCAAAAGTCCCTTTCATCCTCTGTTCTTCAAGTTTTATGTTTCAGACCAATACTCATCAATACTCAGTTGATTTTCTGAAAGCATAATAAAATCATCTTCAGTTATGTCCTTATAATGTTCTAATATTATTCCTTTTTTCTTGTAGCGGGGTAAAAGATAAAAATTTCATGCTGCACTATGAGGTGAGATCATTTTTCTTCCTTTTTTTTTTTTTGGTTTTTTTTTTTTTTTTTGGTTTTTCAAGACAGGGTTTCTCTATTGCTTTGGAGGTTGTTCTGGAACTCACTCTGTAGACCAGGCTGGCCTCGAACTCACAGATCTGCCGGCCTCTGCCTCCCGAGGACTGGAATTAAAGGCATGAGCCACCAATGCCCAGGTTCCCCAAACATTTTTTTTTGTGAAGAATTTCTAGGATACATCAAAACTAAAAGAACTTGAATATGTGCCTACTCCATTGGTCCTCCCATTAACATTTTATCATTTATCCGTGAAGGCTGATTTAGTAATGCTTAGAAAAATTGCTTAGAAAAGAGATGTAGATGAGTAGCTTTCCAACTCCCTGTTCCCAACCCCCACATGTTGGTTTATAACCACCTCTACCTGCAAGTCCAACACCTTATTCTGACCTTCATAGACATCAGGCACACATATATAAAGACATGCAGGCAAAACGCTTATATACATAAGCTAAAAATAAATAGATCTTTAAAAGAAATAAATTTCCAACCCCTAATCTACTTACACAGTACAAAGAACTAATTTTAGTAATGTGGTACATTGTGTTTTTCAAACATCTTCCAGACAGACAGACAGATACATGGATAGATGATAGATACATAGAAGATGGATGGAGATAGATAGATAGATAGATAGATAGATAGATAGATAGATAGATAATATACTTTTTGGAACAAAAGTGGGATTCTGTTGTCTTGTAATTTGTTTTGTTGTTTTGGCACTGTATCTTAGGCATCTTTCTGTGTCACTTACATGTGTGTGTTTTGTTTTGAAGTTTCCTCCTTATGCAACCAATGAAACTGGCAAAGTTACTGGTATGAATAGAAGAGAACTTGGGCATGGTGAGTACAATTCTCAGCATGTGTTGTGTTCTTAGAGAGACTTAGTGCATTTTTCTCATTGTTTTGTGTTCTGATTTAGGTGCTCTTGCTGAGAAAGCTTTGTGTCCTGTTATTCCCAAAGACTTTCCTTTTACCATAAGAGTCACATCTGAAGTCCTTGAGTCAAACGGTATGATATTAAAGTGTTTCTTTCCTGGAGAAGACTGGATTCCCTGACGCAATCTTCAGCTGTGTTGTCATGATTACTGCTACAGAGTCTCAGGCCTGCTACATGAGAAAATATGTTAAATTGATCACACCCTCGTCTTGAATATGTTCTTAGCTGCTAAGTTTTGAAAGCTCTTTAAAAACAAGTTATTTCTCTTTTTGCATGTATTACAGTATACCTAATTTGGGTAACTTTATTTTTTTGCAAACAGCAGAGCAAGTTAAGCTTGGAGAGGGATCCATTAGGCAAAGGATAGCTGCCACATATCAGAGATGAATAATAAATAACTGAACACCAAGAGAGAAACAAGACTAAAAGGTCAAAGTTTGATAGAATAAAGCAGTCCGTGCATAAAGTCTAGGTACTGTCACTGAGGTAGAATAGGCAGGATTCTTCAGGGTTAGCAGTCATGTCAGGTGGTCACAGATTTCAAGGCGACACCAAAGTTAGCTCAGAGTCTAAACTGAAGATTTACTGTTCTCCACTGGACATCTGGTGCAGTGAGAGAGTAAGGACCCCTGTACCTAGTGATTAAGGCAACAGAAATATTGCTGCCCCTTCTGGAAGTTTCCTGTGCTCAGAACCTCTGCAGACAAACTGCACAATAGAATGCTTCATAATAATGGAAATCCTATGCAATATTCATTAGAGAAGCTATATATATTTCAATTAATTTAAGTTTAAGTAACTACTTGTTGGCTAGTGACTGCCATATTGTACTGTGTTCCTGTATACTTTGTAACTTTGGAGAGATTGACTTAATGTTTTTATATTATTTATTTATTTTTTTATATACTAGTGTGGTTGTAGGTATGAGTGTGGGAGGTAGAGTTGACAGAAACTTGCATATACAGACACACAGAGACCAGAGAAGAAAATCTCCCGCTCTGTCACTTACCATCTCATTCCTTTGATACAAGATTTCTCACTGACCCTGGAGCTAGGCTGGCAGCCAGCAAGCCATGGTGACCTCCTGTCTCTGCACCTCATGGCACTAGGGCTCCATGCACATATGGCCACACACCCAGCCTTTTATTATGGGTGCTAGGGATCCAAACTCAGGAACTCATACTTCCACAGCAAACACTCCTACCCAGAGTCATTTCTACAGCCCCTTGAATGAATTTACAAAGAAGGAAGAAAAGACTATTGACTATTTATGTTCAAGTGTAATATATTGTAAGGAAATGCACGAGTCGTTTTCTGAATTTTAAGAAATATATTACAAGTGGTTCTTTGTTTTTTAACTTTTTCCTTTTCCAATAGGGTCATCTTCTATGGCATCTGCATGTGGTGGAAGTTTGGCATTAATGGATGCAGGTAAAAAAATTATGTCTCAAAACTTAGTATTTTACATATCTATATTTCATTAGCACAGAATATAAGATTTGTTTAAATTAGATTTAATAAGTCAAAATCAGATTATAGATTACCAACCCAGGCCAGACACAAGATAATTACAAAGTAGAACATCGGAAGGATATTGGCTGAAGTTCTTATTTTCAACCAGAAGACTGCATATTTGTAATACACTGAAAATTATATACTTGCCTTGGTGACCCAGTGAACTTTCTCCCCTTCCAAAAGTGGAAACTTTCCAGAATTGATTACAGTCAATAAAGCAATTTCAATTAGTAAACAAAATTATTAAAATCCATAAGACAAAGCAACCCTGTAAGCTTTAAGTCAGTGTACAGTGACTTAAAGAGAGTAGTACTCCAAAAATGTGCTCAGAATTATAGGAATGTATACTAAAAGTAGTTTGATGCAATCCCCGTCTGTGACACTTATGCTTTCAAGAGCAATATCTGGCAGACAGTTACAATGCTACTCAAAAAGAAAGGACAGAGGCACCCAAAGACACCAGAGAGGATACACAAGGATTTCTCTAAGTTGCCAAATTCTCAACACAGATATAAAATGCAGAAAGGAGAATGTCTTAGTTAGGATTTCTGTTGCTGTGAAGAGACACCATGGCCAAAAAAACTCTTATAAAGAAAACACTTAATTGGTTGGCTGACAGTTCAGAGGTTCAGTCCACTATTATCATGGCGGAGAGCATGGCAGCATGCAGGCAGACATGGTGCGGGAGAAGGAGCTGGAAGTTCTACATCTTGATCCACAGCCAGTAGTAGGATACTCTGTACCACACTGTCTACTTACTATGTCATTTTGGCTGGCTTGAACACAGAGATCTGCTAGTCTCTGCCTCTGGAGCAGCTTGAGCACTTGTAAGACCTCAAAGCCCACCCTACAGTGAGTGACACACTTCCTCCAACAAGACCACACCTCCTAAGAGTGACTCCCTGTGGGTCAAGCATTCAAATACATGAGTCTCTGGGGGTCATGCTTATTCCCACCAACACAGAGGATGAACCAAAGAGAAAGTGAAGCACTCATGTGAGTGTATGTTAGTGTTTCTTAGAGACATTATCACTTAAAGCAGACCAAAGCTAAAACTGCTAATGACCTTTTCCTAGTTCCTCAAATATATTACAGCTTTCTATTCAGCTTCATTCTTTTACAAATCTTTACTATGTGATACCTGTAAATCAAGCACTGACCTAAATTCTTGGGACATAGTGTTGACCAAAACAGTCATTTGTGTTCATAAAGGTGATATTTCTCAGCCAAGTCTCATATTTAAAAACAAAAAAATTTAATTCCAGCACTCCAGAGGTAAAGACTAGCAGATCTCTGAGTTCCAGGTCTGCCAAAGTGACATAGTAAGAGCCTGTGTCAAAAGAACTCTGGAAAATACTATTTGGTAGATAAAAGACTATTCCTCTACCCACCACTACCCCTGAGAGAATTATGTAGTATAGGGTAACCTAGAACCTGCTATGTAGACAAGGCTGACCGGATTACAGAATGTGCCACCATACCATTCCACAAGACATCTTACGACTGTGGATGAAGATTCATTCAAGACAATGGATTCCCGATTCCCTTGCCTCTACCTCCCAAGTACGGGGATTGCAAGCATGAGCCACACCATGTCCACCTTAAGCAACTTTGTTTGAAATGAGTTGAATAGGCTAATAATATGAACCCTCAATCTCTATATCAGTTACTTTTTTGTTGCTGTGATAAAATATAATTACCAAAGCAACGTATGAAAAATAAAGGGTTTGCTTTGGCCTGTGATTCCAGAGGGATAAGAATCTATCATGGCAGGCAGAAGCATGGCTGCAGGAACAGGAATCTGAGAGAGCACATCTTCAACTGCAAATGCAAAGCAGAGAGCAAACTGGAAATGGGGCCAGTCTATGAACTCCCAAAGCCTGCCTCCAGTAAAGCCTGACCACTGCCCAAACAGCACCATAAATTGGGGACCAGGTGTTTAAATACCAGAGTCTTTGAGCTTCATCCAAATCACTCAAATGTCCTAAACATTTTTGGACCCCCCCAGCTTGGAGCTAGAGTAATGGCCCAGAAGTTAGCATGTACTGGTTTTGTACAGGACCCGCATTCAGTTCCCAGCACCCACTTCTGCTTATAACATCAGCTATTAAGGATCTGGTCCTCAAGTATAGCACACTCATACAGGTGATTAGAAAGTCGTCTTTACTGTAACCAGTCTCCAGCCTGCAGGTACAACTGAGTCATGCTGTGCTTGCTTCATGTGCAGGAGCATTTGATGTAAGCATCCCGATCACCACAACAAACAATCTTCTAAGAGCAGGTTATGGAGAGTTTAAAGGATTCCTGTTCTAGTTTTATTAATTTAAAGAGATTGCATTTCAATAAAGAACTCCAGGAAACAGTTTGTCTAAGCAGACCCAGGCCATGGGCAGGAGATCCAGGTGGAGGGAATAGGCAGTTAAGATACCATTGTAGGAACTACTAGTGAGGTGTCTCATTGGTTAAGAGCACTTGATGCTCATGCAGAGGACCTGGATTTGGTCCCAAGTCCCCATATGGTGGCTCACAGCCACCTGAACTTGAGTTCCAGGGAATGCATTACCCTCTTTCAGCGTCCACTGGCAGCAGGCAGGCACACTGATACACATTCAGGAAAAACACTCATATACATAAAGTAACATACATAAATCTTAAAAAAAAAAGATATCATTACAGTAGTAGTTAAAACCAAAAGTATAAATAAGATAGCTTAAAGAGAATGAAAGAAGCTATCCATCACATTCCATTGTTCTGAAATAAATTCCAAGTGGTCAAAACGTAAAAAAAAAAAAAAGAGAGAGAGATAAAACAAAAGGTTTTATCAAAACTTGGAGAAGAAACTTCTTTGTAAGCAAAATCTAGGAACCATGATTTCATAAACTAAAAATTCTACTCCCCTACCCTCCAAGCCCTCACTGTTATCAAGTTGAACAAGCTAAGCAATAGCACACTTTAATGTAGTAGCAATCTGCTGCTTGGAATGGAAGAGCTCCTGTCACATTGAGAGAGGAAGAGGTTTTCAGGAATTCAGTACAAAAAGACAAGTAACAGCAAAATAAAATTGTGCCACATTAAATAAATCAAAAAGAAACCAACAAATATAATTTTTAAAATAACCATTTTTACTTTTTTCAGTTAGCAAAAATAAAAAAAGTAGGGGGATTAACAAGAATTATCAAGTAAAACCTGAAGGGTTAGAAGCAGAAAGAACAGGAGTTCAAAGCTGACCTTGGCTATGTAACAAATTCTAAGCCATCCTGGCCCACATGAGACGCTGTATCTAACACATGTACACACATACACAATCTTGTGTGCACATACATTAAAGTATAGGTCTTTGGACGGTAGTTTGACAGTTTGAACAAGTATATAAACACCCACGTGCTTTTAAGCCCTTTTAACTCTCCTATGGCATATTAGAGTAGATGTTCAGTACGGTACATAGAGGCCTGGTGATGGAGGTTTGGTCCCAGGATCCCTCAGAGTGGGAGGAGAGAACAGACTCCAGAGTTATCCTCTAATCTCCATACGCACACAGGAGAACACATATGTCTGCAGCACAAATTCTAGTTGGTATTAATAATACCAGATATTTGGCTTAAAGCTAAAGATCAGAGATGCAAAGCGGCCAGCCACTAGAGAGTTCTCACCTCTACCAATGCTCAGACAAAAATGGCGATCCTGTGCTCAGACTGTATCTCCAGATTGCATCTGTCTCCACCAAACCTCCAACTGCACTGAGCTCCTGTCTCCTCCTGCTTATGTTCCTCTCTGGTGCTGGAATTAAAGGCGTGGGATCCCAAGTACTGAGATCACCTTTGTGTGGGCTCTGTTTCTCTTTTAGACAGATTCAGTCTTAGCCCAGAGTGACCTTGAACTCACCCTCTGCCTTTGTCTCCCAATTGCTGGGATTAAAGGTGTGCACCACCACTGCCTGGCCTCTATGGCTAACTAGTGTCGACAGCTTTGTGTTCTAATCTTTAGGTAAGCTGTATTTGTTAAATCATAAGAAATATCACCACATGTATATACTTAAATACACAACATAAAATAAAGATTTAAAAATTGTGTATTATCTGGGAGTGATGTGCCATATCTTCAGGCCCAGTACTTTTGAGGCAGAGGCAGACATATCATATCTCTGTGAGTTCAAGGTTAGCCAGAACTACACAGTGAGTTCCAGTCTGTATTTAAATATTGTTTTATATATGGGAGCCATGCATGGTAGTGCATATTTCATATTGTAACCATAGCACTTGGGAGACTATGGTAGGGAGATTGTGAGCTTGAGACCACCCAGCTACACAGTAAAATCTTATGTCAAAATAATAAGGAAAACATGTACTTTTTAATATTTTATTTATTCATTACATGTATGGTGATTGGTGTGCAACAGGTTTGCTACTAGATAATGCATATGTCATGTTTCTCATGAATAAGAATTTAAAAATTGTGTTTATATTTACAGTTAGTTATATACAGAAATTTTCTAGAAGGCTCTTCTAATAGTACTACCATGGGTAGGTGAACTGAAAGGTTCAGGCTTAAAAAATTTACCAAAAATAGGCTTCAAAGAAGGAACAGAAAGCAAAATAGCAGAGCATAGATGACTTAAAGTTTGCTCTCAGGTTTTTGCCAAATACAGTTATCTGCCTCTTTACAAGTTATTATTAAAGGGTCAAAAAGAAGGGAGAGAGGGCCTTTTCAGCTGGATTTGGTGATGTAGAGAACACCATCGCCTGACATTGAAATAATGTCAGCAGAAGAATCTCTGCATGTTTCATGCTGCCATGAGCATTATTCATAACCTTCTGGTTCTCTTTTTAATTATAGGGGTCCCAATTTCATCTGCTGTTGCAGGTGTAGCAGTGGGATTGGTTACCAAAAGCAATCCAGAGAAAGGTGAAATAGAAGATTATCGTTTGCTGACAGATATTCTGGCAAGTATATTCCCAGTTTGAAATATATACAAGTGTATTAAAAGTACATGCTTAAATCAGTCATGGTGGCATACACTTGTATAGGCTGAGGCAGAAAAATCACTAGTCTTAGTCTAACCTAGATTACATAACAAGTTCCAGGCCAACATGGACCATGTGGTAAGACCTGTATCCCCCTCCAAAAAAAAAAAAAGAAAAGAAAAAAGACAAATAGAAGCCTCGGTCTAGAACAATGCTTCTCAACCTGTGGGTCCCAACCCCTTTGGAGAGTTTCAAATGACATTTTCACAGGAATCACATAAGACCGTTGTAGAACACAGATAATTACACTGCAATTCATAATAGTAGCAAAATTATAGTTATGAAGTAGCAGCAAAAATAATCTTATGGTTGGGGTCAGCACAATATGAGGAACTCTATTAAAGGGTCTCAGCGTTAGGAAGGGTGGGAACCACTGTGTTAAAGGGTTGAGTGTTAGGAAGGGTGGGAACCACTGTGTTAAAGGGTTGAGTGTTAGGATGGGTGGGAACCACTGTGTTAAAGGGTTGAGTGTCAGGAAGAGTGGGAACTATTGTATTAAAGGTCGCAGTGTTAGGATGTGTGAAAACCACTGGAAGAATGCTTGTGCTTCCAGAGTGGAGATGCAGTGTTTATTTCTTCTATTTACCTTGAATTTTAAAGGATATGTATTACTATATACTTATCCAGAATGGCTCCCTTTGGGCTAATTCTACATTAATTTTTATGTATTTATTAGGAGCAGGCATGAGCTAATCATAAGATGGTATTTCCAATGACAAGCTTTGTGCACTGGAGCAGCAGCCAAGCAGCAGAGGTGGCTCGTGCATTTAACGTTAGAGGACACAGCTTACTTCCAGAGCTAGCGCTTGAAATTCTTCTACAGTGACTGTGGGTGAATTTTGGTTGTTTAAAACTTTACCATAATTTCTTGAATTGTTGAAGGGAATTGAAGATTACAATGGTGACATGGATTTCAAAATAGCCGGTACAAATAAGGGAATAACTGCATTACAGGTACCATCTTGTTTCATTTTTTTTAAATATTTAAATAGTGGTGTGGACCACTATTTACTTACGTATTTATTTGGCTGTTCTATATTAGGCTGATATTAAATTACCTGGCATACCAATTAAAATTGTAATGGAAGCCATTCAGCAAGCATCAGGTAAGTCAATGTGTCTTATGCTGCTCTCATTTCTGTCTAGTTTGTTAATGGCACCTATAGTTCCCACTAAGCCTACTATAAAACATCAGTGTCACTAACTGGAAGAATGTTTGCCTGTGATGTATTGAGTCAGATCCCCAGCACCATCAAAACAGGGAGGGTGGAGAGTGGGGCCCTGTAACTTAACAAATAGTAATTATTGATCACGTGACAGAAAGACTGCCCAAATGAAAGAAGAGTGAAATTTTAATTTTTATGAAGTAAGCAACTTTCTGAGCTAGGAGTTTGGAGAAGTGAATGAGGAGTAGAAGTGAAATTTTAAGATAATTGGAATATGAAAAGCTTTCAATACTGAGCTAGAGTTTTGATTGTACACCAGAAAAACTGAGAGTGAAATTATTGCATATCGTACTTACTCGATTGAATTACAATTTTATTCTGTTGATATTTCTTCTAGTGGCAAAGAAGGAGATATTACAGATAATGAGCAGAGCAATTTCAAAACCTCGAGCGTCTAGAAAAGAAAATGGACCAGTCGTAGGTAAGACATTAAAATTATTACTGATAGCTTGATAAGCATTAATGTTTAAACATTTGTTACTATTTTAAAACATTTTTCTCTTATCAAAATAAAAATATTTAAGTACTTTTATTACTAAATACTTTCAAAGAAAAGAATTCTTTTACAGTCATTCATTTATTTGTACATTTGGTAGGCATTTACACACCACACTGTGTGCCTGGCAATCAGAGGCTAACTTGTGGAAATTGATTCTCTCTTTTCATAGTATTAGTCCTGGGATTGAACTCAGGTTGTCAGGGTTGGCAGCCCAGGCCTCGACCCACTCAGCCATCTTACCAGTCCTAGATGAAAGATTTAAAATGCTCTTTCCATAAAGAAATGGAAAAGTGAGAACATATATGCTTACTCTGGTTGAAACATTATACTATGTATACAAGTACTAAAACATCACAATAAATACGTTAAATTTGTTTAAAGAAAACCAAACCTTAAATTACTTAGGTTTAAACATTATACTATGTATATAAGTACTAAAACATCACAATAAATACGTTAAATTTGTTTAAAGAAAACCAAACCTTAAATTACTTAGGTTTAAACATTATACTATGTATACAAGTACTAAAACATCACAATAAATACGTTAAATTTGTTTAAAGAAAACCAAACCTTAAATTACTTAGGTTTAAACATTATACTATGTATATAAGTACTAAAACATCACAATAAATACGTTAAATTTGTTTAAAGAAAACCAAACTTTAAATTACTTAGGTTTAAACATTATACTATGTATACAAGTACTAAAACATCACAATAAATACGTTAAATTTGTTTAAAGAAAACCAAACTTTAAATTTGAGAACATACTTTGTATGTTTTTTCAGTAATTTTAATCACAACAAATTTCTTCTATTTCATAATGAAAGGTTTGTATATAGGTTCATACATCTTTGGCTTCTTTACATCATTGTCTGCATTACATTTCAGAAACAGTTAAGGTTCCGTTATCAAAACGAGCAAAATTTGTTGGACCTGGTGGATACCACTTAAAAAAACTTCAGGCTGACACAGGTAAACGTTGTCTCAAGTTTGGGGGTATTATTAAATGCCAAACCATGTCTGCTATTTCATCTCTAACATGTTGCTCCACAAATAGTATTTGAGAGATAAGAGAAAGATCAGAAGAAAAGTTCAAGCTGTCTTCCCTGTGAATTTTCTGTGCAATTCTTTTGTAAGTTAACAAATTTAATGCTCAACTATATTCAAGAAGCATAAAGCAGCATGGTAGGCATGCCCGTGACCGTAGTATTTGATGATAGCCAGGAGGACAAACATAGCAAGACCCTGTCTCAGAAAAGAGAAAAGATGACAAAAATCCATAATACTCCTTTCACATTTAAAATTGAACATTCCCAAATAATTTTTAGTTTTTTGTAACTAAATAACTTGGGTTGTTAAGTACTCCTACTTGTGGAGCTTGGACTTGGCTTCATTTAGGTTCTTTTGTTTAAAAGCGTATGCACAGGCCAGGTGCATTCAGGGGCAGAGGTGGTGGCTCTCAGTGCGCTCAAGGCTAGCTGGGCGTACATACTGAGTTCCAAGCCAGCCAGCCATTCCCACATTTATATGAGGCCTTGTTTGAAAACAAGCAAGCAAAACCAAGAGTATATGCAGGAATGGTCACATTCTTCTAGAAGCAATGTCAGGATGACCTAGTAGTTAGTTTGAGCTTGTTAAAAGACAAGCGGCAGAGTGACCTTAACCAGTGTTAGGAGTAAGAGACTGACATGATTCATTCTAAAGGATGAAAATAATAAATGATGATGAAAGTGTTCTGCTACAATTTCTAGTCATAATTAGAGAGCATAATTAAAAGCCTTAAAAATAAGCCCTGCTATGCAAGGACATGGTTCATTGTTATATCCTTGGGGGCCTAGTAAAATGCCAGGTGCCTAGCAGGATAGCAGTGTGTGTTTGATGGTGAGTGACCCCTCACTAGGGGACAGTCACACACAGAAACCCAACCTAGCTGCTTCTAGATCCCTCCCTGTTCCTGCATTCACTCTTTAGTCTCCTTTGGCATGACCTTGTTAATTTTAGCATATTAAGTTACCTCTCTTGTCCTTCACACCACTCACTATGATGCTGGGTTTATTCTTAAGGTGTAACAATCAGTCAAGTTGATGAAGAAACCTTCTCCATATTTGCACCAACCCCTAGTGCAATGCATGAGGCGAGAGACTTCATTACCGAGATTTGCAGAGATGATGTAAGTATAGATCTTAGGATAGTTTTCCCCTATTTTTTCCTGTTATCTTTATTAGCCTAATGATTTATTTTTCACTTTACAGCAAGAGCAACAATTAGAATTTGGAGCAGTTTATACTGCTACAATAACTGAAATCAGGTAATTACAAATAAACAATAGGTTTGCTTTTCACTGCAAGCCCAGATTCACTTTGTATTTAGATATATGCCAACACGTGTGTGTGCGTGTGTGTGTGTGTGTGTGTGTGTGTGTGTGTATTTATATGTAGCTGGGAGTGACTGCTTTCTCTCTTTATTCTTATGTGTGTAGATGTTTGGCCTGCATGTATGTCTACCCACCATGCAGTGCCTGAAGAGGATATTGAATCCCTGGGGATTAGAGTTAGATGGCCGTGAGCCACTAGGCAGGTGTTGGGAATCGAACCTGAGTTCTCTGTAAGACCAAGAAGTGCACCCAACCACTGAACTTCCCTCCAGTCCCACCCCCTTTTTGTGTTTTGTTGTGTTTATCATTAGTTTTATATATATGGGTGTTTTGCTTACATGTGTGTCTATCATCATGTGTGTGATGCCTACAGAGGCCAGAAGAGGGCATCAGATTCCCTTGAACTAGAGTTACAGACAGATATGAGCAGCCATGTTGGTGTTAAGACTCCCACCCAGGTCCTCTGGAAAAGCAGCCGATTCTCTTAATTGCTGACCCATCTCTCCAGCTGACTCTGAACTTTTGATGCCCCTGCTTCCACCTCCGGAATGCTGGATGGTGTACACCATCATGACTTGTTCAAGCCATGGGCATGTGGGTCCTCTACATCCCTAGCCCCATGTAATTCTTTTTTTGTATGCTAATTTTATATTCTGTGTCACTGTAGTTTTTCAGTAACATAGTCATATAATAGATTCTCTGCCAGAATTTTTCTTTTTATTTTAGAAACAGTCTTATTTTACATATCAGTCCCCCCATTCCCTCCTATCCTCCCATGCCCCCCAATAACCCCCCCCACCCCACCCCTCACCCACTCCTCAAGGATAGTGAGGCCTTCTGTTGGGGATCATCAAAGTCTGTCACATCATTTGGGGGGAGGGCTGAGACCCTCTTTCATGTATCTGGACTGCAGTAGTATCACTGTAAGGAAGGCTCCCAAAGTCCATTTGTGCACTAGGGATGAACACTGACTCCTCTGTTAGAGGTCCCATAGACCTCCCAGGCCTCCTAGCTGGCTCCACATTCAGAGGGCTTGGATCAGTCCAATGCTGGTTCCCCAGCTTTACGACTCTCCCTCTCCTCTCGTCTCCCAGTGAACATAGGTGGGCCAAGACTTCAACGTTGGCAACTCTGGATGGTCTAGCCTCTCATGGTGTTTTCCTCACTCAGACAGAGGGCATAGGGAGGGCCAAGATTCAAGTGGAGGGTGGAAGGGGCGCCAAGACTGAGGTGTGGCCAGACTCTGGGTGGTCTGTCCTGCTGGGGCACATCCACTACACTAGGAGTGGACCCAGGAAGTTCCAAGGAGGGGGTGAGGGAGTTGGACCTCAAGCGGAGGGCAAGGGGCCAGAATTTTTTTCTTAAACCAAATATTTTTTACCATATTTCTTTTTGGGGACCTGGGGGGGTTCAAGACAGGGTTTCTCTGTGGCTTTCGAGACTGTCTTAGAATTAACTCTGTAGACCAGACTGACCTCGAACTCACAGAGACCCGCCTGCCTCTGCCTCCCGAGTACTGGGGTTAAAGGCGTGCGTCACCAACGCCCAGCCCGTATTTTATTTCAAACCACATTTTCTACCAATTTTATTTTCCCCAAAAACTGTAAGGCAAAAAATACAAGTTAGTGTTCCCTTTTTATCGTTATTGTTTCTACAGCTATTTTTTGATATTTAATTAGCACATATTTTCAAGTCACTTTCAACCTCAAAGTATTTTTACCAGCTGATATTATCTCAAAATGCCACTTCTAAAAAAGGAGGGGGGGAGAAATTATTTAGAATATTTGAATATTTCTTGAAAGTTTTTAAAAATTAATGAAAGAGAATGAGATAATCTGTTTAACATTACAGGTGAAAACTGAGCAATACAATTGATTGTTTTCAGACTAGAGAAAAAAGCAAGAGAACTTTTCACAGCCATCCACTCATAACTCCAAATCCAGGAGATCTGATGCCCTCTTCTGACCTCCACAGGCACTAGGCGTACACATGGTGCACAGACACACATATACACTTACTTCACAATTTTACAGATTGTGAAGAGAAACATAGGTAAATATGAATCTAAAACCTTTTCCTTTATCTCTCTTGATCATTTGAATCCCAAATATTTAAATATAGGGCATAATTTCCTATTGAAAAACAAAATATTTGGGCTCAGGATGGATATGTGGCTTATTATTAGTGCTCTTATTAATTATGTGTGAGGTCCTAGGTTCAATCCCAAGTACTTTGAAACAGGAAAGGGAGGGACAGAGGGGGAGAGGATATGAGAGAAAGATATTTGTTATATAGTCATGATTTTTATAATCATAGACTATATCCTAGAAGCCAGGCCTAGTGGTACACAGCTTTGGTCCCAGCACACAGGAGGCAGGGACAGGCACATCTCTGTGAGTTTGAGGATAGCCTGGTCTACATAGTGAGTTCCAGGGCTATAGAGAGAAGAGACCATCTCTCTCTCACTCTCTCTCTATATATATATGTATGTATGTATGTATGTATGTATGTATGCATGTATGTATGTATATCATCCATCCTAGAATGTAGTCTAGAGATTGGTTTGACATCCTTCTTCTGTGAAAGCATCAGTTCTTCTGTTTTTCAGTACAAGTACTTATTGTTTAACCAAGCTGATGTCTTTTTGTAGAGACACTGGAGTAATGGTAAAACTTTACCCAAACATGACTGCTGTGCTACTTCATAACACACAACTTGACCAACGGAAGGTAAAAGGAAGGACGGATGTGTGTGTTTGTGTGTGGTGAATGTGCACTGTCAGAGCACAGACGTGTATGCAGAACAGAGGATGGCATAGGGTGTGCTGTGGGACTCCCCATCTTATTCCCTTGAGACTTGGTCTCTCACAACCTGTAGTTTGCCACTCCTCACTCATCTAGGCCAGTGGCCAGCAGGCTCCAAGGATCTTCCCTCTCTCATTCCCTACAGCACTGGGGTCACACTTACATGGGTAACTTCTGACTTTTTATACACACGCTGGGGATTTGAACTCAGGTCCTCGTTTTTTGTGCAAGTGTCCCCAGCCCAGAATTTGACCTTTTATAATTACTAAAAATAATATGGAAATTACCTAAATTGTTGAGAATTGTGTGTTTTGTAATAGTTTTAGTACACCAGCCACTAATATTTGCAATAATGAAATGTAAAGAAATAGAACAGCCCTTTTCAAAGGACTATAGTTTGAGTATTTACTTGTGCTTCAGTTATTTGTATGAAAGGATATCCTTCGCATATAAACGTATAGAGTGAGCTTCGTGCCCGCCCATATCTATCAGTACACACTAAATAGACGTTTGAAGCGCTAACACTGTCGTGGGAACAGAAGTTATCTACGTGTAGTTTTGGGTGGTTTTCATTTTCTTCTATTGTTTTCAATCTTTGTAAATAATTTCATTAGCAAAAAAATATAGCTGTTCCCTTGGGGAACAGTGTTTACTTCTGTGGTAGACAATTACATATAACTAATTAACTTTTTTTTTTTAGATTAAACATCCCACTGCCCTAGGATTAGAAGTTGGCCAAGAAATTCAGGTACTTGTGTTCAGTATATTGTACTTCAAGTTCCAATTAGTATTTTTGAAGAAATAGAATAAGAATTCCACCTTTACAGCTGTGCACCAGTGTAGCCTGCCATTGGGAGACAGACTTGATAACATGATTGAAAGCCCTTCATCTTTTAGCAATTGAGGCTTTGTACTTGACTTTAAATATTTCTAAACTTACAATACTGTTGCTACGGTCTAGAACTCTGATAATAAACTGGCCCTGTCTTGTAGTCCTCTGCCATTAATGGAAGTTGTTGCTGATCTGGGTGTGTTTTGGTTACACTTGAGTAACTGAGGCCACAAGTTTATTCCCAATCTGGGCTCCTGTTGTTTAAGTAGCTCTGGGCAAAGATGAGGCCCATGATCAATGGCATCCCTCCTTTATAGATCCCATGATCGATGGCCTCCCTCCTTTATAGATCCCATGATCGATGGCATCCCTCCTTTATAGATCCCGTGATGGATGGCCTCCCTCCTTTATAGATCCCGTGATGGATGGCATCCCTCCTTTATAGATCCCATGATGGATGGCCTCCCTCCTTTATAGATCCCGTGATGGATGGCATCCCTCCTTTATAGATCCCATGATGGATGGCATCCCTCCTTTATAGATCCCATGATCGATGGCCTCCCTCCTTTATAGATCCCGTGATGGATGGCATCCCTCCTTTATAGATCCCATGATGGATGGCATTCCTCCTTTATAGATCCCGTGATCGATGGCATCCCTCCTTTATAGATCCCATGATGGATGGCATCCCTCCTTTATAGATCCCATGATGGATGGCCTCCCTCCTTTATAGATCCCGTGATGGATGGCCTCCCTCCTTTATAGATCCCATGATCGATGGCCTCCCTCCTTTATAGATCCCATGATCGATGGCATCCCTCCTTTATAGATCCCATAATGGATGGCCTCCCTCCTTTATAGATCCCATGGTCGATGGCATCCCTCCTTTATAGATCCCGTGATGGATGGCATCCCTCCTTTATAGATCCCGTGATGGATGGCATCCATCCTTTATAGATCCCGTGATGGATGGCATCCCTCCTTTATAGATCCCGTGATGGATGGCCCCCCTCCTTTATAGATCCCATGATCGATGGCATCCCTCCTTTATAGATCCCATGATAGATGGCCCCCCTCCTTTATAGATCCCATGATGGATGGCATCCCTCCTTTATAGATCCCGTGATCGATGGCATCCCTCCTTTATAGATCCCGTGATCGATGGCATCCCTCCTTTATAGATCCCATGATAGATGGCCTCCCTCCTTTATAGATCCCGTGATGGATGGCATCCCTCCTTTATAGATCCCATGATCGATGGCATCCCTCCTTTATAGATCCCGTGATCGATGGCCTCCCTCCTTTATAGATCCCGTGATGGATGGCATCCCTCCTTTATAGATCCCATGATGGATGGCATCCCTCCTTTATAGATCCCATGATGGATGGCATCCCTCCTTTATAGATCCCGTGATGGATGGCCCCCCTCCTTTATAGATCCCGTGATGGATGGCATCCCTCCTTTATAGATCCCATGGTCGATGGCCTCCCTCCTTTATAGATCCCATGGTCGATGGCATCCATCCTTTATAGATCCCATGGTCGATGGCATCCATCCTTTATAGCCAAAGGGACGTTAAGCCCGTTGCACTTTCCTCTTGTTTGCCTTCTTCATGGAGAAGTGTACTCTAATGCAGTGGTCCCTGAGTAGTAGAGAAAATGCAAAGCCCTTATCTGAACTGTGACTTGGTCTTACAGGATAGGGACCTAGAAGCCATAAAAAGGCACAGTTAATTTATGAGACGATTCTAATTTGAAAACTACATGTCTGCTCTCTTTTCTGTTGTTTGATTGGTTTGTTTTAGAGAGTAGCTCAGGCTAGCATCAAACTCAGGCTTCCTGGTAAATGCTGGTATTACAACAAGGAACTATGCTTTGATTCTTTTTGTCTTTTTATAACAGCTATTTAACCAGATATGTATTGAGTGTGTCTCTACATATTACTAAGCTATGCCTTTATTAGACACATACAAATACTAATTACTGCTTTATTTGTACAATGTAAATTTAAGTGTCTTTGAAATTACATATCAACTTTAAATTGTTTCTTTAACATAGGTCAAATACTTTGGCCGCGATCCAGCTGATGGAAGAATGAGACTTTCTCGAAAAGTACTTCAGTCTCCAGCTGTAACTCCTGTCAAAACTCTAAATGATAGAAGTAGCATTGTAATGGGAGAGCCTGTTTCACAGCCATCATCAAACTCTTCCCCTTGACTCCTTTTGGAAATGGTATTCAATGATATTCTGCAAAGCAAATTTTAATGTGTAGATTTATATATAATTTAAGTAAAATTATTTGTTTAACACAAATAAAATGCTCATTTCTATAGGTGGATTTTTCTGTCCCACCAGCCAGTTCCAAAATCATGACATGGAGACTTATTAATCATGAAAGCTTAGCGGATGGCTTAGGTTTGTTCTTAGCTACCTCTTTTCTATTAATCTGTGTGGTCCCTGAGGCTCGTCCCCATCATCTACACACTGTCCACCCTGCTTTCCTGCTGCTTCCCTGTCTCTTGACTCAGCCTTTCTTCTTCCCAGTGTCCTCTGTGCCTGGAAATCCTGCCTAGCTATTGGCCACTTAGCTCTTAGTAAACCAATCCAAGTGACACATCTTCACAATGCACAAAAAGATTATTCCACGACACATTTCATGTGCCTTTTTTATTTCAGGAGCAACCTATATTTGCCTGTCTTTATTTAGGTAAGTCAGTAAATATTTATTAATGAATAAGCTATTTTTATGTTAGGGGAGATTACCTTTTGTCCTGTAATTGTACACTACTGAAAAGTAGTAGATCATTGATGCTCTCCCAAGGGTCTTTTCCCACCCTCCCTTCTCCCCATGCGTCCATGGCCTTTCTCCCGTCATCGTGGCTCACTGTGCCCACAGCTGTGCCTGCCTGCTCCATTGCTACAACTTGCGGCCATGGTAAAAGCCACAACTTTTTTTTTTTTCAGAGAAATTAATTGGCATTGAGGTAACTAATTTGATTCAGTTTTTAACGGTATGTCTTTCAGTCACAAAACCATAAATACAGTGGAATGAGTTTTATAATTGGGATTCTGGTTAGGGAGATTATTTTTTCTTCTTTCTCTTTTTTTTCTTTTGGTTTTTGAGACAGGGTTTCCCTGTGTTAACAGCCCTAGATGTTCTGGAATTCACGTTGTAGGCTGGCTTCAAACTCACAGAAATCCACCTGCCTCTGCTGGGATTAAAGGTGTATGCCACCATGTCCAACTTTTTTTTTAATTACCTAAATATAAAACATTACGCACCCATCAGATAACACTAGGTCATTCTTTGTGTGTATGTAATTGGCACTGTGTGGATATCTATTATTGGTGAAAGAGCTTGGAACCAGATTAGTGATGTAATTTCTAGAAATAATGTCAAGTTCATTGTCATAATTTTTATTTTTTTCTTCAGACAAGGTCCCACTGTGTAACCTTAGATAGCCTAGAACTCATTAGAAGAGGCTGCCCTGGGACTGAGACCCACCTGTAGGACGGTAAAGTGCTGAAATGAAAGGCGAGAACCTCGTACCCAGCTCATTGCTGTAATTTCAACCATGCTATTAATCCGCGAAAAAGTAAATACTACAATTCTTATCATGTGAATCCTTACTCAGGGCTAATCTATAAGATGTTAAATATCGGGGCTGGACAAAGGTCTCAGAGGTTAAGAGCACTGACTGCTCTTCCAGAGGTCCTGAGTTCAATTCTCAGCAACCACATGATGGCTGACAGTCATCTATAATTCAATATGGTGCCCTCTTCTGGCATGCAGGCAGAATACTGTATATGTAATAAGTAAATAAATCTTTAAAAAAAGATATTAAATATCTATCAGTCCAAGCCAAAGACTTTTAAGGTATATTAATGCATAACTCAACAAACATTATTCTCTGTAAAATGCCATATTAAGACAGTATTGATACCCTTTCTAAAATAGTAAAAATTAACTGAAAATTAAAAATTATATTTGATTTATATATTTGATATACTGCTATTTAGTAATAGTGACCAGCACCATAATCCTTAGTTTAAGAGACAATAACCCTTAGTGGTTGGATTTCAGAATTATATTGTGCATTTCTTAAATTTGCTCTTATTTTTCAAAAGGACTCTAACCTGTTAATAATTTGGAAAAAAAGAATACAGTTCTTGGAACTCTAGAAGAGTGCCACAGAATTAAACGGACAGCTCACTAATAACCAACAGCAGAAGCACCCTCTCACTTCTGCATAAACCAAGAGCCTACCATTTGAGCCAGAATTTCAAATCATGTTAGTTTTCCATAACTTCTAATGAAGTGTAGCTTCAGCTGTCTTGGAACTTGCTCTGTAGACCATACTGTCCTTGAACTCAGAGATCTGCCTGTGTCTGCCTCCTGAGTGCTGGGAATAAAGGTTTGTGCCACTACCACCAGGCCCTGGAATGAAGTTTATAATCTGGGACTGTCATATGCCAAAAACTAATTTATAGTACCTGAATACTGGTGTTTGTAATTTGTTCTTTTATGATCTTTTTTTGACATGCCATGAATTAGTGTTCAAATTTTATCTTTGTGTGTGTGTGTGTTTATTTATTTTGTGCACTTAAAAGCCATTGTGCATGTATAGGGATCAGGATAACTTGTAGGAGTTGGTTCTTTCCTACTATGTGGGTTCCAGGAAACAAACTGAGGTCATCAGACTTGACAATAATTATTACACCATATTGCTAAGCCATCTTACCTGTTCAAGTTATGGTTTTTATGTGATTATTTTCCTTCTCTTCCAAAACATTTTAAGTTTCTAGATCTAAGATAGGAGCATGAACACCAGCAGCTGTGTTTGTTAGCTCAGCCAAGCATCACATTCATTCAGTCAACATTTACTGTGGACTAAGCACGGTCACATGTACAGGGGATGTCAGCAAGCAGAGCTGAAGTTCATGCTCACTTCTTCTTGAAGAATGTAACATGTGACAAAGTAGCAGGAGCTTTAACTAGAAAGGCATTGGGGTAAGGGGTTGGAGTGACCTGTCCTACTGCTGCAATGTAGACCATGAACAAGATCAACTTGGGGAGCGCAGACCACAGTCTATTGAGAAAAGCAGTGGTCATGAGGAATGCTGCAACCTGGCTTGCTCCCCATGGCTTACTCAGTCTGCCATCTTTTTTTTTTTAATAAATACTTTATTATTATCATCATTTATGTATGGATGTATGTATGTACATACATACATATATATGGCATCCCCAAACAGGGTTTCTTTGTGTGGGCCATGCTGGCCTTGAATTCCTCTGCTGGATTAAAGGCATGTGCCACCACTACCTGGTAGCCCAGTCTGCTATCTTATACTATCTAGGACCACCTACCCCGCCTCCCCAGTGAGCTGGGCCCTGGCATATCAAGCATTAATCAGTAAAATGCCCCATAGACTTAACTATTGGCCAACCAGATGGAAACATTTTCTCATTTGATATTCCCTTTTCCCAGATGATCCTGGCTTGAATAAAGTTGATGAATAAGTAAATAAACAACACCAAAACACCCAACCAGGACAAGTGATAAGAAGTTATTGTTTAAAATGAAATAATCCAGAACCACTTCCCTGAATAGATAATATTTAAAAAGAGCCCTGAATGAAGTAGAGGAAGGAGATGTGAAGACATTTGAGAAAGGATTTCAACTAGGGGTCTTCACTTTCATTTGTTATTCTGTGCTGTAAAGCAAACACAACCCTTCCATTCTATAAACCAATTTCACATAGTCATTTGCTTTTTATAACAGACAAAGAGCTGGAGAGATGGCTCAGAGCTTAAGAGCACTGACTGCTCTTTCAGAGGTCCTCAGTTCGATTCCCAGCAACCACATGGTGGCTCACAGGTATCTAATGAGATCTGATGACCCACATGATGGAAGGGAATCAACTCCTCCAAGTTGTTCTCTGACCTCCAGACACACGCCATGGTGCTTGAGTAGCACCTGCAGGTAAATAAGTGTAATGACATTAAAATATATATATATAAACAGGTGGAGATAGCAGGAGTATTTTCAAAACATTTAATCAGGCAATATATCCTTGGCTATTTCCAAGGAATAAACAGAATCATGAACAGTTTAATAGGCTTTGACAGATGCTTTCTCATGAAACTTGACAATAGGAAAGGCAGACAGAAATGGGAAAGAAAATATAAACACTCATTGAGTGTCAGGGATAAGAAAGCAGTGTTTATGTCTCATGGGTGGATATAATTAATGTAGGGCTGAAAGAGAAAGAAGCAGTTACACTGCCAACTTTAGCCTGGGCTTGTGAAGACAGTAGGCTCTGGGATCGGTGGAAAACTTGCTAGATAGGAGTGAATCTGTCAACCAACATAGAGATGACTGTCCTGGAAGCATTTGGAGACTGTTGTGTGGCTTCTGGGGAATTTATTTAGCCTAGAGAGAAAGGGTACCTAACCAAAGAAAGTATTCCATCCAAGCTGATCAGCAAGTAAATTCATTGGGATTCTATAAAGGAGCAATGGGCAACAGACATGTAGCTACCCCAAAAATTCCTACTCCAATAGTGAATCCTTGACCCTCCCCTTCTCAACTGGAGAATATTAATAGGCCCTGAATTCAGTCCCTGGCAACACACCAAACAAGAATAAAAACCTTGTATGATGTACTTTTGTTTCCTTTGGAAACTTACTAATGTAGCTATTAATGAAAAGTTGATAGACACTCTAGCCAAGGGTTCTTGCAATGTAGCCCTAATTTCCCAGGAACTCACTATATAAACAGGCCGACCCTGAGTCTTAAAGTTGCACATATGCATCATGACTCTGATTTGGAGAGGGGAGTTGTTGTTGTTTGTGTTTTAAAGTCATGTTAGGGGCTAGTGAGATGGTTCAGCAGATACAGGCACTCGCCATCAAGTCTGACAACCTAAGTTCAATCCCTAGGATGATGGCTAGGAAGAACTGATTCCAAGTTGTCCTCTGACCTCATGCACACTGACAAATGAGTGTACTCATGTACAATAAATGTAAAAACGAGTTTTTAAAAAACATTGGGCTAGAAAGATGCTTTTATGGGTAAAAGCACTTGGCGTCAAGCCTGAGTTTGATCCCAGAGACCCACATAGTATAAAGAGAATACTGAGTCACACAAGTGCTGATCTCCACATGTGTATAATGGCACATGTGTATGCACATACACTAAATGAATAAGCATGTATGTCTAAATTATGTTATAGGTGTAACAGTTTAATCCCCAGAGTACACATAAGAAGCCAAACATGGTGGTTTGTACTTGTAATTCCAACACTGATGGAGATAGGTCCGTGGTGCTCACTGGCCAGCCAACATAGCCTTACTAGGAAATTCCAAGCTAGTGAAGAGACTGTCCCAAAGTGAATTAACACCAGAGGTTTACTTGTGGCACACACACACACAGTCATTTTCTGCAGTGATTACAGTTGGCAGACAAGCTGAAGCAGGAGAATCCCTTCAGTCCAGATATTTGACCGGTTTGGGTAACATAGTAAGACTTCATCATTCAACAACAAAGGGGAGAGGTAGACTGTTGATTAGAAGCAGTTTTATAAGCAGATGAAAATAAGCAGGATGGACAGTGAAAAGACTTAGAATTAAGATGACTTTATTCTGTAATTGCTAGGAGCACTGAAAAATACAATGTTTCATGAAAACTACATTGAGCAGTTGCCTGTTAATATTTTTAAATTGTGGCTATAGTATTCTCATAATTTTCAAGAATTCATAAACTGGAAGAGACTGCAAAAAAAGCACAAAAGCATGTAGATAATTATCATAAAATATAAAAATTACAATAGATTGAGGGGACAAATGTATCACCAGATGACAAAGAAATTACTTACAAAATTCTATGTACATAAATAATGCCCTTAATTTTACAAGTATCAGGAATTAGAAAGACCGGAGAGATGGCTCAACAGTTAGAAGGAGCACTTGACGCTCTTGCCGAGGACATGAGTTGGGTTCCCAGCACTCAGATGGTGGCTTATAGCCATCTGTAAACTACAGTACCAGGGGATCTAATACTCTCTTGTGGCCCAAGCAGGATCTGAATACATGTGGTGTACACATAAATAAATCCTCTGAGTATAGAAACACACTGAAGGCAGGAACAAAACCAACACCACTATCATTCAGTATTCTGATGGTCTTATCAATGTTAGGAGAGTGAAAGGGGGTGTCAGAAAAACAAAAAATATTTGCAAATGACCACCTAAACCACTTGTTACAAAACAGGATTTACAAGTGAGCATGTCAGCTGGGCGTTGGTGGCACATGCCTTTAATCCCAGCACTCGGGAGGCAGAGGCAGGAGGATTTCTGTGAGTTCGAGGCCAGCCTGGTCTACAGATCGAGTTCCAGGACAGCCTCCAAAACAATACAGAGAAACCCTGTCTCAAAAAAAAAAAAAAAAAAGTGAGCATGTCAAAGGAGTCAAAAGTTGTTATGTAAAGAGCTCGTCTCCATTTTGCTCAGTCAAACCAAACCCATCACCTTTCCAGGCTTTGAAGATCTAAACCAGCAGCAAGTTTGTCCCATCCCTGTAGTCCATACGAAGGTTAAATATCTGCTCCCAAAGAATACAAGCCAGTGAAATCATAAAGTCTTCTAACTGAACACTTTGAAAACTCTGATTTCCCAATGCCACATGCTAGCTGATTTAGTTCCTTCAGTGTGCATCTACTCTCCTTAGCAGACCCAGTAATTCTCCACAGATGGTGTTACGATTTAAACCTAGTTACCATGGCTTCACAGCTCCAAGAAAGAGCAAATATAGTAAAGGACTTTCAAGAGGGTGGGAAATGCTTGCTTTCACAAGGATTGAGGAGCTGCTTCTACAAGGTCTGAGGGTCCAGAGATATCTATAATACAAATGCCCTAAGGAACTCTCATCCACATTTTCAGGTTTCCTAACAAGAGTCTCAATTACATAGCAGAGACGAAGCTGACCATTCATATATTCAAATATCTTTAAGTAGAGCTCTGTGACCTCAAATCCTATGTCTACCCTTCAACTGTAAGAAATAAGTTGAGCTCAAGACTATGCCTTATGACCTAGATTTAGGCTCTGAAATACCCTGAATATCTCAATTGCAGTCTCTATTATTTCCTCCGTATTTTTAGGTGCTCCAATTTTTGCACAGGCAACATGGCTCCCCTCCTTTAGAATATTTTTTTAGTCCAGTAGCTGGTGAGCAGCACGAAAATGGCCACATTCGAAGACTTAAGTAGACCCATTCCCCAAACCAATCTTACTGTTTTTCTTGACTTAGTTATACCACCTGTGATGACCATTCTTGGTTGTCAACTTGACTACATCTGGAATTAACTAAAGCCCAAAAAGCTGTAGGTACATGTGGCAGTTTGAAGATGGACCCCAGTAGCTCATAGGGAGGAAGTGTGGCCATTTTAAAGGAAGTGTCACTAGGGGTGGGCTTTGGGATTTTACAAGTTCAAGCTAGGCCCACTGCCTACTCTCCCTGCTGCCTGTGGGCCCAGACTATAATTCTCAGCTATCTCTCCAACACCTCATCGGCCTGTGCACAGCCTTGCTTCCTGCCATGACAATGGACTGAATCTCTGCACTGTAAGCCAGCCCCAATTAAATATTTTCCCTTATAAGAGTTGTTGTGGTTGTGGTGTCTCTTCACAGCAACAAAACCCTTAGACAGTATACAGGGAATTTTGTTGTTTTTTTGAGACAGGGTTTCTGTAGCTGTGGAGGCTGTCCTGGAACTCACTCGGTAGATCTGCCTGTCTCTCCCTCCTGAGTGCTGGAATTAAAGGTGTGTGCCACCACCACCTGGCCTTTTTTTTTTTTTTTTTTTTTTTTTTTTTTGAATGGGGATTTTTTCTTCTTAAATCATTTGAAGTGAGAAGACCCACTTTTAATCCAGATCTTGAGTGTGGACGACATCTGCTAGTAGCCTGTGAACGTGGTAGGAGGAGGATTGCTCTTTGCCTGCATGTTCCTGCTTTTGCGTTCACTGCAAGTCCATTCCCTCACTGGACTCTACTTTGTGATTCTGTCAGATATGGGAGACTAGCTGAGACATCCAGCCTTGTGGACTGAACTACTGGATTCTTAGACCTTCCATTGGTAGAAAGCTATTATTGGACTAGTTGGCCCATAGCATGTAAGCTGTGTGTCTGTGTGTCTGTGTGTGTGGGTGTGTGTGTATGCTCCTCTAGAGAACCCTGATCTTTTTCAGTTCTGGTCCTCAGAGAAGCAAAAGGGATTACAGTTAGCTTCCATATTTATGAGTTTTGCATATATCCATTTGACCAACTTTTTTTTTTTTAATCCAAAATTGCCTGTGTCAGGCAAGGGAGATATCTCTGTGTAAATGTGCTTGCCACCGCCGGGCGTTGGTGGCGCACGCCTTTAATTCCAGCACTCGGGAGGCAGAGGCAGGCGGATCTCTGTGAGTTCGAGGCCAGCCTGGTCTACAGAGTGAGTTCCAGGACAGCCTCCAAAGCCACAGAGAAACCTTGTCTCGAAAAACCAAAGGAAAAAAAAATGTGCTTGCCACCAAGACTGACAATCTTTTGAGTTTCATGTCCAGGACCCATGTGGTGGAAGGAGGGAAGTGACTCTTGACAAGTTGTCCTCTGTCTTACACACCATGTTGTGGCAAAGGGCCTCTCCTCACAAATAAATGTCATGTTGTCATGTTTTAAAAGCATCTATGGCACTGATGTCTCAGCCATTAAGAGCTCTTGCAGAGGACCAGAGTTCGGTATCCAGAACCCATATCAGACTGTTCACAACTGTCTGTTACTCCAGTTATAGGGCATTCATTCCAACAACTTCGGCTCTCTGAGGACACCTGCACTCACATGCACACACCCACACATGTTCATGTACATAATGAAAAATAATCTTTAAAAGGGCCTTTGTGATAAGCATTTTTGTTCATTATTCATTCTGTAAACAATCTAGTATTTAAGCATTTGTTCTCTAACAAACAAGTATTTAAGTAGCATTATAGGTATTATAATCCAGAGATGATGTAAATTACTCTGCAGGACATGACAGGTTATAAGCAGAACATATGCTATTTTACATAAGGAACTTCAGCATACACAGAATTTGGTATTGATAGGAGGCCTGGAATCAATCGTTCAAGACCACTACACACACACTTGCATATGATAATCTCCAAAATAATTCATGAAACCTAATGGAAAAATGTTCAAAATTAATATTTCAAAATGATCATAGTAGCATTTAGTGTATAATTATATAGGCCACACACCAGAAACGGGCCCCACTCTAGCATTGTACACAGAAGTGGAGTGCAGGGGTTCTCATGGGGAACGGCAGAGTGCCTCCTGGAGAAAACTGAAGAGCAGGAAGCAGGAGCTAAAGACGCCCTGCACTGCAGAAGTTTCTCTGTCCTTTTTTTCTTTATGTCAAAAGATATTACATATGAAAACAAAGGACATCAGGGGCTCAGTTGTACTAGGATTTTTTTTGGAAGGGATCTCTGGACAGTCTTGAAAAAGATTGTTAGGGAAGGTATGGTTGTTGTATACTTTCTGACTGTAGTGCTTTGGGCCCTGCACTGTAGATGCCTGCTCTAGCCTCCTGCCCCCGCACCTACAAGTTCAAAGTGTTAATGAAACCAAAAACACTATCTCTACAGAACATGCTCTGGGAACCCTGAAATTCCCTGTCATAAAAGCTAAATGGGCTTCCAGGATATGTCCAGTGCTCTTGCCAAAGCCTCTTTTCCTGAGAAGGCAACGGAAAGATGCTTAGAAATAACCCTAAGAGTGTCCTCTAACATTGGGCTAAATAATAGCCTGTGGAAAGCTTTCTATGGCCTTTCCAAAACCAATTATATTTTCCCCAGCTCAAAGTTCAGTTTGTCCCTATCAGTCACAGCACTATCCATCACACGTGGACAGTTCCTTTTATCATAGGTAGGGGGAGCTCTCAGATCCTCCAGTCTCAGAGTTCCCAAGTAGTCATTACAGGCAGGAAGCAGCACGCAGAATGGATGTTCAGACAGAAGCAATTATAATCAAACCTTGAAATTGTTAAAATTTTTTGTTTTTTTTTTCTTTGTGGCTTTGGAGACTGTCCTGGAACTAGCTCTGTACACCAGGCTGGTCTCGAACTCACAGAGATCCGCCTGCCTCTGCCTCCCGAGTGCTGGGATTAAAGGCGTGCGCCACCGGCGCCCGGCTTGAAACTAATTTTAATTAAGCGCCTACTGTACAAAAGAAGCACCTTTCAGTGTACTGATGAAGCATGAGCACACTTTGGCAGGTGTAATGACTACAACTCTCGAAATACACCGCGGGGCCAACATGTACACTCAGCCCGTGCTTTTCGGGTTCGAGCCAGGAGCTGGCCGAAGCTGCGGGACGGTCCGGCGCGAGCGTCGCACTCTTGGGGAACCCTCCCAGGGGTGGGCAGCTGATCGCCTGCCCTCGCCTCGCCCCGGCACCTTCCTGAGGGCCGGGACCACGAGGCCATGGGCGGATCGCTGTGGCGGGAACCGGAAGCGCCGGCGCCTGTGGGGACATGACGCCGCCTCCTGTCCCGGTGGCCGCGGGACTCCTCCCGGGTGGGTTCTGTAACGGACTTGGGCGGGTGCGGGGCCTGCCTTTGTTCTTTCCTTAGCGCGGCTCCAGAGCAGGCGGCCGCGGCGTGCCAGCACCCTCCCACGGACTCTCCACCGCACCGCACCGCGCCGCTCTGGCCACCGTCTAGCGGGGCAGGGAACAAAGCTCGCGAGAACTCCCCGTTCACCTGAGATTCCCGAGCCAGTCGCGCAGTCCTCGCGAGAGTGCCAGGTTCGGCTCTCCGGAAGTGTGTTCGGAGGTAGAGGTGCTGTGCCGTGGGCTCGTCGGCCGCCGTAGCCCCTGCTAGGTCAGCCCGTGCGAACCTGCTGGAAGAGGAAGAGAAAGGCAGGGAGAGTCGGGTTACAAGATGGCGGGTCTGTAGTAGTTCCCGCGGCGGCAGCGGGCGGGCGGGCGGCGGCGGAGCGAGCGCTCCCGGGCAGCACCGGGAGGACACGGTGGTTGTGCACGGCACGGAGGGCTCTCGATGGCTCTTGTCAAATCCCTTCTCGCGGTTGCGCCTTTGGAGCCATGGTAAACTCGGGCCTCCCCGGAGCCGCCGCCGCCGCCGCCGCTACCGGCTCTCGAGAGTGAGGCACCGGCCCGGCGGGCGAGGAGGCGGCGGCTGCAGCGCTGGGCCGGCCGCCACCATGTCGGACACACGGCGGCGAGTGAAGGTCTACACCCTGAACGAAGACCGGCAGTGGGACGACCGGGGCACCGGGCACGTCTCCTCCTCGTACGTGGAGGAGCTCAAGGGGATGTCGCTGCTGGTCCGCGCCGAGTCGGACGGTAAGCCCCCGGGACGCCCGCGCGGGGCCGCCCGAGCGCGAGCGCCGCTCGGACAGCGCCTTCACCCGTCTTCTCTGCCCCCAAACAAACCCCCGGGCCCGGGTTTCCTCCGCCTCCATCCCTATCAGGGGTTTGACTCCGTCCCCGCCAGTCCCCGCCGGGGTGTCGGGATTTCGAATGTGAGCGTAGAAAGTCGGTAGGAGACCAGCTAGGAATCCCGCTCGTGGTCTGCGGCACCCCCTACCCCCTTTAGGTCGTCTTCGTCGTGTGTCCAGGGGAAGGGGCTAGTCAAACTTTTCTGAGTGGCTCGAAGAGAAACAGGTTCCGGTTGTTGCAGTCGGCAGGTGCCGCCGAGGAAAATCAAAACGGACTTTTTCTTGGAGTTGGTACAGGCTGTTGCCACGATACAGACACGAGCACAAACGTCTCACTTTTTGATCCCTCCAGACTGACTTAACAGAGAGTGGGAAAAGTGGGTTTCACAGTCTCAGCAAGTTAGAAAACTAAAGCAGACGGTGAGGTTTATTTGTTGATTGCAGAATTCATGGAAAACTTCTTAATATTAAAAACTGGCAGCCACAATTAAAGCAGCTACTTCTTGTATTCAAAAACTGCCCAGTTGGAGCAACTGATATATGTAGGTATTAGAGGAATAACAATCTTAGATATTTTCTTTTTTTTTTTTTTGGCAAATGTTATACTAATGTAGAGTCCATCTTATGAGTCAAAAGCATTTATTTATACGTTATGTGGGATTTTTGTTCTTGTTCATTGTCATAGGAAAAGAGTAAGTATAATTTGTATGGTAACTCTCCCCAAGGAAATTCAGTAAAACAGCTTTTGTTAAAGTTAGTCTTCAGTTGGGCAACTAGACCTTAAAAGTTTTCTTTTACTTGTCTCATAGCCTGAATATTGGTTTCACACAGTTTTTTGCCCCTCTAAAGACATTCGGAGTTAGGATGAAATTAGCCTAGATCTGGAGAGAAAATATGAATTAAAATACGTTTTGTAGCATTAGATGTTCAGCTGGTGAGAAAACATGAAACCTCCGTAAGATGTGTACTATTGAAGGCTTTATAAGCTGAGACTTACATCCTTTTTTTCTTTTAATTCTTTTAGGATCTCTACTCTTGGAGTCAAAGATAAATCCAAACACTGCATATCAGAAACAGCAGGCAAGTAGTTATTAAATCTTTAATTTGAAAGACTGCATCTGTCATCCAGAAGTTTGGTAACTAAAGCTAGAAACCATGTGATATGCATTTACCTTCCAGGTTGGGAAATTTTCAAAGTGAAAAGTAGTTTTTATGTTGGCAATTTAATATTCTTTTTGAATTGAGCCATTGTTTGTATTAGAAAACAATGTATTCTTTGGTCTTGCTTAAAGTAAGTCAAGTCTCTCCTATGTGCTTTACTCTAAACGGTTTCTTTTGAGTCACATTTGAAAGAAGGGGCTTAAAAGAAAATTCAAATGCTGGGCGTTGGTGGCACATGCCTTTAATCGCAGCTCTCAGGAGGCAGAGGCAGGCAAATCTCTGTGAGTTCAAGGCCAGCCTGGTCTACAAAGCAAGTTTCAGGACAGCCTGCCTCCAAAACAATACGGAGAAACCCTCAAAAAACCAAAAAAAAAAAGAAAAAGAAAGTTCAAACTGTTCAGTTACTTCCATTAAGAACAAAAATTCAGTGGTGGTGGTACACACTTTTAATCCTGCCACCTGCAGAGGCGGGTGGATCTCTTTGAGTTCAAGGTCAGTCAGGGCTACATAGAAAAACAGGGGAAAAAATTCAAAGGGATACTATTAAAACAAGGAAAGACTGTGGTGTGAGATTGGATCTTTGACCAAGGAAAGGGGTTGTTAAAGTAGCATTTAAATTCTGCTTTAAATTGTATGCATATTTTAATATAATCATACATATTGGTAACTATGTAGCATTTTGTGTTGATATTTATTGTCACTTTGGAAAAGGAAATCTGTTTTAGTATTTCTAATTAGTTAACATGAAGATGATAGCATTGTCCTTGTCCTTTATCTGTGTTTTTTTTTTCATATTTATTGTTATATGTTGTCAAAGTTGAGTAGTGTAGAGAATAATATAATAAGTTGTGTTACAACACCTTCAGATTTACCAATATTAACATATTATGTCCTTTTCAATCTTTTATAATGTTCAACATGAGTCGAGGTAAAAATCACCTGTCTGTCCCGTTTTGTCCAACCTCTGTTTCTACTATGGTAACTCTATACTAGAATTGCTGTGTATTTTTTTTGTACATGCTTTTATGCCTCTCTTGCATATGTCTTGTGTTTTTAAACTTTTACACTATTGATGCCATACTTTTTACATGTATTCTGAAATTTGTGTTTTCACATTTTTTGACGATTTGTGTTACTGTAGATAACTTTTTAAAATGTATTAAATTCTGATGTATGACATATACCTTTGAGAAATTGAATTATTTCCTCTGTGTGTGTGCTAGTATATAAAGTCGCAATGACAGACTTTGTAAGGAAAAGAGAAATTTTAGGGTTTTTAATTATAGCATCAAGTCTACCTTTCTTCAAGGCATATGAAAATTTGGATACTATAAACACTTCAGAGAAAAATAAAATTACATCTATTGCAAAACTTATTAATAGTAAAAATTTAATGTAAATAACTGCTTTTTGCGTGCAGTACATTCTTAGTTCCTTGAAATATTTTAGTACTGGTAGCTTTTTTTCTCTTAGATAATTTTTATATGTGTATATCTTTTGATGAAGAATTCAACTAAAACATTTGTCTTAAACATTTGAATGTTTCTCTGTATCCTAGATATGTTTAAGTACATTTAAATAAATGTGATTTCTAACTCAGCCAGGCAGAGTTTTATAAGATGAGTTTTTGCTTGCTTGTGGGGAAATACTAATATTTTTGTCATCTTTCTTTCTCCTTCCTATGTGACTATAAAATGATAAGAACATTTGCTCATGTGTCTCCTAAGTCAGGAGCAGTTCCCTACACATTTAGTTATAATAACAAGTCTTGGCTTGTGTAAGTGGAAAGATCATATTGTGTGCAGAACTTATTATAAAACAGTCCTAACATTTAAAAAATGTACGATGGCTCTTTAAATACTTCAGAATTTTGAAGTATACTTTAATGAATAATGTCATTGTCTAGAAAACTAGTTCCAGACAAATTGGATTTCTTTATGCACTTAAGTATGCAAAGCATTGGAGCAAAATAAAATTAAAACTTTATGACAGCTGAAAGTGTTTTTGCATAACCAGTCACATTTAAGTAATATAGTTCAGGGTTGCATGTCTTCATGAAATACACGCACACCCCGCACACATCACTCTGAGGTTTATAAGAGAATTCTTTGGTAATGAGAGGAATATGTAAAAGCATTGTGTGAATTCAGGAATAAAAACGTGTGAATGTAGTCCTCTGTTTTATTTTCTCTAATCTTGAATTGGGGGGACTTTTTCTAGTGGAAGTCATAGAGCCATTTGAAGTTATGTTAAATGTACTTTCTTTGTAATATATGCAATTTTTTTCCTGTTTAACCAAAGTCTTGCTCAGTTTGCGCTTTTTACCAAATTATACAAGTTGGAATTCTTGAATACATCATCATTTTTATGTTTACTAGAATTATTATATTAACAATATTTGTCAATATTTGAGGTCTTAAATAGTCTAGAAAGTTATTTCCAAAATTAAAAGAAATATACTATTCGTAGGTGGATTTTTAATTAAAAATGTGAACAAATAGTTTGTTTATAGAATATTTTACTGCATTAAAATAATGTGTGAACTCAAATAACTAATATTCATGGTTACAGTTTTAAAATTATCCTACTGCTTAATTGTTTGCTCAGAATACGTGAGTTTCCCTTTCCCAAAAGCAAAGAATCAGATTAATGGGCTCACTTAAATGTATTAGAATCAAAACAACTATCAAATAACAACAGCAGAAAACTATCAGTAATGCATACTACTTCCCTGCCATCTCCAGTACTGAAAAGGATGATGGATGGGAAGGAGATGTATTTTCTTAACATACTTGAGTATTTAAGCAGACTCATTAAGAGGAAAAGAAAGTGATTATACAGTACAGCATAAAACGAAGTATCTGAAACGTTTCAGATTTTGAAGTTACTTAAAAATCAGTCATACTGATCTTGACTAAATCAAAAGTCATAATCATAGGAATATGGCTTAGCATATTTAACATAGCTGTGTGCTCTTGAGTATAAAAGGTCAGTCCTCATCTCAGGAAACAATATAAGAATAAGATAGATAATGAGATAGTTTTGCCAGACCTCACTGAAAATGAATGAAAGCATTTCCTGTGGAGGCGACTGAGGTACAGAAAAGTTATGCATGGGAATGTAAAGCAGGTGTATTGCAACAGTGTCAGAGGCTAGAATCTGTAAGAACTTCATTCTTGGTGGTGGTGATAGTTGCTGAAATCAGTAATACTCCTGCTTGAGTTGCAGGAAGTCTGTTCACAGAAGTTTTTGTTTTATTTGAGAGTTCATTGTACCAAACAAAAGGGAGCCATTATAAGTTCTTAATGGAGACATAAAATGATGAAAGTGATACTCTCTTTAAGGAAACCAATGTGACAGCAACATTCCTGCACATATCTTTTAGGAAGTCAGAGTCAAAATGATTTGGGCCCTAGATACATAACCAATTTGGATTTTATACTTCAGTTGCAGTGGTAATTCAAAATGGATCAAATAGTATGAAGCATGAGGACTTTAAAGATTTATATTTGTTTGTTTGCTTTTTGTTTTTAAAGATTTATTTATTAGTATGCAGTGTGCTGTCTGCATGTATGCAGGCCAGAGGACACCAGATCTTGTTACAGATAGTTGTGAGCCACCATGTGGTTGCTGGGAATTGAACTCAGGACCTTTGAAAGGGCAGTCAGTGCTCTTAACCACTGAGCCATCTCTCCAGCCCCTTGTTTGTTTTTAATTGGGGGTGGGAAGTAGGCAGGGGCCTGTGCACATGAGTGCAAGTGTCCTTGAAGTCACAGAGATCACCTGCTTCTGCCTCCCCAAGTGCTGAGATTAAAGGTGTACACCACCACACTCAGCTTGTACTGTTTCCTTTTTTCTTTCTTTCTTTTTTTTTTCTATCTTTTGGTTTTTGGAGACAGGGTTTCTCTGTATTGTTTGGAGCCTGTCCTGGAACTCACTCTGTAGACTGCTGGGCTTGAACTCACAGAGATCTGCCTGCCTCTGCCTCCCGGGTGCTGGGATTAAAGGCGTGCCCCACCAATGCCCAGCTGTAATATTTTCTTGTATATAAGATATTATATACTTATGTCATATGATCAGTGTTTTGGAGACTATATGAAGCATTCTTTAAATGGGTTGTTAAGATGATTTGTACTGAGGGGAAGTTGGGGTACCTGAGTATTCTCAAATACATTAAGTGGATCTGACTGTAGTTCTGTTTTTATCTTTAGAACTTTTCTACTACCCCCTCACACACATAAATGCCTTAGGATTGGGGGCGGGGGTTGTTACCTGGGTGCAGGTATAGCAGAAGACTGAAGAGAGTATAACTTTCCTGTGGCTGTAGTTACAGAAACTTATGAGCTACCCCATATGGATGCTAGAAACCAAATTCTAGTGTTCTGCAGTAGCAACAAGTGCTCTTAACTGCTGAACCATCTCTCCACACATCGTTGTGTAGCCCTGGCTGTCCTGGAACTAGCTCTGCAGACCAGGCTGGCCTCTAACAGAGATCCACCTGCCTCTGCCTCCCAAGTGCTAGGTTTAAAGGTGTGCACCACCACCACCCAGCTAGCTACTCTAAATCAGCAAGGCGCCCTTCTAAAAAAGGTAGAGAACAGTGGAGGAAAGTTGAAATTGAGGCCTGGATTCACCAGAGGGCATTTTTCATTTACTGGTTTGTTACAGGATTGATTCCTGCCTGATTCCACAATTACCTCAGAGCCCCCAAATAACACGCGAGACACTATATCAGTTATGTTGTTGGCCAATGTCTAGGGCTTCTTATTGGCTATCTCTGTCTTAAGTATTAACCCATAACTACTAATTTATGTATTTCTACAAAGTCTTATAGACTCATGCATCCTTTCCTCCTGGGATCACATAGCAACTTCTCTTATTACACTACCCAGAATCCTTGTCTCCTAGTCCCACCTATCTTGCTTTCCTGTTGACCAACATTGTTGTATTCATCAACCAATAGGAGAGACATATGTAGAGAAGACTTCCCCCATCACTGGTTAGAGCTAAAATATTGGTAAGTTTTTATTTTGCCATTTTGAGGACCAAACTTGGTCTTATGGGACTCCAAACAGTGAGAGCAGTAGCTGTCTCTGTCTCTAACTCTCTTACTGGCTTTTGGAACCCTATTCCTCATACTAGGGCACCTTCCCCAGCCTTAATACAAGAGAGGATGTTTAGTCTTGTTTTTTTCCCCAGTTTTTCAAGACAGGGTTTCTTTGTGTAAAAGCCTTGGCTGTCCTGGAATTTTCTCTGAAGACCAGGCTGGACTTGAAATGCCTCCCTAGTGCTGGGATTAAAGGTGTGTGGCAACACTGCCAGGCTGAGATGTTTAGTCTTACTGCAACTTGATGTGCCATATTTTGCTGATGTCCATGGAGGCCTACCCTTTTCTGAAGAGAAACAAAGGAGTGGATTAGGGAGATGGGGGTTGGACTAGAAGGAAAGGAAGGAGGGGAAACTGCTCTCGCGATGTGAAATAGATAAATTTAAAAAATTGACTCAATCGATTGGCTGGTAGGCCCGTTGTAGGGCATTTTCTTGAATACTGATTGATGTCATCCCATGGCAGATGGTCCTGAGTTGTATGAGAAACTGAGCTGGGTGGTGACGCACGCCTTTAATCCCAACACTCAGGAAGCAAAAGTAGAACTCTGTGAGTTTGAGGTCAGCCTGGTCTACAGAGCGAGTTCCAGGATAGCCTCCAAAGCTACAGAGAAATCCTCCTCAAAAAAACAAACAAGAACAAAACCTGAACAAACCAATAAGCAGCTTTCCTCCATTGTCTTGTGTCCATTTCTACCTCCAGATTCCCACCATGCATTCCTATTTTGACTTCCCTCTCTTCCAGTGTTTCAGTCATGTAGTTATCATACCAACAGAAAAATGACTAGGACAGTGTGGTGCTGGGTGGGGGCAGGACTTCATGCGTGCTCGGCACAGTCTATCAACTGAGCTACATTCCCAGCCCCATTCTCATTTATTTTTGTTTTTAATTTAGATTTATGTACTTATTGGCACAGGGCCTCATTGTGTAACTCTGACTAGCCTGGAACTCACTATGTAGATCAGGCTGACCTCAAACTCACAGAGATCCGCCTGCCTCTGCCTCCTCAGTACTAGGATAAAAGGTATGTGCTACTACCACCCGCTGTTATCTTTTAATTTAGGCTCAGGCATGTTCTCAGGACAAGGACAGAAAGCCACCACACTCTGCCAGAATATCACAAGACTGGTCTGTAGCCCAGTTGTTACTATTGTTCCTGTCTGCAGCCTCTGAGCCAAGTCTCCACAGTCCACATTGCTCTCAGCACTACACTTTCAATCTCCTATGGCGGTCTGTGAAACTCTGTTTACAGTGTCAGCTGTTCTCTAGTCCCGCTTCAGAGTCTTCAGAAACATAATCACATGATCAGCTTCTTCACAGCAGTAGTCCATTCCCTGGTACCATCATCTATATTTGTTGCTTTTCTGTTTCTGTGGCAAAATACTAATGACCAAAGCAACTTAGGAAGGGTATATTTGGGCTTACAGTTCCAGGATCCATAAGAATTCATCACTGTTACAGTGGGAAGAATGGCAGCAGGCAAGCTGAGAGCTCAGGGCTCCAATCTTGAGCCCTAAACATGAAGAAGAGAATAGCAAACCGGAAATGTTGGAACTCTCAAAGCCCACCCCCAGTGCCACAAACGCCATACTCTGAGGTTTCCCAAATACCACCAACTGGGCACCAAGTATCCAAATGTCAGACACTGTGAGGCACATATACCATCCAAAGTAACACAAACATTCACACATAAAAATAAATAAACCTTTATATATAAGCCAAAATAGGGTTAAACCTAAATTTGTCTGAGGGTATTTGCATGTTTTTAATCATTTGACAATCAGTTAAAAAGAAAGGGTAGACAAGTAGGTTGTTGATGAATGGGATGGCTGACTTTCCAGACAGTAGAGTTGGACCGTCTACAGTCTTACCCGAGAAGGATTAGCTAGAGCCTACTAACTGTTGTCTTTACCAGAGTTTCTCTTCCATTGAGAGTATAGTACAAAACTGTAAAGGAATAGGCAAAATATATTTTAACTGTCAGTTCTCCTGACTTTTGTTTATATTTCATAGATATATCTTTTCTAGTATGGTAATGAGAAATCTTTTTTTTTTTTTTAAACAGGATACATTAATTGTTTGGTCTGAAGCTGAAAATTATGATTTGGCACTAAGTTTTCAAGAAAAAGCTGGCTGTGATGAGATCTGGGAAAAAATTTGCCAGGTAAGGTTTTTTTAAATTTGTCTTTATAAATATGATTATACACATAGTTCAAAGCAAGTCCCAAGAAAGCCAGGACTACACAGAGAAACCCTGTCTTTGGGGGGGAAGAAGTGCTATACATTTGCAACTATTGCTTCACATTAAATTAGGAGCAACAACAACATTGTCATAATTTTTAGATTTTTTTTTAATGTGAGCATGACTGTTACTGTAACTCAATTGGTAGAGTGCTTCCTAGCATACAGCAGCAGGCCTTGGGTTCTACCCCAGTTAAACCTAGCAAGCACCTGTAATCCCAACACAATCAGGAGGTAAAAGTAAGAGGATCACAAGTCCAAGGTCATCCTCAGCTTCATATGGGACTATCAGAAGGGGGGTTGGGGCATGGGGAATGTGCTAAGTAGTTTAGAGTCAGATAGCTCCTGCACTCAGCTCCACGTGATGCAGCAAGATTGGTGTCTTGTGTTAATATAGAATATTAGTTGCAATTAATAAACTAGTTTTAAGTATTAACTAAAACTGACTCTGTTTAGATCTCAGCTGTTTCTTGATGTCCATTTTCTTTTCCCATGATGCCACATTGCACCACATATGTCTTCTTAGGCTTTTTGTTTGTTTCTTGGGGTTTTTTGTTTTTTGTTTTTTTGGCTGTGATACTTGGTAATTGGTCACCCCTGGGATGACCACAAACTCTTCATCCTTTGGCTTCCACCTTCTAAAAGCTGGGAAACTGGGTTTGCATCAGTATGTCTGGCTACAGTTTCTTGAAGTATGTGGTGCAGATTAAAAACAGCCAAACAAAAATGGTTATAGTCAGATCTATAAAACAAAAATTTTAAGAAGAGTGTGTTGCTATTCAGATCTTAATATATACTTCAATCTACGAAGTGGAAAACACACTTGTAGTATAAAACTCTTAAAGGCACCAAATTATAAAAATAAGAGAATGTGGAAACATTAATGAGGCTGTTTTGGATTTTGGTTTGGTTTTTGGTTTTATTCTAGACAGGATTTCTCTGTGGCTTTGGAGGCTGTCCTGGAACTAGCTCTTGTAGACCAGGCTGGTCTTGAACTCACAGATATCCACCTGCCTCTGCCTCCCGAGTGCTGGGATTAAAGGTGTGTGTGTCACTACCACCCTGTGTGTTTTGAAATATTTTTAATGGCACATAAAAGTAACTTCTAAATGATAAATTTCAAAAATTAGAAAGTTAAAAACCTTTTTTAGAATTGCAGTGTTGGTTTACCTATCTTCAACATAGATGTGCACAGTAATATTTTTCAGTAAATAGCATTTTAGATTATACATGTCTGCCTGAGACTTCATATATTTGTCCTAGAAATGTTATTTTTTTAAGTATTACATTTATTTACTTGTGTGTTATGTGGGCACATGTGCCACGGAGCATGTGTGGAGGAACACAACTTAGCAGGGGTCTGTTTTTTCCTTCCACCCTATATGTTCAGGAATCAAACTCTGATTAGCAGGCTCAGCAGCAAGTTCCTTTACTTGCTGAGCTGTTTTGCTGACCCTGTCCTAGAAGTTTTTACTAAAATTGTCTTTTACTGTTTTTACTTGAATAGTTCTGATGGTTCACAAGACCACTTTCAGGCACAATATGAATGAAAAGATTCAAAAGAACTCAACCAAGCTGTTTTACTTCTAGTTAGTTTACAATAATAGCACAACAGATTAAACCACATGGGACAGTCACACAGGGAGCACTTAGTTCTCCCAGCCTTGGTGTGTGGCAGCATATGAGGTGTTGTCCACCAGAGCACTTACCCAAGTATTTGTGTCCAGGGTTTTTACTAGAGACGAGTCACTTAAGGTTGGCAGACCTTAGACTCCAGCTCCTCCAGAGGTCCAGGGTGCCTCCTAATCTAAGAAACCTGCCATATAGAATACTGTAGCTCTAGATCCCCACGAATCAGTCTCCTTTTTAAGATGTAGGATATTACAGGTATGTAGGAGTTGCCCCTCAAGAACTGGGCAGTAGTCAAGCCTTTTCTTTGGGTAAGTTAATAATCCCTTGGCCAAAATGCTTTTCCATTGATGTGATCCTATTTGGGAACCTGAGGGCTAGTGAGATGGCTCAGAGGATAAGGTGCTTGCCACCAAGTCTGACAGCCTCAGTTTGATTTCCTCAGAACACATGGTAGAAGGAAGAAAATCAGCTTGAACAAGTTATCCTCTGACCTTCACAGAACCTCCCCACAAGGAAAAAGTAAAACAGTTCTTTGTAATGGTTTCTGTGTGTATTGGGCATGTGGTGCCCTGGGAGGCCAGAAGAGGGTGTTGGATCCCTGGAGCCAGACTTAGATATAGATGGTTATGAGACATCATGTGGGAATCAAACCTGTGTCCTCTGGAAGAGCAGCCGGTGCTCTTAACCACTGAGCCATCTCTCCATCCTGGAATGCAAATTTTAAATGGTAGTATTTGACTAGGCGTGTACATTTGGTATATACTTAAAATGACAAAACAGTAGAATCAGTATGACTATGCCAGACATTTGAAGGAGCCTATATAGGACAAACATGTTAAAACATGGGAAATGAGATGCCATCCACAGACATACCACAGCACTGCCCACACCCACTAATTATAATCATAAATACAAAGAAATTACACTATTCTATAAAATCAGGGCTTTGTTTGTTTTCCACTGATTCCATTACTGTTTCCTTCTTGATTTACTGCAGTTTGTACCTCACAGTAACTGTTCAGAACTGTTCCTGGTGACCCTTCTGATTTTAGTCTCTGGAACCCCCACATGGTGGAAGAATGGAATTGATTCTTTCATTTTGTCCTCTGATCTCTGTGTGTACACTGTGACATGGACACCACAAAAAATTTTTTTTCAGCAGAATTTAACATAGAAATTACGAGACAGGCTTGGTAGTGCACACCTTTTTAATCCCAGGACTCAGGAGGCAGAGGCAAGTGGATCTCTGAGGTCATCCTGTCTACAAAGTGAGTTATAGGATAACCAGGGCTATACAGTGAAGACCCATGTTTAAAAAAAAAAAAGACAAAAAAAAAAACGGAAAAGAAATATTGCTAGGTCTGAAGTAGTAGCATATACTTTTAATCCCAGCACCGAGGAGGCAGAGGCAAGTGGATCGCTGTGAATTTGAGGCTAACCTGGTCTACATAGATGTTTCAGGCCAGCTAGAAAGACCCTGTCTCAAGAAAGAGAGAAAGTAAGAAACAAAGAAATTAGCCAGTGCCTAACAAATCTAGGTCTTCCTCAGACTGGTCATTTTCTTTTGGCTGTACATCCTCAGGAAGCTCCGGTGTAATTTCCCAATATATTTGATTATCAGAATTGTAGAATAATACATAAAAATAAGTCAACAATACCGGTGTTGTATAATAACATTAAAGAATGATGATAAATATAACTAAAAAGTAAGAGGCAGTATCCTTTCAGGCATCTGGTATAATTGAGCCAGTATTATTTCTTGCCCTTAGCCTTTAAGAGACACATCATTAGATTTCCCTTACCACGTAGTCATCTAGTTGTTATTTCTCCTCTTCACTTGTCTTCTCCCCCACAGCGAGGTTATGAAAAAGTGTGCCCACTACCATGTCCTGCATTTGTTAATTTCTGAGGCTCCAGTTGAGTTGAGGTCCTCAGGCTTGTATGGCAAGTGGTTTACCAACTGATTGGTCACTGCCTGAGTCCGGAGAATGTTCTTTCTTAACTAAACTGACCTTGAATTCCTGATTCTACTGCCTCAACCTCTCAAGCACTGAGATTACAGGTCAGCCACTGTGCTCAGTGCTCACAATATTTTTACTTACATTTGATGGTCAGTGATTAATTTCCAGAATGTATCTTTTGATAACCAGCTGTACTTGGGTGTTTATAGGTTCAAGGTAAGGACCCATCAGTAGAAGTCACACAGGACCTCATTGATGAATCGGAAGAAGAGCGATTTGAAGACATGCCAGAAACTAGTCATCTAATTGACCTGCCCACATGTGAACTCAGTAAACTTGAAGAGATTGCTGACTTAGTTACCTCAGTTCTTTCCTCACCTATCCGTAGGGAAAAACTGGCTCTGGCCTTGGAAAATGAAGGCTATATCAAAAAACTACTGCAGCTGTTCCAAGCTTGTGAGGATCTAGAAAACAGTGAAGGCTTACACCATCTGTATGAGATTATTAGAGGAATCTTATTCCTAAATAAGGCAACTCTCTTTGAGGTAATGTTTTCTGATGAGTGTATCATGGATGTCGTGGGATGCCTTGAATATGACCCTGCTTTGGCCCAACCAAAAAGGCATAGAGAATTCCTGACCAAAACTGCAAAGTTTAAGGAAGTTATACCAATAACAGACTCAGAACTAAGGCAAAAAATACATCAGACTTACAGGGTGCAATACATTCAGGACATCATTTTACCTACACCATCTGTTTTTGAAGAGAATTTCCTTTCTACTCTTACATCTTTTATTTTCTTCAACAAAGTTGAAATAGTCAGCATGTTGCAGGTAAGTAAACTATTTTTCACAATTCTATTTCCAGGTATTGTGTTCCTAATAATTTAAGCTGGTGATAAAGATTTACTTCATTTACTTTAAATGTCTATTAAACATAGAAAGCATGACTGTCTTGTGCTTTTTTTTAAGGTTAAGTTTTAGTATAAGGTGCTTTTTTTATTACATTTATTGTTGTGTTTGTGTATATGCATGTGTGCTGTACTCTGTGAGTGGGCATGTTAGAGGACAGCTTGTAGGAGTTGGTTCTATTCCACCATATGGGTCTCAAGGGATTGAGCTTAGATCATGAGGCCTAGCAGCAGGCACCTCTACCCACTGAGCCATTGCTCTTTACTGGGTCTCATGAAACCCAGGCTGGTAGCTACTCACAGTGTAGCTCCCTACTACCAATTTTTCATTATTCTTCAGTAAGGACATAAGGAAAGGTAATATACATTCTACTAGGTTCCTTTTATAGTAAAGGGGATCTGGTGTTTTCTTGGTTTCTTTGTATTTTTATTTGGCTGACCTTGAACTCAGGATTTTCCTCACCTTTCCTGTGCACTGCGTGACCTACTGTACATTTCAGGATCAGGAAATTAGAAATGAGATCATACTCTGGAGTTAATACAAAGGAGGCCAGGTTCTCAAATCGACAATACAAAGCAAAGCTTTAAAGAAATTTTATTATTTGTTATTGTCGTTGTTTTTCATTCTGGATCTCACTAGTAGCTTTAGCTGGCCTGAAATTCACTAAGTAGGCCAGACTGGCCTTGAACTCATAGTGATCCACCTGCCTTTGCTTTCTGCGTACTGGTATAAAAGGCTTGTGCTTCCATACCTAGCCAAGAAATTTTTATTTATGATTCATGAGATGCATTTTTCTGAAATTGTTAAGAAATTTAAACTACCTGTTGTTTGTCTAGGATTTACCACTTAGAAATTGGGTTTCAAAAATGTAGGAGGAGGAAAAAAATTAAGGCTGTGGCTAGTAGCCTTTAAATGCTCTTTCCCGCCTTTAAAATTGATTTGTATTATTTGTAATTGTAGCTGCGTGCACACATGCATGTATGGGTGTGCGTGCACATGCATGTGGGTGCTAAATGCTTATTTTCTTATATTTTGGTTGTGAGCCTAGCCTTTAATGGCTAAGCTATCCCTCCAGCCCTGAATGCTTATTTTTCTAAAACCCAGTTCCAAGGCTTCCTTGAAGAAATGTCTAGCTAGATACGAGATGTTCTCAGATACCATTCTAGCCATGTAGTTTGTATACATTTTTAATGAGTTTTAATATGTTGCATGAGTTAAATAAGGTAAGTGATACTGTACAATTTTTAGCTCATTGAACCAAAATGAAGTAGAACAAAGGTACATATAAATAATAGCCTGTTAAGTTATTACCTGATTTTTTTATTGTGTATATACACACACACATATGAAAACACTAGTATGATTAAGGGTTCCTCGTATGTATTATAATACCTGTTGTGACCTTCTCTTAGTTCATAATAGGAATGTAAGACTTTTTTGTTTTCTTATCTATTTATTTATTTGATTGTTTATTTATTTACTTTGAGGTGGGATTTCTGTGTAACTTTGGCTGTCCTAAAACTCACTCTGTAGACTAGGCTGACCTTGAACTCAGATTCATTAGCCTCTGCATCCTGAGTGCTGGGATCAGTTGGGATTAAAGGCATGTACCCCACCTGACATGTAAGAATTATCTTAATGTGAATTTTCTACATACAAATGAAAACCCATGTACCCAAAATTGAGAAATATACTTTAAACATGTTCTGTAAATTGAAACATGTTTTTAAAACAGCTGCTATTAAATAAGGTTATTTCCTTACAAAGCAGCTCTAGGATAAGATAACTTTCAGAACAGGAAGTTTACATTTCTCTTTCTCCTAGAAACAATAGAGGACAATAATGGCAATGGGACATTTTAACAAATGTTGCATATATTCCTGGTGTCTGCTGGTAGGAGTTGAACTTAGAGTCAACCCAGCATGATCTATGGCCTGTCCTCCAGAGTTTATAAATGATGAGGTTTCGGCCCTGAGAAATGCCCGGCTTTTCATTTTGGTTTCTAGTTAAATAGTAAGTTTTTTGGGTGCTTTTTAAAAAGGTGATAAGCTATCTTAAGCGAGTGAATGGCAGAAATAAGAGTTGGGACCCAAGTGTCTTGAGTAAATGCCCTTTAAAAAGTGACTCCTGGGACTGGTGAAGAGGGCTCAGTGGGTAAAAAGTGTGTGCATTGCACTTGCAGAGGACAGTAGTTCAGGCAACTCCCAACTACTGATAATTCCAGCTCCAGGGCATCCTATACCTTGAACTACCAAAATAATAAAGTCTTAAAAATAAAAAGTTACTCCTATAAGTTCTTAAGTTCAAGCATAAGAGCTGAATGGAAGCAGGACCAGTCATAGTCTAGAGAGGACCAAATCTTAATGGATCTAAGACACTTCGAACATGCCAGGACAAAATTTACTAGCTTCAGATAGCCTGCCTCCTGAGCTCTAAAATTGTACTGCCTGGTCACATTTATGTGATTCTAAAAAAACCAGTGTTTTGTTTTACCTGCTTTTACATTATTATAAAGAAAATAGTTTGATTCAGACTTCTGTTTTGTTCTTATTTTTGTTTGTGGCACTAAGGATCCATCTCATGGCTAGATAAACACTCTGTCACTGAGCTACATCCCAGCCCTGGTTTAGAACCTCTTCCCCACAGGTTTTGTTATCTAGAAAAGTAACCACATACACAGTTGTCTTAAGAAAAATTAAAATGATTACTTTAACAACTTAAAGAAGCAAGGATTTAGGAAAAGCATTCCAGTTACAGGCTTTATATTGTCAATTTGCCTCCTAGCATATAGCATGAAATATAATGCTTCATAGTTTAAAGAAATCGCAAAAAATGATGCTATAAATGGGGGGGGGTCAAGCTGGCAATCAGGAAACATTCTCCTAATGAACATACCTGAGATTGCCTTTATAAATAGTTGCAGATGTTTTGGCTGAATTTAAGGGGAAAACTGCATTTTCAAGTCTTTGGAAATTTCTCCTTTGAAAATATTCTGAAACAGTTTAAAAATCTTTAGTAGGAAAGTTTGAAGGTTTAATCTGAGAGATCTATGGGAAGAAGAAATTTATAAAAGATGTGAACAAGAAAACATTCTTACAGATATTACAGATGTAATATTTTTAGAACAAGTCACTTGATACTACATTTCAAGCATATCCAGCCATGATGATTATATCTAAAAGGAGTCCATGAAATACATAAAGAAGCACTATTGTGGGTCACTCACTTAAAACCCCATTTTATCTCTTTACATTGTCTTTGAGCACTCCCCATTGATACTTAGTACTTTCTAGCTAGTGAGGACTTATCTAAAAGTATTTTGGAAGCATTGTAGAGATCCTTAGTTAACGAATGAGCAGTATTTAAAAGACAAATATTTGAAACACATCTTTTATATCCAGTGATTTGATTTTGCTGTCAGTCAGAGATAGTACCATTACAAGTATTTTACAACATGTTAATATAATAGAAATTATGTTTCATCCAGGTGGTGGTGGCACACACCTTTAATCCCAGAGCGTGGGAGGCAGAGGCAGGTGGATCTCTGTGAATTCAAGGCCAGCTTGGTCTACAGAGTGAGTTACAGCACAGCCAGGACTATTACACAGAAACCCTGTCTTGAAAAACAACAAGAAAAAGAAATTCCATTTCACAGAGAATGGTTTTGAGAATATAATGAAAACTTCCCAAGCAGCATAGTTTCAGCAGTTGACTTTTAGCAGATCTCTAAAGTGAATTTCAATATTATATAATTACATTTTACTTTGTCATTTTCTTACTGTAAAAAGTATAGGTTAACTGCAGAAAATTACTTGCCTCACTAAAGCAAGCACAATTATAATTTAAATATCCCTTATATATTTTAGACATAGAAATTTATATTTAAAAATCACCAAAAATTAAATGTGTAATGAAAATAGAAAGGACTATAAAAAATGTATGCCTGCTGCACTGGGGGTCGTAGCTCAGTGGTGGATTATTTGCCTAGCATGCACAAGACCATGGATTTGATCTTTGACTCTGCATACTCTAATGAGTGCTTTTAACAGCTCTGTGTCATCAGGTGCAATTACCATAGTGGTTTGTCACTTTCTTTTATCTTTGGCTATAGATGACAGCACTCTGTATAAGCTCACGTGGTGAAGGCTTCTTGCCTAGTGCCATAACCCATCCCTTCAGTGCTGGCCTTGTGTTCTGCCTTGTCCCTTTTTCTGGTACATATGAACTGACAGTGAGTAAAAACTGAGTTGGGAAAGCTACCAGCTCAGTGATGAAGAACACTAGCTGGTCTTCCAGAGGTCCTGAGTTCAATTCCCAGCAACCGTCTGTAATGAGACCCGCCCTGTTCCAACCTACAGGGATACATGCAGACTGAACATTGTATACATAATAAATAAAAATCTAAGGAAAAGCTATCAGAATGAAAGGAAATCAATTTGCTGCTTTTCCTCTAGAGCTACTGTTAATTTTGCCTAGTCCTGTGTACTGAGGTTTCTAGTTAAGTGTGTATTAGTGAATAGCTGAAGTAGCAGTTCTAAGTTTCAGGAAACTATAAATACAACCTCAAACTTCAGGTTTCATGATGAAAATGCTTTTGAATTTTGATCTGTTTTTACTATACTGTGTGTAAGGCATATGCATAATATAACTATACTTTTGCTAATATTTTATAGCAATTATTTCTTTTCATGCAGGAAGATGAGAAGTTTTTGTCTGAAGTTTTTGCACAGTTAACAGATGAGGCTACAGATGATGATAAACGACGTGAATTGGTAAGTTTTTATTCAGTTTCTAAAACTTGTTTTTACATGTTTCAGAAAACATTTTAAGATATTATGTGTGTCATTCCCACACACATAGATGCCCCTCCCCAAGGAAATTTAAATGTCTTATATCATGACAGAACTGCAGACATTAGTTATAGTGTTAGGTATTTACATTATAATGGGAAAATGGAAATTCAGAAACAAAACAGACGAAAAGAAAACACTTCTAAAATAAATGAATGATAAATCATTTGGTTCTTTAGAAATGCTTACTTTTTAATGTATTTAAGGTTTTAGGGGCCTTGGAGTTAATTTTGCTTTTGTTTTGTATTTTAGAGGGGAAAGAAACAATTACTGTGTACCAGATGTTTGCTTTCTTCGAAATGTAACCAAATTTGTGGATTTTATAAGATATCTCAAGATACTAAATTTGGTGTCCTCTTTGGTAGTTATTTAATGAACTGCTTAGTTCTCTGTGAAATTAGTACTTTGAAGTAGAGAATCATCTGTCTTTGTCAGTGCTTAAAATTTTGTGGTTGTTTTGTTTTGTTTTTGTAGTACCCTTGGTAATCCAGACACAATTTTTTGCAGGATGGTTTTTATGTAAATTCCTTACATGGCATTTTTTACATTAGGTTTAAAGAGGATCAGTGTTTGAGAAATAAAGCTAAGTGTACTTTTAATGTGATGCTAGAGTTTTGTTGTTGGTACATGTACATATGTGTATGTATATATATATATGTAGGAGTGAACCCCACAAAGCTATCCGCTCATGAGGGCGGGGACAAGTAAATTAGCACAGGTAGAGATAAAAGGAAGCTAAAGGAAAAAGGACCTCCCTGTTTTGGAAGCCAGCCACACTTCTAACTCCTAGCTTGTGTGACTCACTCTCTCTGGTAAATAAATATATTGTATCCCCTATAACATCGGCTACCATCTATAAACATACATACCACATTTATATTTTACAGTTGGTAAAGCGATGCACTCATGCATGAGTGGAGATCACCCATGCATGAGTGGGGTCAGAGGACAGCATGTGGGAGTTGGCTCTCTCTCTTATTGTGTGGGTTCTAGGAATCCAACTCAAGTTGTCAGAAGACTCTGGTATCTAACTTTGCAGTATGTGCAGTTTTCACGTTGATTTACTTGTCACTGTAACTTTAACCTCACAGGTTAATTTCTTCAAGGAATTTTGTGCATTTTCTCAGACACTACAACCTCAGAACAGGGATGCTTTTTTCAAAACCTTGGCAAAATTGGGAATTCTTCCAGCTCTTGAAATTGTAATGGTAATTATGTTTGCTTCTTGTGCTTTTGATGTTGTAAATTTGTCATAGATTCATATTTTGGATGGTAAAGTATTTGCATAGTGCTGGCATCATTTAGTCATTTATCTGATATTGAATCACCACACATGATTTCAGTTACCAGATTTTAAGATTTGTACCATCAGTATTTGTCTTCCTTAAGTGACACTGTTTCACAGAATTGGCTAAGTTGTCTTCCCTTTTCAATACAGTTAGTAGAGTGAGGATGTACTAAGCTTCCATATGGGAGTAGGATTATAATTCTCAGATTTCAGTTACATGTATTTGATTCATAGACATTCAGATAAAAATTTTGAATGAATATAGTTTTAAGTATTTTTTGTGTGTTTGTATTTATGTGAATTATGGCACATATGTGCCTGTGTCAGCGGATTACAAGTATGCACCACTACGCTCAGCTCTGTGCTGACTCTTATGTATAAACTCTGAATATTAAGTACTGAGATGCTCCCAAATATAACAGTCATGGGACGGGGAAGGATATTTCAATTCAGTTTGGTGTCTTAATCCAGAAATTGGGACCTCTCCATATGGGGAAAAGGTTCTGCAAGTTGAAGTTAAATGTTAATCTAAAAATCTGAGAGGTTATTTGTGGATTTGAGAGAGAAGAGGGGAAGGCAAGAATAACCTTTGTTACCAGTCTCTAACCTGGCTTTCCTTGTGTTAGGGCATGGATGACTTGCAGGTCAGATCAGCTGCTACAGATATATTTTCTTATCTGGTTGAGTTTAGTCCGTCAATGGTCCGAGAATTTGTGATGCAAGAAGCCCAGCAAAGTGATGATGTAAGTAATGATAATGCAGTTTTGTGTTTTACCCATGGAGAAGCGCCTTCTGTTGTAAAGAAGTCATAACTATAATCTTAAATTTAAAAATATATAGGACTAATAAAAAACATTTTAATCCCTTAGGTGTACAGACTTAAGTAATTACTCTGTATAACTAAGAATTTGTTTTTACTTGCTTTCACTCAGTTCCTGTTTTTAAATGGAAATGAAGGTTGGATAATCAGAAAAATGTTGTATTTCCCCTATATAAAAGTATTTGTACAAAGTGAGCTGGAGTTATAGACGTATCTGCCTGTGCTTCTTAAGTGCTGGCATTAAAGGCATGTGGGCATGTGCACACTGACCAGCTAGCTACATTATTGTTCATTTTAGTCTTATGTTTAATCTTAATGTCTGCTTATATTCTTACTCTCTGTGTTTCTTACTAGTTGCTTCCAGTGTTTCTTGGCTTAGTTTGTTGTTGTTGTTGTTGTTAAAGTTTTGTTGTTCTTCTGCTTTCTGTTTTAAGATTTGTGTGTATGCATCGAGTACCACCCAGGGGCCAGGAGAAGTTGTTGGGTCCTTTGAATCAGTTGTCAGCCACCCAACCTTGGTGCTAACAACCAAGTGTAGGCCCTCTGCTTTTGCTTTGAAACACTTAGCATGTGCACCAGGCTAGCTCTGGATTCACAGCCCTCCCTGCCTCAATCTCTCAAGTGCTGTGATGAAGACATGAGTCACCATCTCTTTCCACTTTTTACAAATGGTTTGGAACAAATGCTGTAGTTTAGACAAAGAAGTAAGGTGGGTGGAGAGAGTGCACACCTTTAATTCCAGCACTCGGAGACAGATGCAGATGAGTTTCTGTGAGTTCGAGGCCAGCCTGGTCTACAGAGCAAATTCCATGACAGCCAGAGCTACATAGAGAAACCCTGTCTCAAAAAAGACTAAAAGAAAAAAGAAAAGTAATGTTTTTGGGTATACCTGTAATCTCAACACTTCTGGAGGCGGAGACAGAAGGATTGCCACAGTTCAAGGCCAGCCTAGACCTTCTTACATACTCTGTTAAAACAAGACCCTGTCTGAACCACCACTCCCCAAAAACATTTTATATTAAGTATGTTACTATAGTGGTTGTTTTTGTTGAGTTCATTTTAGGTGTTTGTTGGAAGGAAGCTGGCTGTAGGTTTTTAGATCGATTTTCACTAGTAGGGAGATGATGCGTGCATGGTAGTACTCAGTGTCCATTACTCTGGACCTGGAGTTACGGGTAATTTTGAGCTGCCTAACATGAGTGCTGGGAATTGAACTCGTATCCTTTGGAAGAGCAGGACCTGCTTTTACCTGCTGAGCCTTCTCTACAGACTCGTGAACACCAAATGATGGTAAATCCTAGTGTATTACTATCTCACTATGATATTCTTAATGCCAGCCTTTACAGAAGGTAAATGTGAGATTGATATTCCTGTTGAAATTAACATTCTATCTTTGATGCTTATATGATTAAAAGGAAGTCATCTTAAATGGCCATAAATCTCAATTCATACCATGATAATCATGAACAGTTAACTTTTAAAATTCTCAACTCTTCAGCACTCGGGAGGTAGAGGCAGGCGGATCTCTGTGAATTCGAGACCAGCCTGGACTACCAAGCGAGTTCCAGGACAGCCTCCAAAGCCACAGAGAAACCCTGTCTCAAAAAACCAAAAAAAAAAAAAAAAAAAAAAAATCTCAGCTCTTAAAAATTTGATTTGTTTTCATTAGCCTTATTTTCTTGTTTATATTTAATTGATAATAGGGAAGTAGTTACTAATTTTTCAGTAGGAAAGCTTAAGTACCTGTCTTTGGCCCCTGTCTTTGAGACTAAGGTCTTGTGTTGTTATCTGGCCTTCAGTTGATGTGTTCAAGCAGTCCTCCCACTTCAGCATAGAGTGCAGTGTTGCCTCCTTCTCTTTGGTTAAACTAACCATCTGAAAAGAACACCCCGCCCCCCATAGGTTCTTAAGTATTCCAGTTTGGCCTCATTCCCATTATGTAGCTGAGGGTGACCTCAAGCTTCTTCTGCTTCTGCTTCCCAAGTGCTGGCCCAGTTTATACAGGTCAGACTCAGGCTTCATGCATGCCTAGGATAGTGCTCTATGTGCTAAGTATGCCCCCAGCTTCTTCCTGAATTGTGTGTAATGTTACTGAGCATGATAAACAGATACTACACCATTTAATAGTTGTGAGTATATAAAATTTGTCTGTCTGCAGGGATTGGTGGTACTAGAACAAGGTTACCTTTTCAGGGACCAAATGGCAACTCTATTACTTTTAGGTGGATTTGGTTGTACATTGTAATAGACTGATTTTAATTGATGAGCTAAGTGCCTTTGGGACCAGATCTTGCTATCCCGTGTTTCTGTATACAGCATAACTTCCAGATGTGTAGTTCTCTTGAGTACATTATTAGGAACTAAGTTTCACTGGGCATGTGGAATACAATTTATTTATAACAATAATGGGTGTTTGGCATGTCCTACAGCTCACCTGACTAATCTCCATAGGATCTTTTCTTTTTGTGATAACTGTTGTCTAACCACTTGTCAATTTTCTTCATGTTTTGCTCATTTCTGGTAGAAGGGAAAATCTAACTAGATTTTCATTAAATCTTGGTCAGAAGCAGAAGCTTGATTGGATTTTTATTTTTTGAAGCAAATTATTTGTACTTCACTGGGTCTTATTTGGGATCAGACTATTTGTGAATTCATGTCTCCTTATTGCTTTCTTGAATAATTAAACCTCACTGGAATGAGACCACAGTTTGTTTTTGTTTGTTTTTTAATAACTTATATTTCCAGCTTTGATAGCACATGACTTTAATCCCAACACTGGGTAGGCAGAGACAGTTGTATCTCTGTTAGTTCAAGACAAGTCTGGTCTATTTAGTTAGTTCCATACCAGACAGACCTATACAGTGAGAGAAAAAGAAAAACTTAAATCATCTTACAGGTTTAGAAACCCTCTTACTTGAAGGCTCTTTTATTATTTGATGTAATCGTTGGCATTATTTATTTTGAGAATTCATTAGGGGTGGGCTGGGAGGGTTTAAAAGTTTATCCTATTCCTGGATAGCTTGCTCATGCTCCCCCCCACACACACACACACCCTTTATGCTTTTGGACCAGATGTAAGCTCTCGGCTGCTAACCACCATGTCTGCCTGTCTGCTGCCATGCTGTTCCCATGAGACTATGAATCCTTACTACCTTCTAAGGCATGAGACCCAAAAAGTCACTTTGGTTATGGTGTCTTAGCACAGCAATAAAAAGTGACCAAGACAGGAGATGGCGGGGGAAGTTGGTGATGTCTAGAGGTAGAGTGCTTGCGGAGCTGAGTGTAGTTCCCAGTTCTGAAAAAGAAAAAGGAAATCATTTCTCTTTGGTGAGCACTCTGGAGGATTTTATTTTGTGATTCTTCTTTGATCAGTTGTTTTTGATATATTTTATTTATTTTGTGTATGTGTGGGCACACGAATACCTAGGTGACTTGGGAAAGTTGGTTCTCTTCTTCCACCCTATGGCTTCCAGTGATCAAACTTAGTTCATCAGGCTTGGCAGCAAGTTACCTTTACCTATTATTTCATCTTGCAGCCCCTAAATCTTTTCTAATGCCATGACAAAACAGGTTCATTGCTTTTCAAATGTCCGAAATTGGTATAGTTTATTTTCTATGACCTTGTTGAGTTGGTTCTTTCTTGCCAGCTGAATTCATGTCTCCCTATTGCTTTCTTCCATAGTTATTTCACACTAGAATGAGACCAGGAGTTTTTTCTTTTTTAAAACCCATCTGCCAGAGGCTGGAGAGATGGCTCGGAGGTTAAGAGCACTGACTGTTCTTTCAGAGGTCCTGAGTTCAATTCCCAGCAACCACATGGTGGCTCACAACCATCTATAATGAGATCTGGTGCCCTCTTCTGGCGTGCAGGCTTACACGGAGGCAGAATGTTGTATATATAATTAGTAAATCTTAAAAAAAAAATCTGCCATGCCTTTAATCCCAGCATTCAAAAGCAGAGGCAGGTTCGAGGCCAGCTAAGGCTACATAGTGAGACCCACCATCTCAAAATAAAGAAAGAAAAGCCTACTCTGTATTGGGGTGGGGGGGGGGCGCAGAAGAAGTAGTATCTTAGATGTGGAAATACTCCCAAGTCTTAGCTACTTGAAGGATTGCTTGAGCTCAGACTTCAAGATCAACCTGGGCAACTTAGCAAGTTTCATCTCTTTATGTTTTCCCAGCATTTTTCTCATTTCTTTTTTTTTTTTTTTTTTTTTTTTTTTTGGTTTTTTCGAGACAGGGTTTTTCTGTGGCTTTGGAGGCTGTCCTGGAACTCGATCTGTAGACCAGGCTGGCCTTGAACTCACAGAGATCCGCCTGCCTCTGCCTCCCGAGTGCTGGGATTAAAGGCGTGCGCCACCAACGCCCGGCCATTTTTCTCATTTCTAAATCTTGTGATGTTTTGTTTAGTGTAGTCCTAACAGCTGTGGGTTATCCATTTATTTATACCAATATAGTTGGAGGGTGTTATAAGTACATTATCTAGGTTTGTATAACTGTCTTAAGTTACTTTTCTACTTTGACAAAGCACTGTGACGAAGACAACTTCTTTATAAAAGAGTTTATTACTGCTTACAGTTCCAGAGGATAAGTCCATGATCATCATGGTAGTGGGGTGTGGCAGCAGGCAGGCAGGGATGGCACCTGACCAGTAGCTCAGAGATGACATCACATCAAAAGCAAAAGTCAAGAGAGTGCTAATTTGGAATGGCATGTGTTTTTGAAGCCTCCAAGCCCATCTCGAGTAACTTAACTCTTCTGAATAGGCCACACCTAAACCTTTTCAAACAGTTCTACCAACTGGAGACCAAATATTGAAATCCATGACTTTTGGGGGCCATTTTCACTAAAACCAATGTAATAACCATATGATGTCCATGCAACAACAAAACAGCCTAATAACAAATTACTTACAATATACTTTTGATGACAGAATGTTTGTTCTTTGACATAACAATCACTTCTTGTCCTACTGTGATGCTTAGGATTTGGGGGGAGGGGGCAGAAAAAGGTAGATCAGTCAGTAAAGTGCTTTGCCATGCAAGCATGAGTGGGTCCCCAGAACTCATGTCTAAAAAAAACAAAACAAAAAACCTACCATGTATAATTCCAGTGCTGGGTTAATGAAAACAGGATATCTGTGTGAGTCTGTGAGACACCCTGTCTAAAAAAAGAACACACCTTTAATCCCAGTATTGGGAGGCAGAGGCAGATCTCTTTGAGTTCAAGACCAGCCTGATCTACATATCAAGTTCTGGAGTTCCAGGACAGCCAAGGGCTCCATACAGAGAACCTATCTCAGAAAAACAACCAAAAAAAGAAAAAAGGGAATAGAGGAAGATGCTGGCATTAGGCTCATACACAATTGCACACACAAACACATGTACAAAGAATACAAATTTGTGTAGCAGTTAACCTGATACTAAGTCACTTTATGACATTGTTCTCAGGACTTGTGAAAAGTTGCATGCTAAGTTACTGCTTATGCTTTTTCCAGGAAGAGTTTCTGTTTAAAGATTGAAATGAGTTTTAGGGTCACATGTTCAGTGATCTTATGTGTCTGATCAACCTATTGATTTATACCCAGAGCTAAAATAGAATGGTAATAGTGAACAGAGTGTCTCTCTCTGCCTGGGTCATCGTCCCTCCCTCCCCACCTTGACCTGTGACCTCTGTGTGTGCGTGTGGTTCACTCTGAATATTTTCAGAACTTTGGAAAACAGAAACAAAAATCTTTTAGTATTCTGTGCTTTATTTTTTGTTTTTTTTTTTTAAATTGTGCTCTGATTTTGTCCCTTCAGTTGGTGTGTTTGTCTTATATCAAGGCCTTACAGAGCATATTTTCTTTCAGGATATACTTCTTATTAATGTGGTGATTGAACAAATGATCTGTGATACTGACCCTGAGCTAGGAGGTGCAGTTCAGTTAATGGGACTTCTTCGTACTCTAATTGATCCAGAGAACATGCTGGCTACAACTAATGTAAGAACTCACACTGAATTAAAGAGTGTTGGCCTTATCAGTCTTAAATGTTTTTTAGTAAGATTTTTAGAATCCACAAATACTTTAGTAAGTATTTGTATTTAAAGACCAATGGTATTCTTACAATTAATTTTCAGTATATACAACCTTCTTAATTGTTCGACTCCTTTTTGATATTACCTTTTTCCTTTATTTGTTGTGGGTAAAGGGTATGCCATGGGGTATGCATGGAGGTCCAAGGTTAACTTGCAGGTATTAGCTCTGCTGCTACCACATGGGAGCCACGGTCAAACTCAGGCTTGGTCATAATTGGCAGCAGTGCTTTTATTTGCTGAATCCTCACTGGCCCAGGAATATTAATTAGATTAGGAATTTAGTTTTTGTTCCTTGGCTTCTATATGATGACTAATTTTTAAGTGTACAGTATAATTTTTTTTTAGTATCTATGTATCCATGACTGTCTGGAACTTGCTCTGTCTGGAGCATGACTGTCTGGAACCTCAAACTTACAGAGATCCTCCTGAGTGCTGGAATTAAAGGTATATACCACCACGCCCAGCCTTTAATAATAATTTTTTTAAAACTCCAATCTTAGATTATTTTTCTTTCTCTATTTTTATTATTTATTTATTTATTTTTGTTTTTTATTTTTTGTTTTTCGAGATAGGGTTTCTCTGTATTGTTTTGGAGGCTGTCCTGGAACTCTTGTAGACCAGGCTGGCCTTGAACTCACAGAGATCCGCTTGCCTCTGCCTCCCAAGTGCTGGGATTAAAGGCGTGCGCCACCAGCGCCCGGCTTTCCTTTCCTTTCTTTTTTATTTATTTATTTGTTTGTTTATTTATCACATATACAGTGTTCTGCCTGCATGCCAGAAGAGGGAACCAGATTGAATTGTAGATGGTTGTGAGCTACCTACCATGTGGTTGCTGGGAATTGAACTCAGGACCCCTGGAAGAGCAGTCAGTGCTCTTAGCCTCTGAGCCATCTCTCCAGCCCCTAATAATAATTTTTAACACTAGTCTTTAAGTAACACTGGACTGTATCATAAGATAGTAAGCAGGGCAGCAAATTTTATTTTACATGGTCTTATCATGATAAAAAGCAAGAAAATTGATGTAAACCAAAGGGTTTTAGGGACTATGTTTTTTGTTTTGATTTTTTTGGTTTTTAGAGACAGCGTTTCTCTGTGTAGCCCTGGCTGACCTAGAATTCACTCTGCAGACCAAGCTGGCCTTGAATTTACAGATATCTGCCTGCCTCTGCCTCCCAAGTGCTGGCATTAAAAGTGTGTGTCACCACTGACCACAAGACCCAAGGTTCTTACATGAAAGGCTCAAGGAGTATTCCAAAAGATTAATAGTGGTTATTTCAATCTGAAAGACCATTTTCTTTCCTTAGTAAAATTCCCTAATAATTAGAGAATGTGTAAATTATTTTGAAACTGTTTTAAGCTGGTTGGCCCAATTATTTTATAAATTGGTAGAAATTAGGGATTGTTTTCGAAATTACAACTTTTAGTCTTTAAGGAACAGACTTGAGTTTCATCTTTTTACTCATTAACCTGATAAATTGCTTCAGTGGAGGGCTGGAGAGATGGCTCAGAGGTTAAGAGCATTCAATGCTCCTCCAGAGGTCCTGAGTTCAATTCCCAGCAACCACATGGTGTCTCACAACCATCTGTAATGAGATCTGGTTCCCTGTTCTGGCATGCAGGCATACATGCAGACAGAACACTGTATACATAATGAATAAATAAATCTTTTTTTTTTTAAATGGTTTCAGTAGTTTTTCAGATTTGGATAGGCAATGAAATGTAGGGTGTTGATGCCTCTCCACCATCCTCCTTTCCTCCCCCCCACACACACTTGGGGATGAACCCAAAACCCTACACATACTAGTCAAATACATAAGCACCGAAGTACCTTTGCCAGTCCTCAGGCTCCAAATTTTAATCACCTAAAACATTTACAATCATAATCCTAGGGGCTGGAAAAGTAAGAGCATTTGCTCTCTTATAGAAGAACAGAGTTCAGTTCCCTGCACCCATGTTAGGCAGTTTACAGTCACCACAGAATCCATGTGTACGCACACACACACACACATTCATGCATGTGAATGAAAATAATTTTAAAATCAATCCTCACATCTTCTAAGTATCCGTTGCATTGCTGCTAGTGTGACCATCATGTTCAGTAGATTGCTCTATTCTTCATTACACTTCAGATTGCCAGCATCTTTTAAAAATAGTTGTTCTGTATTTCGTTGGAAAATCTGTTTCTACTTTTTTTTTTCACTTTCATTTTTTAGTGTCTAGTATGAATTATTAGGCTCCATACCTGTGGAATTCAGATTGAAGTATATGTATCTAAGTCTGCATATTTGATTCTAAGTAGTTTGGGATTCCTTCACTGTATCTTAAAGCACTGTTGATAGAGTATGACCTTCACTGCCAATTTTTGAAGCTGTTTCTTAAACATTTCAGAAAACTGAGAAGAGTGAGTTTTTAAATTTCTTCTACAACCATTGCATGCATGTCCTCACAGCTCCACTTTTGACCAACACATCAGAGGACAAATGTGAGAAGGGTAAGTTCTCGTATTTATTTGCCTATGGCAGCCATAAAGTATTATACGTGGTGCTTTATATGATAGGGAAAGATTTAAAGTGCAATATGAACTCAAAATTGTTCTTGTCTGTGGGTGTATTTGGTAAGAACTGTCAATGGAGAATTTGTGGGACAAAGGTTTTCTTCCTTGTATGTAGTTTTTGTTGCTTCTCCATATTTGTTGCATAAGTTACATTCATAACTTATGACAAATTCTAGTTTATGAATGAAAGTGGGATGGAGACAGATAGTGTTGAAGCAATGTGAGTAGAGAACTGTTTGGGCATTTGTGGCTTTATAGATCCAATTTGGCAGCAATTTTTGGCTTGTTATACTAGCCAACTAAGAGGATGCAGGGGCCAGATGTGGTGGCAACAGGCCTTTCAGTACTAAATTCAAGGATAGTCTTAGCTATGAGTACCTGTCTTAAAAGAGATGGGGCATCAGTCAAGACAATGTTTCTGGAATTACTAAAAGTTACAACATAAACATACCTCATTTAATAACTCTTAATTGCTTTCTGATTATAAACCCTAAAGAGCATTTCACATTTACATGATGAGTTCAGTACTGTTACTACATTACTTACAATAGAAAAATGAACAAATTGTAGAGTATCTATATAATGAAAGATTGCAGTTAAAATCATTGAAATGAATTTTGATGTATCAACCTAATTATTAAAAATGCAAAGTTTCGGGGAGGTGGTGGCATACACCTTTTAATTCCACCACTCGGGAGGTAGAGGCAGGTAGATCTCTATGAGTTCAAGGCCAAAAACTGTCTTGGTGGTAGGGAGCAGAGTTAGGCAACTTTAAAAAAAATAAAACAACGTGTTCCAAAATTTTTTTGTCGTCATATGTAACTTAAAATAATGCATTTTCATGTTCATTTTAACACATACCATATGTAAATATATTGCTAATACTGTTAATAGATATTTATGTACGGCCTGCTGGCTTTATCAAAGTGAACTTAACCTACTTTTCTGAGTAAAAAATAATGTATATTGGAATTTTCTGTGAGCCATTTCACCTTCTCAGTCCCACTATACCACAACCTGAGTTCTTAAGGATATGCCTGAGAGTTTTGTAGTCTATACTGGCTTGCTCATGTGGTCTGTGTAATGTATTCGTTTTCTGTTTCACATTTGATTTAAGTTTACTGTTTTTTTCTTCCATCTATTTTTTATTTATATATGCATGTCACTTTCAGCTCCCTCTCCCTCCCTTAAGTTTACTTCTGTTGAGATTGTTCATAGTGATATCCAGGTTCCTTAGGTATTTTAAGTCTTGCATAGATAGTATTCTGAATATTAGCACTTTAACCATTCTTCTTCCTGTGTACATTTGTTTCAAGATTTCCCCAGTTGTAAATAATGCTCCTGTGTGTATTCTTGCATTTCCCCGTGCAAATGAGCATGTATGTGCTCTAGAAAATATCCTTTCACCAGGTACATATTTTTAAGCATTAACACGTTATTAATGTATGTTGCTTGAAAACCAGCATTTTGTGGGTTTTTTTTTTATGCAATGCAGAAACACGTCCTAATTGTTGAATAAAACAAAGAAAAATACGTGTCTGCCTCACCTGTTTTTTTAATCTCACTTTTTTATAACAGTGCTTTCACTGTTACTATTTTATTTGTCTCTGAAATTTGTGAGACAACATTTCTCTGTGTTAACAGCCCTAGCTGTTCTGGAATTCACTCTAGACCAGGCTGACTTCCAACTCACAGAGGTCAGTCTCCCTCTGCCTCTAGATTGTTGGGATTAAAGATGTGCACCACTATGCCTGGTTCACTACCTCTGCACCTAATTCTGTAAAAGATATGTAATATTCAACCAAAGCAAGCAACTCAGTGGTTGTTGTTAAATTAAAAAGAAATTATGATTGAGGGTGTTTATATATTTTGAAATATTAGGAAAATGTAAGATATTGTTAACTGAAGTAGTTGATTTTAATTTTTCTTTTAAAGATAATATACTTGGATCTAACAAAACCAATACAATTTGCCCTGGTAAGTATAAATATATATTTTATGAGTATAAATTATGAGGTTTTTCTTAATTAGCGTATCGTGTATATATGTAGATAAAATAAACTTTTTTAACGTAAAAATAAAATCCAAGCATAGATTTGCCCTTTTATTATAAGGAAGAAAGTCTACTTTCCAACTATAAAAGATGTAAATCTGTTGTTTTGACATCGTTTTGAGTAATCAGGATCTGTAAGTTGATAATTTAGTTTTTATATTTTAGATGTAATTGGTTACACTCCCTTAGGATCCACCTCTATCACAGTGCTGTACTTGTCTGTGGGCCTTCATCTGTGCCGTTTGCTTCTCTTTAGAATATGCATTGAAGGTGTGTGCATTTAGCCTTGCACTCTTTCTACCAAGCTCATCAAGGCCCTGGGAGAAACAACAGGAACCTCTAGGAGAGCTTCCGCAGGAGATTGATTAAAGTGATTTCTTGACTTAAGATAGAAAGGGGAAACAATGGAATGAACAGTACAGATCACTGTTTTAAAATATCTTTTGTGTGGAGCTGGGAAGATGGTTTAGCACATGAGCCTGGAGCCCTCTGTTCATCCCCAGAACCCACATAAAGATGGATTTTATCCCATACATCACACTCACACACAACAATACCCTTTAAAACTTCTGGAGATGGTTCAGCAGTTAAGAGCACATTCTGCTCTTGTGCAGAAGACCTGATTTCACTTTCCAGCACTGGTTTCATAGCTCAAAATGCCAATAACTTAATCTTCAAAGTATGAGACTCCCTCTTCTGTCCTTCAAAGGTACCTGCACTCATATGCACAAACCCACACAAATATACATATACTTAAAATTAAAAATAACAAATCTTGCATAATTAAAATTAAAAAATAAGAAACTTATAATTAAAGACTAGTTATAATTTTGCCTTTGGTATACTGGCTGGTTCAGAACTTAGTTTGGAGTAACTAAGACTCTTTTCTTGCAATTGACATAAAAACAGAGTTTGAAGTACCAGAGTTTTGTGTGTTTGAAGGCCATTCCGTTAATTAAAAGAATGCTGCATTACTTCTAGGAGTTCATCCTCACAAATGTTTGTGTGGTCTACAGAGGCTCTTTTCTTCCAGAGAAGCAGAGTTCAGTTCCTAGCACATACATTACACGGTTCACAGCTGCCTGGAATACCCACTCCAGGGAACCCACATCTTTCTTCATCTGGCCTTCATGGGCTCCTGTAAATGTGTGGCATAAACACACACATGGGGTGGGGGTGTGGAGACTTAAATGTGTAATGTTCCTGTTGAGATCAAATATTTGTACTAGGTGGCGTTGATTGTGTCAACTTTTTATTTGACTGCGATTCTGTAATTTCCTCTCAGAGTAGTGTTTCTTTTCTAAAACATTATAAAAATAATATGTATATTAAGTCCTTAGTAGATGTTAAAGTTTGATGTACAGTCATTTCATGAAGCAGGGTATCTAAAAGATTCACCAAAAAGGTAGCTTCGGTGATCTGAATGGCATGAGCTGGTGTATTCAAGATGGTTACTGATAAAATCTCAGGGAAATAGTTTTTGTTTAATACTTAAATAGCAAAAAAATAACATTTTCTTAAAGATGGATTTTGTGTAATGTTAAATTGCATTGGGACTGTCAGGCAGTAGTTGGTAAAGGAGCCTGCATGTAGGCCTCTCTTCTGGTCCCCAGACCCCACTCCTAAGAACTGTCCTCTGCAACCACACTAGTACTCCCATGCTCACAAACAAATTTAAAAGAAATTTGCATTCAGCCACTTCAGGCAACAACTTTTGAGCCTTTCCTCTTTGGTGTGCCATTTCACGGATTTGCTTGTATTTGCAATGATAGCACTAATTAAGAATACTTTGCGAGGAAAATGTCAATGTGACAGGCTGTATTATCACATTTGTAGATTTACATGGAGCTTTTATTTATTCATCTATTTACTTATTTATTTATTTGTATTCACTTGTTTGTTTGCTGATCTATCGAGACAGGGTTTCTCTGTGTAGCCCTGACTGTCCTGGAACTTACTAGGCTGGCTGGCTTTGGACTCACAGAGATTCGCCTGCCACTGCCTCCCTAGTGTTGGGATTAAAGGCGTGCGCCGCCACCGCCATGCTGAGCTTTTCTTTCTGTTACTACAGTCTACATATATAAAAGCAATATGTATTTATGTACCCTTTTTAAATTATACAAAATGTACTTTTATTCTAAGATATAGGATGTATTTATTCTCTTTGGGTGTATTACATTTGTTCTCACTAGATATCTTTCTTTTGTAGATAATTATCAAACAGCACAGCTACTTGCCTTAATTTTAGAGTTGCTCACATTTTGTGTGGAACATCACACATACCACATAAAAAACTACATCATGAACAAGGACTTGCTAAGAAGAGTTTTGGTGTTGATGAATTCAAAGCACACTTTCTTGGCCTTGTGTAAGTAACAATTTAATGATCATTTTTGTAAAAATGGTTTAAGAAATACTTTTTAGTAGAGGTAAGTGCCAGTTCCCCATATAAAGTCATCTGCTTATTAGCAGTATGTGATGTTATGAGATGGCTGAGAGAACCCACTGCTTCTGCTTTGTATTCTGTGGTTTCCTGTATGCATATTGCTTACACTTAGATTGCATTGGATTGCCGTATGTTGTGTTGGAATACCATATGCAGCAACAACATTGCTTGATAGAACTGTTGTGCTATGTTGGAGCTTCATCAAACTATCAAACCCACAAACTATTTATGTGTGGGTGAGTGCACGCTTTTACCTCAGACTCATTATGTAGCCATGGGTGGCCTTGATTTTTCTGATATTGCTTCCTTCACCCCTGAGTACTGGGATTACAGACCAGTGTTATCATATCTGATTTATGCACCTCTGGGTATTGAACTGAGGCCATTGTGCATGCCAGGCAACTCTACCAGCTGAGTGACTATGCCATCCTTGTTTGTTACTCTTAATCCCCCATCCTCCTTTATTTTTAGGTCCTTAAAATAGCCAGTGTTGGTGGGATTTGGTGGCTCACATCTGTAAAACCATCTGGTTTTGTTTTGTTTTATCCTTGTACTAATGTACAATGTATTCAGAGGGTTTTACCTTTATGAAAATTAATTGAACTAGTACATTTCTCTATCCTTCACTACTACAAATTATTTAGTATTAATTTTTTCTTCCTAATGATAGCTAAATAACATTTCATAGTGTGATTTCTACTGTTTACCACCTAAAGCATAGATTACAGAATTGCTTTTGCTTCTACACCCCATTCCCAACTATACTGTGTCTAGTACAAAAATCTTTTACACTAATGTATTTCTGTAAGATTACAATAGTAGGATTGCCAGGCAAAATGTTTGTGTACTTTTCATATATTCTTTTTAAATTTTACCATCTGCCTACCTACTGGGTTACTTTCCCAAAAGCTGAGGCCTGTGGCAGGTTCCCAGCACCTATTGTGCTACACTAATAGTTAGGTACATGATTGACTGACTGACTGACTTTCCAGGTGGATGATTGGTTGACAGACAGACAGACAGTCTTTCCCAAAAGCTAAAGCACTTGGCATTTTCCCAGCATCCTGTAATGCCGGATGGATGGATGGATGGATGGATGGATGGATGGATGGATGGATGGATGGATGGGGGGAGTGGAGGAGGGAAGGCACAGGGCCTCACTCTGAAGTCCTAAGCTAGCTTGGAATGTATTATGACAGTCCTGCTTCTGCCTGGTACTGAAATTATAGTCAAACCACTACTCACAAAAAGAAAAATGCCCCAGCTTACAAGTCATAACCCCAGAGAAGCTTGAACTGTCTTCCAGAAACAGATGGAAGCAGATGTAGAAATCCACAACTAACCAATGGGCCAAGCTCCTGGAGTACAATCCAAGTGAAGGAGGAGCGATAAAATAAACAAAGGAGTCAAGACCATGATGGGGAAACCCACAGAATCAGCTGACCCCAGCTAGTGAGAGATCACTGACTCAGGTCTGACAAATAGGGAACCTGCATAAGACCGAACTAGTCTCTCTTAATATAGGTGGCAATCGTGTGGACAGTATATGAGGCTGCTGGCAGTGGATCCAGCATCTAACACTAGACATGGGCATGCTGGTGGATAGGTGCCTTGGTCCTGTCCCAAGGAGATGATGGGACAGACTTAGACTTCCTAGGGGAGACCTTACCCTCTCCTTGGAGCAGATGGGAGGTGGGAGCAGGAGGAGAGGAGGGAGGGGAACTGGTGTTGGATTGTAAAAAATAAATTAATTTAAAAGAAAAAGTGTAAAAGAGATGCTATTTTTTGGGTGAGAAATGCTTTCAAGTCAGGGTTTCTCTCTGTAACAGCCCTAGCTATCCTGGAACTCACTTTGTAGACCACACTGGCCTCAAACTGAGAGATCCACCTGCCTCTGTCTCCCAAGTGGTGGGACTAAAGGTGCGCAGCGCTATGCCTGGCAATATTGTTAATTTTTGAAATTGTTCTCCAGTGATGAAAATGTGTTGTATAGTCTTGTCCTAATTTGCATTTCCCCTGATAGAATATTTCCCTATAGCAACTTAATTTATATATATTTTTGGAAATAGTCTCATGTAGCCCAGCTGATCTCAAACTATATGGTTATGGATGATCCTTATACTTCTGCCTCTACCTTCAAAATATTGGGATATAGGTCTGAGTCATCTTGTTCAGCCTAATTTGTATTTTCATCTGTTGTGAACTGAGAGTTATCTTTTTTATAGAACGTTTTCTGCATTAATTTTAGGAGGAGATGTTCTAGTCTTACTTGCCTTTTGTTGATGTTTTCCATGTAACTTTTAAAAACAAAATCTTTATTGGGGCTGGGAAATGGGTCAGTTAAGACTTTCATGTGAGCTCCAGGACTTGAATTTGATTCCTAGAATACATGTGCAGGGTTGGTGGTGTGCACATTTATAATTCTACTATATTTTTTCCATAAAAGGAACTGCCACTTCTATGCAGTAAACTAACAAAACACTTGTACCTTATTTCTGTAATCTCTACTACTTAATCTCATCAGATGTAATAATGACAATGTTGTCATTTTTTTTTTCCTATGGAAGGTTAAAAGACTGCCTTTTGAGTTTTCCCCATTAATTTACATATTTTTCCTGGTTATCTGTAGACATTTATTCTTTAATGATAACATAAAAGATGTATCCAAAACTTATTTGGAGTTACATTTATTTGTAGACTAATTTTGAAAGGATTATGTTCTCATGTTAGGTTTTCCATAAATAACCCTTTAGATACTTGCATATTATGCCTATTAATGTCGGTATATCTTGTTGGATGAGATTCCAGTATGTGAGTCTTTGTATTGTTTCAGGCTCTCCATCATTATAATGATACCAAACTATAGTTTGCAAGTCTTTTGGTTCATTCAGCAGCAGCATATGAGTTTGTGTACTCAGACCTTTTCCAGGGTGTGTATATGTAAAGGGAAGTTTGTTAGTTAAAGTATCAACACATAAAAATATAGGATAAAAGTTGTGCAATAGTATTGCTAATTTCATTTAAGTAGTAAAAGCTAATTAAAGAAGGGAATGGTATTTTTAATTAAAAATGTGAAATGCCAAGTTATAGTCCTTAGTTATTACTCTTGATTTTTGTTAGCAGATGCAATGTGATCTACCATAGTTCATACATAATTGGCAAACAAGGAAATAATTTCATAATGTGAAAGCATATTGATTCACAAGTGAGTGTTTTGAGACAAAAGAAGCAAGAGTAGTTGGAGATCTGTAGCCTTCATTGAAAAAGTTTAGATCTGTTACTGATAATCTCTTTGGTTGTATTTCAGTCAAAATCAAAAGCAAACACCTGCTTCCATACATGGTATTCCTCCCCTGGAAATGTAAGAAGCTGTCCTACACCTATGCCCATTTGGCCCCCAGTTCAGAGCTTTCTATACTGCACCCACTATCTTTGCTTTATGTCTTACTAGCATTGTCATTCTATTGATCCTGGGGTTTGTTGTTGTGTTTTTACTATTGTGTGTGTGCATGGTGTTAGAGAGTAAGTTTGTGGAGTCAGTTCTTTCCTTCCACCTGGGTATTGAATTCTGGTCCCCAGGCCCTAATGCACTGAGCCAATCCAGTTATCATTCCTCAACTTGTTGTTCTTGCTTGTCAGAGTATTATTTTACTTTTTATTTTGGTAAAATTCGTGCATTGCTTTATAATAAAAATAGCTGTAAAATAATTTTGGTAAATTCATTAACCCCTTTTTACATTTTTTTAAATTAGGTGCTCTTCGCTTTATGAGGCGGATAATTGGCCTTAAGGATGAATTTTATAATCGTTACATCACCAAAGGAAATCTTTTTGAACCAGTTATAAACGCCCTTTTGGATAATGGAACTCGGTACAATCTATTAAATTCAGCTGTTGTTGAATTGTTTGAATTTATAAGAGTGGTAAGTTTATATTAAAGATCTTAGTAATCATATGTAAACAAGTAGTTATTTTATATAAAAGTAAAATTGCATATAACCAAATTGACTTTTCATTCCTAGTTTCCTGAAATTGTTTATTCCATATGTCTTAGAATCTATTTCTAATAAACTGAAAATTTAAAGGCCACCTACTTTCTTATTCTTCCTTGGAAATGGCTACTAGTTGAATGACAGTATTTGGATGGCTCTTTGGGATGGGTCACTGTTGATGATCATGTATAGGTTCTTCTCTGTCACCACCAAGACACTCTCCAAACCACTGTTGACAATGAGAACATTTAAAGGTGAAATGCAAGTCTTGTAATACATAGTTGCTCAGTTTTCTTGGAGAAATGTTTTAGGACCATGTGTGGCATGTTGAACATTTCAGTCAAGCAAGACATCCTTGTGATCTATTGTGAAGCAGCGGTTTTTTATTATATGAGTAATGATTAAAAAAATACAAAACTAAATTTTTTTCTTTAGTAGAATTTTTTACAATATGTCTAAACAGTAGGATAGAATTTTTAAATTTTGAGGATGAGAGAATTAGAAAGTTAAAAGTAGTCCAACTGCCTTTTGTTAAGGTTGAGGGAACTGAGGTAGCAAAAAAGACTGTTACCCTGTTGAAGCATCTGAACAACTGAAGTGTTCCAGTACCTTCAGAGGGATTTTTCTCTTAAGGAGGTCTGGAGAAAACAGTGCACAGGTCATCAAGATGGGCTGTTACTATAGTCATCCAGATGGGCTGTTACTATAGTCATCGAGATGAGCTGGTTACTATTGTCAGCACAATAAATCCACCTCTTGTGCATCCAGAAATACTTGTCTTTTCACATCAAGGACCGGGCTAGTGAAAAGAATATGAACGGGAAAACTAAAAACTCATTCTCCTTTTGTTTCTTAACATTTGCTGTTCCTGTAAAGATTATTTAGCTAACTAAATTATTTTTCTAAGAGTGGCCACTTGCCAGGAGAAGTGTAGGTTAGCCTTGGGAGACAAGCAACATAGTCAGTTACCTGAGCTGCTGTCTGTCCTGCTGCCTCTCATGAGCTTTCTGTGGACTTGGATCATTTTCTCTTTAGCACTTCGGTGAGACACTGATAAGATGAATTGGGCTCCCACCTCTCTCCCAATGCTTTTGGTAGAGTTTGCATTTTTTTCTGAAAACTGGATCATCAACCTTATTATGTGTTTGTTCCACTTACAACAGTGTAGACTTCCAGTCAGGTAGTTTGTCCAATTTGTATATATAGTATAATCGAAGGAATCTGGGCTTATTATCTGTTTAGGTAAGACTTACTCTATTTTGACAAGTTAAATAGGAAACCATTAACATTAACATTAATGAACATGTGGGCTTAATAGGTGTTTCCTGATAACTCAGCCTAAATTTTGTCTTTTTATAAAATGGGTGAGAATTATATGTAAAATTGTGGACGTATTCTTTAAATTATGAAGTACTGTATAAAGCATTAAGACATAAACTAAATCCATTGCTTTTCAAATGTTCCTTATAGCCCCCTAAAGGGCTCCAGTGAATTGCCTCTCCTTGTTCCAAGTTTTCTGTGGAGTCCTGTCCTGGCTCATGTATAAGGAATCTAGGACATTTATTTTTAGAAGGTGATTTTGAAAAACCTTTTTTGATCAACTTTGGAACTATTCAGTTTTTTTTATTTTGTCTTTTTTCTCAACAAGTATTATATTGTTTTGTAAATACAAATTTTGTGCCTATACAGGAAGATATCAAGTCTCTTACTGCACATATAGTTGAAAACTTTTATAAAGCACTTGAGTCGATTGAATATGTTCAGACATTCAAAGGATTGAAGACTAAATATGAACAAGAAAAAGACAGACAAAATCAGAAACTGAACAGGTATTGTTTAAGTGTATTAACATTTGTAGAAAGTAAAATTAAGTATGAAATTGTCCAGTTGAAATCTTAGCATGTGAAATTTTCTATATTAGTATAGCCTTTTATAAGAGGATCAACTGTCCTTCCTGTCCCATCCATTATAGATAACTTGATAGTGCATATAGTAACTGAAGATGGGTTCTTAATTTAGTATGCAACATGCAAAAATATTTGATGAGTTCTCTGACTACATTGTACGTGATGACTGAGATTATTTGATATATTGTACATCATAGCTTAACAGTATTTAGTTCGTCTTGGTTTATTTATCCTTCCCAAACTTTATCTGGGCATGGCCTTGTAGTTATTATTCAACATCTCTAACACATTTCTTACAGTGTACCATCTATATTGCGTAGTAACCGATTTCGCAGAGATGCAAAGGCCTTGGAAGATGATGAAGAAATGTGGTTTAATGAAGATGATGATGAAGAAGGAAAGGCAGTTGTGATACCAATTGAAAAATCTAAGACTGAAGATGATTTTCCAGATAGTTATGAAAAATTTATGGAGACTAAAAAAGGTACTAAGATCCTGAATTTTCATATAGTACTGACTTTCTTAGTAAAACAATCAGACAGCCTCAGCACCACGAACGCACGCATACCTGCCTGCCTACCTACCTGTTTGGGAAAGTCTGGCCAAGGTTTGTAAAACAAACACATTATTTTAGGTGTTCATATTTAAAATGTTTTCCTTGAAAGATGATGTCTTTGATGTTATTCATTTTGGGTTTAAATGTTTTCAGTTTATAATATTTAAAGCAAAGTCTCAATGTATAGCCTTGTTCTAGCCTAGAGCTTACAGTTTCCCAATCTCAGCTTCTCAAATGCTATAATCACTGTGTGTGCCACCACACTTGTCCTCTTTTAGCGATTTGTTATCTATTTATGCTTCTCTAAGCAGACCAGTCTTGGCTTTGTTTCTTTATGAAAATTTCATAGAGGATTTTTATTATGATTAAATTATTTGAGTGTTTCTATTATTATTAAGTAACTGAGACTGCTTAGAGCAATCAACCTCTCATGTTTACAGCTGAGTGAGTGAGCTCAAAGAAGTAACTTTGTTCTTTGAAAGTTCACCATTTTTTTAAAGTTGCTTAAGAAGGATTTAATAGGGGGAAGCTGGAATGTACCTGTAACCCCAGCATTCTTAAACTAAGGCTGTAGAAGCACTGTGATATTGGCCAGGCATAGGAACACCCTGCCTCCAAAATAAACCCTGGTATGGTGGCACCCTCTCTTAATCCCGACACTCAAGAGGTAGAGGCAGGCGGATTAGAAGTTGAAGGTGATCCTCAGGCACTACCTCAAAGGGGGAAGGGGCTTATTTTCCTACTTGTTGTATAAAACTAAGATGTTGCTTGTATTTTTCAAGAGAAATAATCAGTGTTCTTAAGAACACCGACCTGCTAATATTCTGTGAATGATTAATAGAAATTTATATGTTGTAAGGCAACATTATCTCTTGGACTTTGTTTTGGTTTAGTTATTCAAGACAGGGTTTCTCTGTGGCTTTGGAGGCTGTCCTGGAACTAGCTCTTGTCTTGGACATATTTTTAATGTGGCTTATTCTGCACGCACTTCTTCTTAGAAAACTTATTCAGTTGTCTTAGTATCTTTTTTTTTTTTTGTCAGCCAATCAACAATCTAACTCATTTCCTATTCGTCAGTACCATGAATACCACCCAAGAAGGGCAGAGAACTTATTGGTGTTCTAAGGAACATTATTGGCTATTTATTTATGTAATTGCTAGAGCTTGAACACAGGACCTTGAGTGTGGTTGGCTAGTGCTTTTACCACTAAACTATCCACTAAGCTAGATCCTAAAATAGGTGCTTTTTTTTTTTTTTTTTTTAAGCAAACTCTTTTTCCTTCCGTCAGTAGATACTATCCTCAGTTTAAAAGAAGTGTGCTGTTTGGGAATGTGCTAACAGAACAGTAGCCAGTCTTGAAAGGGGTTTGGACACTTATACTCTAGAAGAAATAAGTAAAGGAATTTGGAATTTTTAGGGAGTAAGAGACTAGGATACTTAATAGTTGTCTTGGGGCATTTGAAGTGGTGACTTGTGATGGGTCAAGAACTACAGAATCGGTGAGTGGGAAGACAGTAACAGAAAGCAGACTGCTAATAACTTTCCAAGTAAACATTTAGATAAAGCAGTAGACCTTCTACTGTAAGGCCAGTTCTGCTCTTTGAGGTTCCTAAGATCCTGATCAACAAGAATATTGTACATATCTTGTACTCTCCAAAAGCAAAGCAAAGTTGTATGCTGTCACTTTGCATTGATTTAGCAATATTTAATACAGGCTCAATTTTACTTTTGCCTTAGCAAAAGAAAGTGAAGACAAGGAAAACCTTCCCAAAAGGACATCTTCTGGTGGCTTCAAATTTACTTTCTCCCATTCCCCCAGTGCTGCTAATGGAACAAACAGTGCAAACAGTAAGTCTGTGGTGGCTCAGACAACATCAGCAAGTTCAAATGGGTCCTCTTCCAAAACTACAAACTTGACTGCATCAGTGACAGCCACTAAGGTACGTGAAAGAAGCCCTACACATAAACTTTGCCTTCATCTGTAAAACTACTGTTTACTGAAGATGATTTAGATAAAAGTTTCAAAGAATGAAAAGTTGTGTTGTCCTTAGAACCTGACTCATAACATTATTTGCAAACTCTTGAGGTTTACCTTGCATATCTCAGAAAGTTTAGACTTAAACATTTTTTCCTTCTGTTGCTAGGATTTTTGTTATATTAAAGCACTGTTGGTCATTTTATTTAACTAAAAGTTATAACATGTGAGCATATTCCCCCTCTCTCCTCACCCTATGTTGTCCCATTTAAGTTGGTTCCATCACTTCACTGATCTGTTAGTGTTGTACTTTTAAATATTTTGTTTAATAAATTATTAATGGAATGTCTTTATACACGTTGTTAAATTCCTCTTCAAAGATTTATACCAGGTTTTGTTCCTATGAGCAGTGTATGAATATACCTGGTGCAGGGCAACATTAACAGTATTGTTAAAATTATTTTAATCTTCACCAGTTGTTTAAGGGTATTTCTATAATATCTCTTTTCCCATTATGTATCTACTAACAGTAGTAAGGTTGAATTTACTCTTCTGTGTTTTGTCTTTTCATGGTACCTTTTAAAATTGATTTAAATTTTTCTTAATTTGAATGATTTTTTTCAGTTAAGGGTATTAGACTTTCTATAATTTTCATCACAAATGTATTTCTCATTGGTTTAATGCTATAAGCAAGTTTTAAAATTTTATTTTTTATTTTTAAATTTAAATTAGAAACAAGGTTGCTTCACATGTCAATCCCAGGTCCCTCTCAGTTTTCCTCTCCTCCTCCCACACCCTCCCACCAACCCCCCATCCTCTCCCCCAGTCCCCACTCCTTTCCCAAGGGAGGGTGAGGCCCTCCATGTGTCCATAGTCTGTCATTTCATCCATGGCAGGGCCTAGACCTCCCCCCAAGAGTCTAGGCTGAGAGTGCATGGGCACCCAAAGTCCATTTTTATGCCAGGGATAAATACTTATCTACTACCCAAGGCCCCACAAGTTTTAAACTTTACAGTTTTCATTTTATGAGACTATCTTTTTCCCCCCCAAGAAGGCATTACTCTCTTTTAGAAGTACAAATACAGGACAACTTCTGCTACAGGGGTAGGTGAACAAAATATAAGGATATGTTAACATGGCATAAACTTGAGTCAATCTGAGCAGTAATATTCATTGTCTTAGGATTTCTGTTCCTGTGAAGGGACACAATGACCAAAACAACTCTTACAAAGAAAGACATTTAGTTGGGGCAGCTCGCCTATAGTTTCAGAGATTCAGTCCATTATCAAGATGGGAAGCATGGCGACATGCAGGCAGATGTGGTGTTGGAATAATTTAGCTAAGAATCCTATATCTTAGAGGCAACAGGAAGTCAACTGAGACATTGAACAGTATGGTGAGCATAGGAAACCTCAAAGCCTGCCCTCACAGTGACATACTTCCCTCAACAAGACCATACCCACTCTTACAAAGCCACATCTCCTAATAGTGCCACTCCCTATGAGATTATGGGGACCAGTTACAGTCAAACTACCACAGACATTCAAAAAATCCAGCACCATATTAAAAATGAGCACTCATGAGGCAGAGGCAATTGGATGCCTGTAAGTTCAAGGCCAGCCTGGTCTACAGAGTGAGTTCCAGAATAACCAGGGCTACACAAAGTAACCCTATTTAAAAAACAATAAAAATTTTTAAAAATGGCCAGCATGGTGGCAGATTCCTTTAATTCCAGCACTCTAGAGGAGGAGGCAGAAACAGGTAATTTCTGTGCTTTTGTGAGTTCCAAGCCAACCAGAGATATGTAAGGAGACCATTCTAAAAATAGATAAGATAAAATAAAAACCATAAAGAAGACCCAGCTGAAGTGAATGCATCTTTTTTTTTTCTTTTGAGTCTGCGTTTACTCTTTAACAGAAACATGTAAGCTCTTCATTCAGGGTTGTATCTTCAGCACTATAGTGAAATACGCTCTTGGTTAAAGCTCCCATAAGTAGTATCTTCAGTGAGATCCACACACATTTTGTTTTCCTTTTTCTTCTTTTTTTTTTTCTTTCTGTTTTTCAAGACAGTGTTTCTCTGTGTAACAGCCCTGGCTATCCTGGAACTTGCTCTGTAGAACAGAGTGACCTTGAACTCAGAGAGATCCTCCTGTCTCTCACATGTACTGGGATTAAAGGAATGTGCCACTACCACTCAGCCACGTTTTGTGTTTTCTTCTAATAACCCAGCATTTAACAGTCTCACAATCTCAGCACTTTGACCACTTTCCATTCTGTTTTGCCGCTTGATTTCTTACAAAGTATGTAGTATCTTGATCAATGGCGCAGACAACCAATAGCATGGAAAATGTTTGGGTTGTTTTGGGGAGTTTGGGAGCCTCACCAGTCATAAGAGGTATAACGTTCAACCTTGCTACTGGGACTTTTTTTCATAAACTCCCAGAGGCATTAGTGGCTTCATCCGTGTAATGTTTGTACTTAAATTTTCTTTTTTGATTATTTGATTGGTTTGTTTATTTTCAGGTTTCTTTTTGGCTTTTTAATATGGGCTTAGTATCATAGCACTTTTGTCTACTTTCAAAAGTCAAGTATTACTGAAGTGCACTTATAAACAAGCAGACATCTATCTGTTCCTTTCTACAGATAGTTTTGGAGAATTTTTCACTTCTAAATAATATGCTAATATTGCTGTGTTGTTTCACGCACACTTCCTATGGTAAATGCAATTTAACTTTGTTAGATTCACACATAAATTGAATACCTTACCAACTCCTTTCCCTTTGTTCCCATATGGTATAGTTATTGGCTCATACGATGGTAATTTTGTGGTTATAAACACAACAAATAGAGTTTATTGATTTTTACTTTAACTGTACTCCTTTTCTCTCTCTAACAGCTCTGAGTATCCTGGAAGTCATTTTGTGGGCCAGGCTGGCCTCAAACTCAGAGATCCTCCTACCTCTGCCTCCCTAGTGCTGGGATTAAAGGCATGCTCCACCAATGTCCAGCTTTTCCTTTGCTTATTTTTTGTAGTTCTTCCTGGATTAAATGTCGCTCTTTCCATTTGTTACTGTAAGTTACATACCTGTTGGTAGTTCTTTGAAGATTTCTCAGACCCACATATATCCTCCTTGGAAAACCTCCCCTTTCTGCTCTTCTAAATTGCTTTCTCTATAGACATTTCTTGAGGCTCCCTCAACCATTGGCCCAAATCTCCATAACCCCCTGTCTTAAACTGTCTTTCCTAGAACCCAGTCCTCTGCACTTTCTTGACTTAGTTCTTCATTTTTATGGAGTGTACTAACAGTTTCCTAAGCAGAGAATATTATGAGAGGTAAAACTTGAGACCATACAGGTATGAAAATGTTATTATTCTAGCCTTCTTGATTGACAGTGGAATACATTGTAGAACCAGATTGACAGCCTCTTGAAATTCAAAGCTTGCTGCTGTAAAGTAGTTCAAAGACATTTTTATTCCTTGGCTCTTTTGTGGGTTTTATTCTTAGGGAATATTCTGAAATTAAATATTCATTATTCAGTTTTATAACATTTTCTATTCTTTTTTAATTGAATGGTGTTTTCTGGTTCATCAGCTGAGCTACTGATTGGCCAGCTGCTTTCTTGAATTTAATTTCTTATCCTTCCAGATAATTATTTTTTCAGTAACTTAGAAGTACAAATATACTTTTCACCTCAATGATGCTATCAGATCCCAAAATGTGTTTGTTCTACATCTTCAGGAGCAAGAGATAAAAATAATGATATTCTTAGAGAACAAAAACTCTTTTATCAGTATAGTTTTGCACCAAAAAATTATGTATACACAGAAATAAATTTAGTTTGTTCACAAACTTGTAACAAATTATGGCCATTTTTCTAAATAGTAGCTCACTCTTCCCCAGCAGTGGCCTCTAATTTCAACACCAGTGTGACCCCTGCAGTGGAAGGCTGCAAGGACACCAGCTACTGCTGAGACTTAACGCTAGGAGATGAGTGTTATTAAAGACAGTCTATTTCCGTTGTTTAGTAAGAACGTTCACAGAATCAGATGAGAGCAGTATGAAGTCATGACTCCCAAAGTCTCGGAAATTGGGGCAGAGGGTACTACAGTGAGGAAGAATGGCAAAAATGGTGTGAGATAGTTCAATAAGAAAAATGGTTTCCAGGCCTGGAGAGATGACTCAACAGTTAAGAACATGACCCAGGGTCAGTTCCTGCACCTATATGGTAACTCAAACTGACTGTACCTCTAATTCCAGGGTATCCGACACCTTCATTCATATTTTTAAAAAAAAAAGTGCCTTATGTCTTTAATCTGAGCACTCCACTCCGGAGGCAAAGACAGGCAGATCTCTGTGAGTTTGAGAATAGCCTAGTTCATAAAGCAAGTTAGTTCTAGGACACCTAGGACTGACTGTTACAGAGAAATCCTGTCTGAAAACATGAAAAATACATTTTTTAGAAAAAAGAAAAATTCTTTTCAACAAATACTGCTATTGGATAACCACATCCAAGAGAAATGTTGGACTCTTAACTCACTTAATACAAAACTTAAGAGACCTAAACATAAGTACAAAGCTTTCAAAAAACATGAATAAATATCCATGACCTTAAATTAAGTAGTTATATATAACACTCAAAGCATAAGGGACAAAAAAAAGATGGTATCATGATCAGAAATGACACTGGTATTAAGAAAAAAGATTGGCCACCACATGAGTTGCAAACCCTGTCAGAAGTTGGGTGCGGAGCATATCAAGGTCTCTTACCAGTAATATCAAACTCCAAAGGACAAACATAGACATTCCCCAAAGACAAATAAGCACATGAGAAAATGTTTAGCATCATTATCAGATAGAAATGAAACCACAGCAAAGAGCTGAAGAGATGGTCCGTGGGTAAAGCACTCGCTGTGAAAGCCTGAAGATGTTCAGAATCCAGGAACCCACAGAAGGTCTGTGTTATCCCAGCATTCCTACTGCAGTGGGAGGAGCCCATCGGTAGCATGGTGTATGCAACAGCAAGCCACAGTCTCTGATTTCCGACAAGGTAGAATGTGAGATTAACACTCAGCGTTATCCTCTGTTCCCCTTACTCCACACTGCACATGCCCTATAGCAGAAATGTTTATACTCGACACAAACACAGTAAGAGCAGTTCACATCCACTAGAATCACTAACTTTTTAATGGGCAAATGTTGACTACGATACAGAGAAATTGCAGTCCATATTCATTGCTGATGAGGCCCAATTCCCACTTGCTCTTGAAGCTACACACATTAATTATATGACCCAGCAAGCAGTTCCATTCCTACAGAAAAGTTAAGACAAGCTGTGTGTGGCCAGCATTCTGAAGACTGAGGTAGGAGGATTATGAGTTCAATAATATCATGGACTACATAGCAATCCTGTCTCAGAGAAGCATTGCAAATGCGTTGACTCTAAAAGTAGTGAGTGATTGTTGATAGCATTATTCATAATGGCAAAAAAAAAAAAATGGAACAACACAAATGTCTGCCGAACTTGTGAATTGGGCCAACCATGCTGTTAGCCAGACAAGGAAATGAAACAGTAATTGCTGTGACGTAGATTAGCAGTCGACACAGTGTGGTCCTTGTTACATTAATTGCTGAGAATAAATTCCATCGGGTTGGAGGTGGAGAGCAAGTAGATTAGTGGTTGCCTGTAACCTGGGAAGAAGGAGCTATGGGGATTGGCAGTTACTGGGTTAGGGACATTGCTGGGGAGGAAGATGCTAAGGGACAAGTTTATAATATGACTAAGAACATTGACAATATGCCTTTCTAATTCAAACTTAAAATGTGTGATTTTAGCTAAGCAAGAATTAGGAATTTTCTAAATAATGCCTTCTTTAATTCATAGACTGAACTGCTTTTAGATGCTCAAAGTCCTCTTCTGACTGATAATAGTGTTTCACTTAGTCTCAGTGTTACTTTCGTGCATTTGTGTTTACATATGAAGTCACATATGAAGGACAAGTTACTTTGTGATTTGTTTAGCTTGGAGAGGTCCAAAAGCGTTTGAACTATAAACAGTGTTATGTTAGTAGCCCTTTAACCTGTAGGGCATGCATAAGTTTCATAGAATTGGTTCAAAATGAGTGCATCTATATTCAGCCATTTAAATTTTTCTTTAAAAAGTTGGTGGTGGCACACACCTTTAATCCTAGCACTTGGGAAGCAGAGGAAGGTGGATCTCTGAGTTCAAAGCCAACCTGATCCACAGGGTGAGTTCCAGGACATGCAGAACTGTTACACAGAGAAACCCAGTCTGGGAATGGGGGGAGGGGTGTTCCTTAAAAGCAAAACGAAACAAAAATAATGTATACTTTAATAATGAAATGCTCATGTAAAATCTAGAGACTTCTTAGATGAAGTGAGATAAATGAAACAGTGTATGTTCACAGTGATCTTCATCTTTCAGGTGGTGGCGGGGGGGGGGGGGGGTCATTTATTTTCCTAACGACATTTGGTTAAAACCGAGGAACAGCAGAAAGCTGAGGGTGGGACTGCTACCGGTTAGTACACAGTAAATGGTCATAACTTAAGCAATTCCTCTCTTCAGTTCAAATGTCTTAATATCAGATATGTTATTTAGAAAAATGGCTTCTAGGGGTTTGGAAAGATGGCTCAGAGGTTAAGAGCACTGGCTGTTCTTTCAGAGGCCCTGAGTTCATCCCCAGCAACCACATGGTGACTCACAGCCATCTATAATGAGCAGGCATACATGTAGACAGAACACTGTTTACATAATAAATCTTTTAAAAAAAGAAAAGTGGCTTCTAATTTCTTTTACTGGCTATATTTGTACCACGCTGTTTTTCATGCTAATTTGGGTTTTGTTGTTTGAAAGGTACATGTATTAAAAAACATTTTTCATTCAATAGGGAAGTTTGGTTGGCTTAGTGGACTATCCAGATGATGAAGAGGAGGATGAGGAAGAAGAATCATCTCCCAGGAAAAGACCTCGCCTTGGCTCATAGATTCTTGTTGGGGGACTCCCAACACATGGTCTTACTAGAACGCTGCAGCTGCTCACTGAGCTCAAGTCTGAATCGGAAAGCTTTCTCATGGAACTTAACACACATGGAGTAGCAGAGACTCAGTTACCAGGTAGGAAAGTGTAGTTGTGTAAGAAACCAGGCTCCCCGAGAACTTGTTTCCTAGTGATTAAAGGGTTTGCCTTTTGGACTGTCCAAAATAAGAACAAGAAATGATTGTTGGAGCCTGGGTGTAAGCTTCCCAGCGAGGAAAGTCTCAGGTTTGGGGGAGGAAGGGTTGTTAATGCAGGGTTGGTTTGGGGGTGAGACTTTAGTACCCAATAACATTGCTTGTATAATGGTGCTGGCCATGTTGTTGTTTTAATCAGTTGCCTCTTTTTAAAAGAAATTTTTATGTAAAACAAATTGAACTGTCATTAGAAATGAAGTTATGCTGTTGGGACCATTTCTTCAAAAGTTCACAGAAGTCAGCCTTTGGTGTTTGACAAGACATATACCCTAGGTAACAGCACATACCGGTTTCTCTACACCAGAGACTTCTAGTACTTAAAGAGAACAAACTGGGTTCCAAATGAATAGTTTTCTTAATAGAACTTTTAAAGTCAGCACTTCAGAAGTTAACAGCAGCCAAGAAACACAAGTAGTATTCTGGCCTGATTGTCCTCGGTACTCAGGAGTGGCTGGCTGTAATTCCCTGAGTAGTCACTTTGTGCTTTCTCAGTAAAGTTAGGTATCTGAGTCTTCTTGGGGCTGCTGACACATTCATAGAGACCAATAAAGAATGGTGCTGAATTAAGTGGCATTTACTATCTAGAAGCCATTTTATACTAGAGGTTATAGAAATGTCAGAGTCATGCAGCATAGCATGGGAAGCTTTTCCACAGACAAGGGTGTAACATGAAAGCTGCTTTTTTAAGAGAGTAAAAAGCACATTCCATGTTGTACGTAAATGAATTTAAAATAATTGAGGCAAATATTAAGAGATTTTATTTTTAGAACAGCAAGTTAATTGTAAATATTTTAATGTTAGTTTGCTCATCTATGATCTGAGATCATTGCTGAGATGAGAAAAATGACCCCAAACTACAATTCAATGCATTGGGAAAACAAATTCTAAACAGTAATTCCAGCTCCAGGCTTGCAATCAGCTCTGTAATGTGTTGTGGGTCCATTTTTCCTGGAATAGCTTAAAAACAGTTTCCTGTGTTGGAGATTTTGGAGTTAATTTTAATTTTGGCTATTGTTTGGAAAAGATGGGCTGTCTGTGTAGATATGAAGTATAGTTTTTCCATAAAACAGATGTTTATTTTGTATTAAAAATACCACTGTACTTGTTTTACACCATTTGTATACATGTGGTGATATTAATGTAAAATTCAGGAATTAAAATGTGACCCTGTAATTCCATGATTGAGGCTTGTGTTTGTTTTGTTGTAAATATAAGTAAACTATTTTCTGAGATGTCCAATTTATGTTCTTTTAAAAGATTATAAAATCTATAAAGACTTGTTATAAACCACTAGGTCAGAAAGTCTTACATGCAAGAGTCAACCATTAATATCGCTTATAGGAGGTAAACCTTGATCAAACATAACAGTATCAGAGTACCACAGCCTGAAGCCATTCTTACCTCTGAACAAAGGTGCACACAGCAAGCCTCCACTTCATACAAGTGAACTGGATACTAGCATCATGGGTAGCATATGCTTAGCATTCTTCCAAGCAAATGCTATCAAGCATTCCTGACATATAAACTGTACTGTTCATACTCTTTTATTATATACTTTAAAGTTCAAAGTACTATCTGTACCTTATAAAGACTCCTTTGATTTTCCTTTCTGAGGAACCTCACACTTTTAAGTCATTATTATGGGAAAGTGTTTCATACAGCAGAAATGAACCTTTTCATAAAATACAAGGGAAACAGTTGTATAATGCATATGCTCACCTACAAGATGAAAGGATCCTTGGAAGGAAGGCACAACTAGGAAGATTCTACATTAACTGCTATTCTAAGTGAAGACCCTCATGCAGACCGGGGTGCTTATAGCATTATCTCCACTCAGTTCAGGTCAGAGTACACATTTGTATGCCTTAGGTCTTAAAACATATCTGTAAACATGTACCTAATAAAAAGCTATTTTTAATAAAAAGTTATGTGAACATATTAATGTGTTTTCATCAGTGGTTTTTTTGAAGGTTGTAACTTCAGGTATAATTTTAGATTCAAGCAGATAAGATGAAATTTTAGAAAAACCCCAGTCAGAGGCCAGCAAGATTGCTGTGGGTAAAGGAGCTTGCTGCCAATCCTGTTTGATCCCTGGAACTCAGCACAGTACAAACTGCCCCTGACCCCCACAGGCACAGCAGCACATGTACACAAAATGTTTGTTTAAAAAAAAAATGTTTGGTAAACCAGAAAGGGGTGGGGACGAATTGTAACTGCAAGTTTTTGAATGCCAGGTTATTCTGATTACCTTTAAGCAAAGAGACTAGAATTTTAACAGGGTCTTAAAAAGATCAACACTCTGTAGTAGGTAGCATTTTCCTCAGCAGGTTCAGTCAGTCAGTTGATCCTTTTGTCTGTTTTTATACCAACTTTTATAGAAAAGACTACAATTTTCTACATTTCTCACATTTATTTTCCAAGTCTTGTTCAGACTGCTCTGTTACCTTTGTCCAAGATACTGCCTTTGGGCTGTGTCAGGCCAGGTAAATCCAAAACTACACTAGTACCCGTGTCTGTCTTGCTACAGCAGCCACGCCTTTAAAAATCAAGTTTCCAGTTGCCCACAAGGCTTTCCATATTACCCTAGTCTGCTGCCACCTTTCACATGCTAGCTATCCTGTTCACACATGCTCAGTTAACTACGATATACCCTCCCTCGGAAACCACCTGACAGCTCACAGCTTACTTGCTGAAGGCAGCACAGCCAGCCTGGCATCTTACCACTGCACTTTCTGCTTCTAACACTGCTCCTTGGGCTTTCGATGGCCCCATGAAAGCAGGGACCCTGTCAGTCCGGTTGACTATTATATGATTGGTATGTTTCATGCTTAGCACAAACAGTGTCTAGTGAGAATGAAAGCATACACTATCAACTAATTTCTTTCTGTGGCCCCGCTCGAAGAGAAAACATCCAATTATTTGTTTTATTATTTCTTTATTTGAGTTATGTGAGACAGGTTTGTGTAACCTAGGCTGTCTTCCCATTTACTGTGTCATTGAGGATGACCTTGAACTGTTCCTGGTGCTAGGAGTATAGGCATGCACCACCATACCTGGTTCTATGCAGAAATTTCTGCTAAACTGCCTTCCCTCTTTTGCTCTTTACCTGTTTAAAATAATAATAGTGAGCTTATGGTTGCATTTAGAAAAGCAGGTATTTGCTTGAAACTGTCTTTGAGGATTAAATACTTTATTTTTAAGAAAATGTGGGCTTCTGTTTCGCTAACTCTTCATATTACTTATTAATAACTTCTTCTTTAAGTTTCTCTGCAAGCAATCGCCTCTTTAGTAATGTTTGTTTCTCCTCTGCTGTCATTTCTGGCTTCTCTGTCATTTCCTTAAAAAAAAAAATGGCTGCAATTAAAAGTTAGCTTCATATATCTAAAATTCTCGAATGCTTTAAAAGAACAAAAACTAAGGGCATTTTCGGTAAAATGTTTAGAAGTCAACAACCAAATTTCTTAGATCTCTTCCTGGAGAAGCACTAGGAAGCATGGACAGAACATTGCAAACATTCGAAATGGCTAACATAACACAGACCACTAACCCTAAGGAGCTCAACCTGGGAAGTCAACAAAAATATAATGAAATAATTATTTTCACCTCACAGAATTCTCATCTAAATTGTCCCGAGAAGACTTACCAGCTGTCTCAGTATCAGATGATTAATTTGAGTGAATCAAACAACAAAACTCATTGGAGACTTTCTTGCAAACTAAAAACTTCCCCCGGTCTGCAATAGACACATTAAAGCTAGCCATACCTCCACCTCCCTGGTAGGCTTTCCCTTTTGCTCAGTATTCTGGATATGTTTTGCCCTCATATCCTTTCTCATGGACATCAGCTTGTCTCTCTTCTGCTTGAGATAGTGCTCTCGTTGCCGTAACTCTTCTGTTCCAAGTGCTGACAAATTCTGGTTCAGATAAGAGAAGGAAATGTCTATATCAAGTCCATACAACACGTGGCAAAGACATGTACTGGATCAGTTCCAAGATCCTAACAAAAACAAAAATGTGACTGACTGCATGGCTCACTGTGCTTGTGCACAGTAGGTTAGCTCTTACTTACTGCTATTGGTCCTTCCATGCTTGAGTGTTCTAAACCAGGGATCTTCAGACCTTTCTGTGGGAGGGAGGATGCTTCAGGCAACAGCTCCATCTTTCTTCCCATGGGTTGTACTGACTGATTAGCAAAATGCACTTTAACTTCTGGCAGTAAACAGTGAAACCAATTAAGATAGTATAACTTAAAGAACCACACTATTATGAAAAACAGATACTTAACAAATAACATCTTTGGTTTCCAAACTTGCTTCTGAGTATGTGACTATACACTTAGGGAACAATTTTGAAACCGATTTTCTGTCATATAACATTAGCTGTCAACAGCAACGACTTGTTTTCTATTACACTCTGAAAATAACTACCAATGCACTAAGAAAGTGTAACCATTTCTAAAGCAACGAGAAACTGTAAAGCACATGTAATAAAAGCATTCAGTACTTTAACATTCTAGCTTCTTCTGTAGTCTATTTTCTATAAGCCTAGCAAGATGACTTAAAAAGTTTAAGTCTCTATGATTTAGAGGAGGAATTACAGAAGGTCTTGACCACATGCACACAGCACACAGTGGTATACATATACATACACACATACACACTCAGATCTCTCGGTCTCATGTACACACACACATAAATAAGTAAATCATCATTTTTGATGGGTGAGGCTTAGGAGATGGTTCAGTGGGGAAAGTGCTGTGAGAGACAAGAACCCTATTCTGGATCCTTGCACTCATTGGCAGAGGACATCAACCCCAGAGGCAATGGATCTCAAAGGCTTGCTGGCCGGCCAGCCTCGGCAGTCGGTGAATTCAAAGTGGTGAGCAACAGAGAAAGTATATAAGCCACACATGCACACCAAAAAATAAAAAGGTAAAACATTTTTAATGTGAGTACATGGTCTATGAATGAAAACAGTGAGACATGGAAAGACTTACATTAGAATGATAGGAACAAGTAAAATTATGAGGAATGATCATGGTACACATCCCAAAGGATTAATAATCCTGCCAGGTGTGTACAACCAGACAAACTTGACAAGGATCACTTTAGTACTGCCAGGGATACTAGAAGAAATCCTTTGCAGGCCTCAATAAAAAGACATATTAGAGTGGCACTTCCAAGAGTCTAGGCAGAAGCAACAGAACCCAGTAAGTTTAAACAAGTTGTTGCTAATATTGAGATTAAGTTAGAACAGCCATTCTCCCTAGAGATTGTTTTACTAGACTAGTCTTAGCACCTCAAACATGCAGCCCCAGAAATGGCAAAGGAAGGAGCTCATACACATGTGTCAATCCATGCACTTTCTCAGACACTCCAGGCTTTCATATGTTAGATGTAGACATGCACTCTGTCAAGCTGCACAGAGGAAAGTATGTGGAACCAAATCACCTTTAGCTTTCCTGATTATTAAAGGAAGGGTTAGGAAGCCTAACAAAACATCAATCCATCTCTGGCAACGCCATCAGAAAACATGCTATTATTTTTAGTGGGAACCAAGAGAAGGTGGGAACAAAAGGGCACAAACCACAAACGCCTTGATTCTTTTAAAAGTAGGACTTCTTACTAGGGTCCCATCACTTTATATGAAGTGATCCCAAAACATCAGACAGCAATTGTACAATACCCTGAAAAATTAAAGAACATTTCTTTTGAAGTTATCTGCCACTTGCTTTGCAGTTGATGTGTAAACTATTTTATGTGGTCCATGATGAAATTTTGTCTTTGGTTTTACTTATTTAGAGACAGTATCTCACTATGTACTGTCTGGCCTGGAACTCATTGTGTAGACCCTGCTGGCCTCAAACTCTCCGAGAGTAGTATCCCTCTACCTGGCACGTCTGGGATTAAAGTGCACATTGGCTTGTTTTATTTTTGAAAGAGAGTATCATGTAACCCAGACTGGTCATGAACTCTCCATCTGGCCAAGGATGGCTTTGCCTTCATCTCCTGAGTACTGGAGAGAAAAGTGTTACTCTGTCCACTTGAAGTTTTCACTTAAGTACTACAGAGCAAGTTTATTAAAATTACATCACATACAAGCTTTAAACAATGGAAGTATACAGAAACATGGAAGTATACAGAAAACCAAAATTAAATCTAGGTCATACATATTATCCTTCTGAGGTTTTTGATGAATTTGAAGACAGTTATGGTTATGGTTTTCCTTAATTATGATAAAAGTTACATACAAACTTTAGACTCACAAAGATAGGATAGATGATAGAATTTTTTTTTAGATTTTGCCAAATGTTAGTGGACTAAATATTGTTAACTATATATAGTTCTTGCTTGAAACTGTTTCAATATATATACTTTTACTGTGTTAAAACCTTTTTATTTAGAAAGATGATGATGGGGGATGTCCTTCTGTATGCTGTGAATATATGTTTCTCTTTTGGATGATGAATAAATACTGATTGGCCAGTAGCCAGGCAGGCAGTATAGGTGGGGCAACCAGACTAAGAGAATTCTGAGAAGAGGTAGTTGCTGAGGAAGCAAGAAATCCGGGCATCACTGGATAAACCAAGAGCTCGTGGAGATACACAGATTAATAGAAATGGGTTAATAATTAAGAAAGAGCTAGCCAATAAGAAGCCTGAGCAATTGGCCAAATAATTGATGATACTAATATAAGCCTCTGTTTATTTGGAACTGAAGGGTGGCAAGTCTAGGCAGAACAGAAACTTGTCTTCACATTAGAGCATAGAAAAATATCTGCAGCAAGAAGTGTTGTATACATGATTGAGATGAACTCATTTCAGCTTAGAAACTAGAACATGAGAAAAAAGATTACAGTTCCTTCAAAACCAATTAGTACTGCAGTAAACTAACAATAAAGGGGGACTTTGACAATAGGAAAGATATCTACATTTCAAAAAAACATTATTAAAGGCCAGCCAGTACAGAAGAAAATCGTATTTAGAGTCAGGGGGCACATTTCACTACTTAACACTTGTAAAGTCACTGTCTTGAATTTATTATTTGGGAAAAAAATGAAAAATAAGGAACATAGTGTCTACCTCGCATTCTTTATCTTTTTCAATTGAGAAAAGACATGTAAAACCATAGAAGTCCATGAAAAAATAAAAGGAATCATGATCATGATTCACTTTCTGTTGCAGTTACTTGTTCTCCTATACAGTTTAAGAGAATATTCAAGGTGGGTGTAATATACTGACCAGGCTCATCTGCTAGCGTTCCCTTTAAGGACATAACTAATAACTAAACATCCGGAGAAATTGGCTGTCTCTTATTTTCTAGTTCTAGCTTAAGGTGATTTTTTAAAGTAATTTTCAATATTAACCCTCCAAGTTAGCTTCCAGCTCACGAATACAAATGTTACGCTGTTGAGATTGTACAGAAGCTGGATGCTCCCTCAAAGAGAACTATCTGTTACTCTCTGGATTCCAGCTTCTCCTAGAAATGTGGAAATGACATTCACTTTCAGCTACCTATTTTCTACCTGCAAACAAAGTAAACTGGGAAGAACTTTTAAGTGCCAAAGTCACCAAGGCTTTTGAGGGTTAAATGTGTTCGGAAGTGCAATGTACTCTCAGGGTTTATAACACAATGTACTCTCAGGGTTTATTGTAAAGTGCAGTACACCTCAAGCTTACCTGCAGATGGCTGTACAAAAGGTTCACCATCTCCTTGGGAATTACTCATTTTTGCAGCTTCACTAGTATACACTGGCGGTTCTTCCATTTTAGCCTCTGATGACTTCAGGATTCCGTAACACGATTTAAAAAGGGGGGAAATTTTTTTTAATGTTGACCAACCAATAATTAAGGGATCCAAAGATGTTATTTAAAACATTACTATGTACAGAACTAGAAAATGAGCAAGTTTTCCCAGAATTTTAAACATGTTAATAACATTTTATAGCTCCTACTTTCTTCTTTGTTGTTGTTGTTTCCAGACAGGCTTTCTCTGTGTAAAAGTCCTAGCTATCCTGGAACTCTGTAGACCAGGCTGGCCTCGAACTCACAGAGATCCATCTGCCTCTGCCTCCCGAGTGCTGGGATTAAAGGCGTGCATCATGCCCAGCTAGCTCCTACTTTGTTAATTTTTTAGACTTACTTTGATGTGATTTTGCCTGCATGCAAGCATGCATGTATGTATGTATGTATGTATGTATATTGCATGCATGCCTAGTGCCCACAGAGACTGGAAGAAGGTATCATATTTCCTGGAAATGGATATTCAGATGGCTATAAGCAACTGTGTGGCACTGGAACAGAACCTGGGTCCTCTGCAAGAGCAGCAAGTACTCTTAACTGCTGGACCATCTCTCCAGCTCCTATACCTCCTACTTTTTGAGGAATTATATTCTGTTTCAGATCATGCAGTACTAATGATAACCGACGCAGTAGGATTTACGATAAAGGAAGAGCTATGCTGAAAGCCATGGTTGCTATTTCAACATAATAAAAGGGTCAGGAGAACAAGGAAAGTAAAAATTTTCTCTTTTCTTTATTGAAAACTAAGGGGTTTGTTTAGTTAGTTAGTTAGTTAGTTTGGTAGAGTGAGCATGGATAAATGAAAAAGAACTCTGAAGAGCAGGAGGAGCTCTGAGGTGATCTGAAGGAGAATGGCTCCCATGGGTTCCTGTCTGAATGCTTGGTTTGGTTCCAAGTTGGTGAACTGTTTAGGAAGGATTAGGTGTGGCCTTGTTGGAAGAGCGTGTCACTAGGGGTAGGCTTTGAGGCTTCAAGAGCCCACACCAGGCCCACTTTTGCTCTTTGCCTGTTGTCTATGGATAAAATAGACACCCAACTACGGCTCCAGCACTATGCTAATCTGCCTGCCTGCTGTCATGTTCCCCTCCATGATGGTCATGGACTCACCCTCTGGAACTGTAAACAAGGTTCCAGCTCTTTTTACAACTTGCCGTGTTCATGGTGTCTCTTCACAGCAGTAATAAGGACGAGCTCCAGCAGAGGGCTACTATGGACTTTATAGAGAACTCCTTAGTACAGTGTATCAATGATATTACCACTTTTGATGTGATGCTGGGCCTTTCCCATGAAATTTAAAAGATAGGTTGCTGGACTAATTATATAAAGTGAACAAATTTAAACTGATAGAATTCTGAATCTGGGTGTGGAGCGAAAGGCTAGGGAGTAACCTAAGACACATATATTGAACATATGCTGTCATGAGCTACAGCCCTGCCACCAATAACTACTTTCTAAGAACTTATAAAGTATACTCCTATAAGAAAGCATGTATTGAGCCAGGCATGGTGGTACACACCTTTAATCCCAGCATTTGGGAAGCAGGAACAGGCAGATCTCTGAGTTTGAGGCCAGCCTGGTCTACATAATAAGGGCTACACAGTAAGATCCTGTCTCAAAAAGCAAACATAAACAAAAAATGAAATGTTCTCTTACTCAGCTGTGAACTCTGAAAGCTGCAATACTGACCTGCCAGATAGGATAAGCACTCTGGTGGAACAGGCATGACCACTATGTTTAAAACAACTGCTTTCTGATTGGATCTGAGGCCCAGTCCACGGAGACTTCATACCTGGTACAATAAACTCCCTCCAAAGCCCACAGCTGGGGAGGTCCTGGTGCAGGGGAAGCTTCCTGCTGCTGTTGTACAAGATGGGCAGGTTGTCAGATCCCACCCACCTGTTAGTGCTGCTCTCTCAAGTCACGAAGGCATGGTTGGTTTTGTTTTTTAAGGATTCATTTTGATTTTCTGTGTGTAAGTATTTTGCCTAGAGTATTTATGTACACTGTGTGTGCCCGGTCCCCGGAACTTGAGCCATGGACCGTTGTGAGCCATGTATGGGTGCTAGGGACTGGACTTGGGGCCTCTGCCAGAGGAACAAGTGTTCTAAACCACTGAGCCACCTCTCGAGCCCTGGGGTTCTTTCTGCAGTGGGCAGTATGAATGCAGAGGTGTGTAACTGGTCCAAGTACTGAGAGTAAGTGACTGAAACAACATTTCTATCGTACTGCATCCCACCCGAGGCTCAAAACATCACAGAAGACGGGGCAGGAGCAGAGGGTGGGAGAGAGTGCTATGAAACACTGTCTTCTACATGACATGACTGATGACTCAGGAACTCTCAGCAACTGGTCACTTCTACAAGTCTTGCACAAGATCAAGTCAATATTCCTGCATCAAGAGGGAAAGGCTCATGAGGCCCCAGCCCTAGCTGAGGGGCTACTGCTGGGTGTCATTTTTCTTTCCCAGTGGTGTAGCAATAAGGAGCCCATGATTCAGAAATAGCCCCACACAAATGCACATGTAAGCAACCCTAATTAACTCAGGGGATCATAAAAGCAAGAGGGGGCTTCTTAGGAAGAGGGCAATGAGGAGAATATGGTCAAAATACATTATATACATGATAAAACTGTCAAATAAAATTTTTAAAAGAAGGGACTGGGAAAATGGCCCAGTGGGTAGTTACTGTCACACAGCATGAGGACAATGGTTCGCAGATCCCTAGAACAGCACATATAAAAGCCAGGTGGGCATGGCAGCTAACCTTTAATCCCTTGCATACAAGATGGAGATGGTATTCTCTGGGCAAACTGGCTAAGACAGACTAGCCAAAACAAGAGAATCTGGGATCAGCAAGAGACCCTGCCTCAATATAACATGGAAATTTTGAGGGAGCCACCTGACACCAGCCTTGAGGAAGCACAAGCCCACATGTACATGCACACCCAGGCTTGTGTGCTTACACACATGCAAACATGCATACATTCACACAAGGCACACCTAGTACCTGCACCAACCAAAAGGAAAAGGTATTGTCCATCTTTTAAAAAACAATAAAATGTAGAATATACTCTGACTTGCCAAGAAACTACGACTAAATGTAAATGTTAAGAGTAAAGGACAAGTATAAATTCAGCAAGAAAGGCAATGCAAACCAGATACATTCCTGCACTCACACCCTGCAAGCACCTGCTTTTTCCGTTTCCTTTCTTCCTCCTGGTCATATTCTTCTTTTGATTTTCTGAAAAGTGAGAAAGTTTAAAATAAATCTGTGCTGTTTCATTTTGGTTTTCGAGACAGGGTCTCACTATGTAGCCTTGGCTGTCCTAGAACTCATTCTGTAGACCATGTTGGCCTTGAACTCACAAAGAGCAACGTGCCTCTGCCTCCCAAATGCTGGGATTAAAGGCGTGCACCACCACCCAACTGAAAAGTAAATTTCTTCATCTAAGAACAAATATGCATCATGTTAACATGACATTATTATAGTTTGGACAAGGTGTTTTATTACAGAGATGGAGAACAACCACCTCCACACACCTGCTCTACAATCACCTGTAACACACAGCAAAATACAGCTATTAATAGTATGTGGGTTTACTAATGAGCCCTAGCAGAATAACGATCAACAGATTTGAAATCCTAAACCTTTTATTTTGTTGTTGTTAGCATACAAATGAGTGATCTAAACCCACATTTCAATGGCAAACTCCATTAGGAAATACTCATTCTGGCCAGGAGTAGTGGGCACATGCCTATAAATTCAATACTTAGAAGGTAGAGGCAGAAGATTCAAGAATTTAAAGTCATCTTCAGCGATAGTTCAAGCCCAGCCTGAACTACAGAAAACTGTTTCAAAAACAAAACTACAAGCTTTGAATCTCTTAGAAACATTATACTCTTCCTGACAGGAGCGGTTTCCCCTCCCTCTGGTCTGTCCAGGGGCACCTGAGCTAACACAGTAGTCCTGCCACAGCCACTTCTTTAAGTAGTTGAGAGGTGCTCTGTCTAGGAAACAGCTGAGGCCAATTATCTCACATGTTCATAGCTAAGCTTTAGAAGCTAAAAATCTACAAGTACTAACCCGACCGAAATGGTTTGTGCTGTGTCTGCCCTAGTTGGAGGAACCCTAACCACCCTGCTAAGAGTCAGGAATTAGCCACAGTACAGGAAGAAGACAGGCTACAGGAGACACCACTTGACAGTTCCAGGGTAGCCATCAGTCAATGCAACTAGTCAAAACTACCAGTTCTTGAGACAAATACCCTTCCCTTTGCATACCTGGAAACTCAAGCGCCCATCTGCCTCTGCCACATGGCAGAGTCTGGCAGAAAAGAGCTATGTCCACCACCCACACTTCTGCCTCAGTCCCCACAACCACTCACATTCCCTAAAATTAAGCTCTAAGCTTTGGAACTCCTGTTACAGTTTCCCACTATGTCCATCTTTCTAAACAGTGACTACAGACATCCTTTCCTCTAAGCCAGGCACATTCTTGCAAGGTTAAAAATTACATGTTACTATGGCTCCTCCCTTCCAAAGCTCCCACAAGAGAAAATAATGCTCACTAACCTTTTTTGGTTAAAGGGTTCACACCCCATGTCAAGCATCTGGTTGAGATGGGAGGAAGTGACTGGCAAGATCTTATCTGAGATCAAGACCTCCCACCTTTCCTGTGGCTCCCTATCACTCCCCAGCTGGGCAGCTGGGACAGGTAGGTACACATAGATGCCCAGACTCAACTTTGCAACAGCAGTATGAGTGAGTGACCTCTAATATTGAGACATAGCAGACAGTGAGAATCGTGCTCAGCCCAGGTCATACTCTAGTTACCCTCCCCATTAATCTGTGAGGTCTACTGCAGCTTTTTCCATTGGCGGCTAGTTCCTTAGTGCTATGGTAAAGGCATGAGTGTAGCGAAATCCTCTCAACCGGAACTGATCCAGGACATTTTTCTACAATTAAATATAATACAACATAATATCTAAAATAAAAATCCAAAATGCTCTAAAATAAAAAGCTTTGTTTGGCTTATCAACAGAATCCTCAAAAGGTTTTAAATTGGGGAATGTTTGAATTCCAGGTTTTTGGATTAGGGATGCTCAGCCTATTTGTGATCTGTGCAAGTATCCCAAAATCTGAAACACTCCAGTCTTATCATTTGGATAAGTTACATTCAAGCTCCGTTTTCAAAGCTAAAAAATAAAAAAGTCATGTTGGTCTTGCTGGTTGGTCATATTTCCTAGGAAAAGTTTATGTCCATTCAGATCATACAACACTACTAACAGTTTATTTGGAAGCAGTGGAGGCAACTCACCTGAGGACTTCCCTCAGGATTTTCATCTCTTCCTGTTCAAGGTCACTGACTACATCGGCACCATCAGTTAAGCAGTCAGGTAACACACCTGTTCAAAACCAAACACCACACAGAAGACTGTCAACTCAACTGAAAACACTTCTCACTGTTCTGGTGCATCAGGTAAATTAGTTTACAATTTATCACTTACAATTTTTTTCAAGCCTTCTCTTTTTAATTGTCTTGTTTAACTTTCTCACATTGTAGCCCAACAAAAACCAGTCACAATTTTAGCTAGAAATATTTCGCAGTTAAAACTTGTGTTGACTCTAAAATAGCAATGACTGGGACCAATATGTAGCTCAGTAGTAGAGCCCTTAACTAGTATGCATGAGCCCTGGGCTAAATTCCCAGCACCAAAAAACAAAACAACAACAACAAAACAAAACAAAAGCTGGAGCGATGGAGCCATGTCTGTACAGGTAAAGGCCTAGCGTCAAGCCTGGTGACCTGAGCTTGAGTCCTGGAACCCACATAGTAGAGAGAGATCTCTACAATTCCACAAGTTGTCTTTGTCATTCATATGCACATCATGTCACTGTGTGTGTGTGTGTGTGTGTGTGTGTGTACCTGTATCACTATTTGTCTCTCACACAAAACATTTAAAACTTGAAAGAACTGTGTGGCAATAAAAATAATAGTCATTACAGTCTTCCATTATCACACAATATCTACTACTGATATCACTTAGCCAGGGTTAATGAAATGCTTTTAAGGGTGAACCTTAAGTGGGAAAGTTTACTAAAGAAAACGATGTATGTTAGAGGACCATCAGATACCTCCATTTGAACTGCAATGTTAGCGGAAGGGCCCTGCTTACTGTGTGTGTGCAATGACAGCAGGTGCTCAACACTGGGGATATGAAATCAGTGACACTGTCTCTACCCTGGAATCATTTGTTCAGATACTGGCAACGGCTTTAAGTCACCAATGTGCTACTACATCCCTTCTTTCTCCAGTAACTCCAAGTCTGTACAGTCATCTGGCAACCATCACATAAAGGATGGACCCTCCCTCAGTTTAAGGAAGGCAAGTAACCCCAATCCTGTGCATTAGGGCCTGAGTAGAAGGCTCAGAGGGCTTGCACAAAATGCTGTCTTACCTGCCCTGCTTGAGTCCCTGCATCATAGTGATGGACTATGATACAGAAGTTAAGCCAAATGAACCCTTTTCTCCCGTGTTGCTTTGGTCATGGTGTTTCATCTCAGCAATGTAAACCCTAAGACAGAGACTGTAATGTCTAACTGCTTATGCCATTTTCATTGGGATATTCTACTCTTAGCAGTCTGAAGCATGCAGCTTACATACAAGCTACAGAAGTATTTGTTCCCTTTTAATAAACATGGAGTTTCCTTAAATGCCAAACTGAAATACCAGAGTCCACTAGTCAAGTTCACTGTTTCTTTTATCAAACCTTGTTCTCTCAAAACAAGTGTTACAAAGATAAAGCAACTATACATCCCACAGACCAGATTAAACCTAGTTTTGATAGAGAACTTTCCATACAAAACAAAGCACAAAAAAAGAAACCCAATTTCATTTACTTAAAGGAACCCCACTGTTTCGCACTGTTTGGGGTCGGGATGTGTTCTGACCCCAACTCGATGACCAGCTGTGGAGAGCAGCTTCACTGTAAAGCAAGGCGGCTAGTGGCTCTCTAAAGAGGAAGGCTTGACTCACACAGCCCATAAAACATATACAGCATTCTGCTATCTGTCTCATAGCAACAGAAGTGCTGCTTGTCATGGTTCGGTGGCAAAGGTGCTTGCTGCCAATCCTCTTGGCCTACATTTGATTCCGCTCTGACCCCTGTCCTCTGACCATTGCATGTGCACCACGGCACATGTGCTCCTCCCCTCAAAACATAAAGCCCTATTTATTGCATTCCCTTAAGGGCAAAAAACACAACTGAAATGCTGCTCTCATATCTTCACAAAACAACCAAAGGGCAAGTCTTGCTCCAAACTAGTCAAGTGCTGGTCCCTGTGTCCCAGGACCAGCAGCTTAAAGATGCAAAGGACTAGGCCCTACCCCAGCCCGACTAGGCACAAACTGGAGTTTACCAGTTGACTTCATGCTTACTGGAGGCTGAAAACCATTTCCTACTACTAAAGTCTTAATAGTGACAAGCCAGAAGAGTAGTCCCCTGTTCTCAACAGTAACCACAGCCACTCAAAACACTAAACTTAATACAATGGCCTGACAGAAAAGCAAGTCTCAAAAAACTAAACCATCATTCAATTCTCGTCGTCTTTTGTTAAAATGTCACATGCCAAATTAGGAAATATACATCCTTCAATCTTTGACATTAGCCAAAGACTTTCAAATGTGAAATAACTGCATAAAAGGAATAATAATTAAAAAAAGGAAAACAAACTTCCAAAAGCATGCACTTAGTACTTAAAGGCCTGACTTCAATGCTTTACCATTCCTCTCCTGGATTATCCGGATGGCTTGAAGCTGCATCTCAATGTTCTTCTGGACCATCATTGCTTTAAAGATAGTAAAGTCCTCTGCTGCCAGCACGGGCTGCAAAATGGCCTGTGGGAGGAAGTCTGGGTGTTAAAGGAAGGCTCAAGTTTGAAACTATTTGCCCCACATTCAAATCACCATTTCCACTGAAGAGCAGCACATTCATGGATACTGTATCAGTGTCATGGTTAAAAGACTCACATAAGATAAAAAACAATATGTATCCCTGGTTGGCCTCAAACTCCTAATTCTCCTGCCTTGACCTCCCAAGTGCAGGGATTGCAGGGTGTATATAGCTACACCCTGATAAGATTTTTTTTACAACCTTTAAAATAGGGTTTTCAGAGCTAACTCACTCAACCCCCAGACCCCCAGGGGCCAGGCTGCCTCCTTTCCCAAACCAGCCACATAATGGCTTCCAACCCATCTGTTAAGTCCAGTTCCAATGGATCTAATGTCCTCTTCTGATGTCTGCTGGTTCTGCACACGTGGTACAAATGCACACATAAAATGCAATCTTTTGTTTTTATAAAATATAATCTTTAAAAAGCACCTTTGCTTCTGAATAAAACAAATTATAGTAACAACTGTCTCTCTCACAAGGGCACTAAATGAATTAAGTAAAATTTTATGATCTGAAAAGTAAATGTAAAAGTAATTGTTCTGTTCCTGTTTAAAGTTTTGTTTTCATTATTTGTAATTATGTGTCTGTGAGAAGTGAGATCTCCTGGAGCTGCAATCACAGTTGGTTGTGAGCCACCTGATATAGGTGCTGGGAACTGAACTCAGGTCTTCTGGAAGAGCAGTCTGTGCTCTTAACTGCTGAGCTACTACCTCTTTTGTTGAAGTGTTCTGGTCCTTTAAATACTTATTGAAATTGATAAACTGTTAACCCAGCTAAGAAAGAGCCAGTCTGGGCTAGACAGTGAGTTTGAGGTCAGCCTAGACTATTCAAGACTCTATCTCAAGAAACCACAGCTATCATCATACTTCAGAAGTTTATGAAGTTTAATCCCAGCACTCTACAGGTAGAGGCAGGCGGGTCTTGGTGAGTTCAGACCAGCCCGGTCTACAGAGGGAGTTAAAGGACACGGTTCAAAGTTACACAGAGAAACCCTGTCTTTAAAACAAAAAAAGAGCTTATGATCCCATTATGATCAGATATAAAAATGTAAGAGAGGCTATCACTATTGATCTTAAAAACATAGAAAAGAGCCAGGCGGTGGTGGTGCACGCCTTTAATCCCAGCACTCGGGAGGCAGAGGCAGGTGGATCTCTGTGAGTTCAAGGCTAGGCTAGACCGACAGCCTCCAAAATAATACAGAGAAACCCTGTCTCATAAAACCAAAAAAAAAAAAAAAATAGAAAAGATAATGGAGAAATACGTAAAACTCTTTACCCACAAACTTGATGACCAGTGTGACAAAACTCATAATAAGATGATATGAAGTCTATTCATTCTGTCTGCTTAAAAGGTTAATTAATAATAAATAACTGTACAAAGCAGAAATCACAAGGTCAAGATGGTTTACAGGTAAAACCTACCTCACATATGAGGAAAAAATTTTACTACCTCTCTACAGCCTCTCCCAGAATAGTGAGGCAGAGAGAATACCTATTCATTCATTTCCTGAGACTACTGCCACCCTGATTACAAACCAGACAAGATTTAACAAGAAAGGAAAGCCAAAGAAAGGACAGAGATGCAAAAATACCCAAAAGAATTTTAGCAAACTTAATTCAACAATGTATAAAAGGAATTACATAACAAACTGGAAATTTCAGCATTTGAAAATAAATCACTTTATCAGCCATCAACAGACTAGAGACTACCATTTGACTATCAATATATATGGAAAATTAAGAGTCCAAAAATAAGAATATAACAATGTAGGTCCCAAAACTAGGAATGTAGAAATATAGGAATATAAAGTTGTAAGCCTTCTCAGCAACTTTGGGATTAACTATTAACAGTGGGTTCCCTTGCTTTAGGACCTACAGCTCTGTCAGCCTCACAGAGCTGAAATGGCTCTCTGCAAACTGAGGGTTAGCTGTTTAGATACAACCTCAGCCAGCCACTCATGACCAGGAATTTGACGTGAACTGAGTTAACTTTTAAATGATGAGATGTACGTGAGTTTTGGTTGTGCATTGTTCTGTACTCTTCCTGGCTACACAAACCTGGCAGTATCAGGGGGTGCAGAGTTTCAGTAAACACCATCAGAAAATGCCAGAGATAAAAAAATGAACCAGATACAAACACTAGTTAAGCTGAAAAACCCTGTTAATGAAAATTGTAAAAAGCAATTTGCAACTGAGTTTTACCTCAAGATTGTAAAAATTCTTTTGTTTATGACTAATGCTTGCTTCTAACTATAAAAAGGAGAGCTCAAAAATCTTTCAATTGCCAGTTTCAGAAGCCCAAACTCTAGCTGTGGTCACAGCTATAACTGATATACTTTTGTGCCCAGCAGAGATTTTTTTTTCCTTTTTCTTTTTCTAGAATAAAGCTTGCTTCTGTTTTAATAAACTTTGGTGGTCTGTCACCCACCATTGCATGAACCCAAATCCAACAGGAAAGAGCCTTTGACAAAAACCTAATACCTATTCATGTTTTGTAGACATTAAAAAATTGGGTGGGTGGTGGTGGCACAAGCCTTTAATCCTAGTACTTGGAAGGCAGAGGCAGAGTACACACATACCACACACACATCCCCCACAAGTTTTTACAGGTTATATATAACAGAAAAGTGAGCTGTTAAAAGGTGAGCTAGATAAAAGCACCTTTATAGAGCCTGACAACCTGAGTTCAATCCTTGGAGAGAACTAACTCCACCACGTTTTTCCATGAGTGCCACTCACACATGCACACACACAAATGCAAAAGAAAAACTATCTACGAGAGCCGTGGTTCTCAACCTTCTGAACACTGCAACCCTTTAATACAGTTCCTTATGCTGAAGTGACCCTCCAACCATAAAATTATTTTCATTGCTAGTTCATAACTGTAATTTATGAATTACATGAATCATAATATAATATCTGATATGTGACCCCCAACAGGGTCATGAGCCCCAGGTTGAGAAATGGTATACTAGAGGGATGTACTTTTTCTTTTTGGTTTTGCTTTTTTTCAAGACAGGGTTTTACTGTATAGCCCTGGCTGTTCTGGAACTCACTCCATAGACCAGGCTAGCTTCAAACTCAGAGATTCACCTGCCTCTGCTTCCTGAGTGCTGGTGTTTAAGAGTGTGCGCCACCACCCAGTTGTTTTTTTTTTTTTAAGGGGAGTTTTTTTCTGGTGTGTGTGTGTGTGTGTGTGTGTTTATTATAACACATCACCTGATGGACTGTTTGCCTCTTTTGCTGGCTTTAATACATGAGCATGCCAGACCTAATGAAGACAAAAACATTCTGCAAATCTCCCTTAGCAGCACAACTCAATGAAAGCAGCAGCTAGTCTAGAAAATCAATACCAAACCAACAGAAACAAAAAATACCCCTAAACTCCTCATGCTTCTTGAGCTGGATTTTAGGCACCCCAGATGGCATACTAGAACCCACATTCTAATTTTCATGTGTGAAAATGAAATTACTGCAAAGCAGTCAATAATGTGCTTCAAGATGCCTTTCGGGAACACTGACAGGCAGGCCAAGGCTGGCTCACTGCTGCCATTCAGCAGCTGCTAACTTAGAACTTGTTCTAGACACAATAATGCTAAGGAACCCATGACCCTGGCCTGTCAGCACCCTAATCAACCACCAAAACAGAGACAGCTATTTAAGAAGTGATTCAGTTACTTAGAGACCACTGAACACTAGCAGGCGTTATACTAAGTATTTGCTATACATTGTCACTTAAAGCTTCACTAAAACCCTCCAAGGGAAATACTACTGCTTTTTCACAATGTGCAATTGTGTGTCTTTCAAGGCTGGCTGAAAGATGGTGAGCAGAGACTGGTTTGCAGTTACACCTGTGCGACTCCTCTGGGCTAAGAAAGGGGCGGTGGAGTGTTGGGGAGAGGGCTGTTACGTTTTAGAGTGAGGAAGATGGTGTAAACAAAGCAGGTGCTTATGAGGGGCCCTGACGGATGACAGGATACAGCACACCACAGAACCTCGGCAGCACACAAAGACCAAAATGGAACCGATAATGACATAACAAGCAATCGTGGCCATCTTGCTAGACAAACATAGGGATTTAGTAGAGAACAGTAAACAAAGAGCTTGTAAGATCGCCATTCGGTAAGAATGACAGAACCCTCTCCTGAGCCTCCATGCAGGGACTTCCAGGTGGACTGCTACTGATGTAGCTGCAGACCTAGAGTGGCTGTGCACTATTTCTCTGCTTAGTTTCTTCATTTATAGGTGGGAGCTAAATGGTACCAAGAAGATAAAGTGAGACATGTGTATGCATATGTGTGCATATGCATGTATGTGTGTGTGTATGCATGTGTGTATGTGTGCATGTGTGTATGTGTGCATGTGTGCATGTGTGTATGTGTGTGTATGTGTGTGTGTGTGCATGCGTGTGTGTGTGTGTATGTGTGCGTGTGTGCAGATAATACCAATAAAATGTCTAAAGATCAACTAGGGAATTGAGTAAGGTGGTTCACCCTTGTGAGTTTGAGGCTGGCCTGGGTTACACAACAAGTTCTTATCTCAAAATAAAGAAAAGAAAAACTCCTTTAAAAAGCTTATCAATTCACAAGAGCTCTCCATAAGCATTATGTATCTATTATGCACTCAGCCCAGCAGTGCAGAACTAAAGAGACAATAAAAGCAGTTTCATGAAGGGTGAGAGAGATGACTCAGGAGTTAAGAGCACTGGCAGCTCCCGCAGAGGATCCAGGATCATCCTAAGCACCCACATGGCAGCTCACAGCTAGCTCTAACTCCAATTCTGGGGGATCCAAGCCTTCTTCCGGCTTTCATCAGTACTAGGCATGTACACAGGATACATACACACATGTAAGTAAAACACTCATATACACATGAAAATAAACAAAAATAGTTTCACAACTAGTGCCCAAAACTAGAAACTGCATTTGCTACAAATAGAAAAAAAGGGGACTACAGAATTATCAGAGTCCTATAGAAATGAAACCATATCAGGATAAATTCTGGGATCTTAACAACTATGACACCGGGACGTTTGTTTTTAATTCCATCAGTTCACAGTCTTTCTTAAGGTGGCTAAAAATGAACATACAGGTGATGTTTCCTCCTCACACAATGTCTACTTCGTTGATGTAGAATATTACAACTCTTGTACCTCCACAATCAAACACACTAAATGTAAAGAAAGCCCAGGAACCATGAACAGAGTAACACAAACGTGATAACCTGTGATGTACGTGTCTTTGCCAGGGGAGAGGTGCATGCTTCTTGAAACTGATCTTCATTAATTCCAATTTCTTTGAGGTAACTTTCTAACAGCTTTTCAACCTAAAAGGAAAAGGTTTAACTTTTAGAAGTTACATAGGAAAAGTCTAAATGACATTCTGCCTGTTTAGATGCTCTTTGTAATTAACAGAAACACTATTATATAAGACATAGAAGTAATAATGTCTTTCACCAATAAACTAACAACAGAAAGGTTTTTTTTTTTTCCTTGCCAAGAATCACATGGAGTTTAATTTCCTCTACTAGAGGTAGGCCAGGCTTATGGAGGTGAACATGGTACAACTCCTCTATCCAATGCCTTTTTTAAAATCCTCAGAGGCTCTTAAAATTCCTGAGACAACTATGAGTAAGGGGAGAAACTGCCTAGAGGCACCAGCTAAATAAGAATTAAATTACAAATTAAATTACAAATGAAAAATCATGACTTAAAGTCTAAGACAGAAAAGATACAACATCATTTGAAAAGATGCTCACAGAGACCATGAGCCTGAGAACACTGTCAGTGCACTGGAGCAGCATGAACTGTGATGCTGAAGAAGTCAATGGAGGCTGCAGAGGACTTGGCAGTAAGAGCAGCTGCTGATGTCCAGAAGACCCAGGTTCAATTCCCAGCACACACATGGCTCCCAGCCATCCATAACTCCAGTTACAAGGAACCCAACCCCCCTCTTTTGACATCTGTGGGCACAAGCATATACATGGTGCACACACATGCAGGCAAAACACCCATACACGTAAAGTAAATAAATCTGAAAAAAAATTAAATAATTTTAATTTTAGCATTTTTTTTTACTTAAAAAGACAAGTGTTATAAACTACCTCTTAGCCTTTAATCCCAGCACTTGGAAAGCAGAGGCAGGAGGATCTACGTGAGTTTGAGACCAGCCTGGTCTACAGAGTGAGTGCCAGGACAGGCTCCAAAGCTGCACAAAGAAACCCTGCCTTGAAAACAAACAATCAAATAAATAATAAAATGCCTCTTAAAATCAGTGAAAAAAGCCAGCTATTGTGGTGCACACCTTTAGTCACAGCCCTGGGGAGGCAGAGGCACAGAAATCTCTGGGAGATTGCGGCCAGCATGGTTTACACGGTAAGTTTCAGGCCAGTCAAGGCTTCATCTCAAACAAAACAAAACAAAAATCAGCAGCAAAAATACTCACTAGCTCTTTGTACTCTTGATGAATTTCTGTATAGGTCAATTTGCTTTCTTCTTCATCATCGAAAACTAAATTAAAAGAGAATAGGACAGTGAAGGAAAACAAATCATTTCATTAAGTACAAACATAAAAATGGACTTGCAGGAGCTTGCTCTTCCTTCCTACCATGTGGGTTGTGGGATCAGACGCATGAGTGTCTTCCCAGCTCCCTTGTCTTTAACACTTATGTACTTGTCGCTTTCTATGCCAGTGTTTACATGTGTGTCTTCTCAAACATCGAGTTTCTGGCCCAAGGTAACTCAACAAATATTGAAATATTGATACCACAAGTTGTCTAAATTAATCTTTAAATTGTCTGAAGTAGTGAACAGCACATTGACGGCCGACATCGGTGAAGTGTTATCTGGAGTGTTCCTGACGTCACATCACTGTAGGATGTCTGTAAGCCCGAGTTTTGCTTCTCTGTTACTAGCGAGATGCACCCCTCTTGACACGAGGATGGTAGATAAGCTATGCCCACCCCCTTTCCATTGAGCACTTAGTCTCAGTGGTGTACATGAAATCAATGGGTAAAAGAATCTCTTATGAGTTGGTGACCCACACCTTTAATCTCCGCACTAGGGAGGCAGAGGCAGGTGGATCTTTGAGTTCCTTTAATCTCCGCACTAGGGAGGCAGAGGCAGGTGGATCTTTGAGTTCCTTTAATCTCCGCACTAGGGAGGCAGAGGCAGGTGGATCTTTGAGTTCGAAGCCAGCCTGGTCCACAGAGTGAGTTCCAAGACAGCCTCCAAAGCTAAAGAGAAACCCTGCCTCGAAAAACCAAGGAAAAAAAAGAATCTCTTGCAAAGGAGGTCAGGCTTCTCCCAGGCTTCATCAATCTTAACAGCATTTTAAATTCTTCAAAGGGATACAGGTAAATTATTTGCTATTTGAACCTCTTTAAAAGTTACCTGCAAGCCTGGCGGTGGTGGTACACGCCTTTAATCCCAGCACTTGGGAGGCAGAGGCAGGAGGATCTCTGTGAGTTGAGTGGGTTAGAGTGAGTTTCAGGACTGCTAGAATTGTTTCACAGAGAAACCCTGTTTCGAAAAACAAACAACAAACAAAATAAAAATAAAAAGCTACCTGAACTGGTGTTTGAATTTTAACAGTTAAAATAAAATAAAAGGCTCCGTGATCAGACAAAATTCTTTCTTTACGAGATCCATGGAATCTCAGGGACAAAGAAATCTTGCAAGGCAATTCAGGGTAAGAACCATCTGTTAGCTGAATCTCAGGCAACCCGCATGAAACCTAGGAACCCGTGACCCTTTCAAGCTCGTCAGTTTATCTGGAAAAGTTCCCTGCAGCTTGCACTCACCCCAGCTCTACCACACTGATCTTTATAAGCAAGTCTGACCCGTGTAACCTACGTCACAAGTTCAGAGGACTGATGGATAGTGCTATCCTCCAAGTACTGCCTAGGCAAATAACCACGATAGAGGTTGGATGTGACGTCGTTTGCGGTCCTTTTCTATGAACAGAGTTCACTTTGTCTTTACGATATGTACTCGGGTATGAAACGATCAGAAAGCGGAGACGCTGATTCTTTGAAAGTATTCCACCTTTACACGCCTCGTTTGTTAGAAAGGTCTTCCTCCCCACCGCATGCTTTGGTTCTGCTGGAGGAATCGCATGCCTTCCTCTGCAGGTGAAACGGCCGGAGTGAATTAAGTTTTCGTTACATAGAATGAGGCCACAGGGTAACGTCCCAGGGGTCAAAAGGAACTCGAGGAAAAGCGACACTTCTCCCAAGTAACTGGGGAAGATGCTGGTTACTCAGACAGTCCCCTTAGGAACGCGCAGGGTGAGGTGGCAGGCCGAACACCGTACTGTGTGCTCAGGTCATGCGATGAGGCCGGAGGGCAGGTCTCGATGCCCACTTGCAGGTCTGCAAAGGAGCCCCCACCCCACTACGGGAAGGGACGAATGCACTTCCTTCTGCAAAACTAACGCTAGGCCCCGGCGCACAGCGGCAACGGTGATACGCGGCTTGTTCAGGGTCTGGTTTTTTTACCTTCGCATTTCTGCTCCACAAAGTCCAAGATGGGGATGGACCAATCCGGGCCCCGCAGGAACCCAGCGATGCTCTCCACCACCCATTCCACCTCGTCCTCTTCTTCCGCAGCCATCCCGCCCGCACCAGGCGACACGGATGTCTAGGCCAGATTCCCCCCGGCCGCTCGGACCTTTCGGCCGCAGGAAACCGACCGAGAATGCGGGCAGCACGGCTCGGCAGTCGCCAGGCCCCCGGGCTAGACACTACAAACCAGTTAACGTAAAATGGTCGCTATGACAACACACGCAGCGGCCCGGAAGTGAAGCCGGACTCCCGGGCCTGCGAGCCTGGAGGGGGCGGGGCTATGAACGTTTCCTATCGGCTGGGAGAGCGCGGTAGCGTCGCAAACGACAGCCCTCCGCTCATTGGCCCGGGGTTGCGAGGCTGAGCGCAGGAGGGCGTCCATTGGCTGCAGAGCCTGGAAACGGCGTTCGCGCTTCCGAGGGAGCCGCCTCCCTGCTCAAAGTGGCGCGGGAGGGCGTGGCCCCCTCGGAAGTCTTCCCTCTCCTCCCATCTGGCCGCAGGCTTTGTAACTGAAGGATGCTTTGACAACACAAAGCAGAGCCCAGCTCCGTGAGGTTTACTGGTTCGTTCTGCGGTCCGTTTGCTTGGTGTAGTTCTCAGAATGGGTCTTTAACCACTAATCTTAGGTAACGATAGCTAAATTTATGACAAGGACACAACCAAAGTTAACCTTCATTTAAATGGGCCTTTATAACCAATTTTTAAAGAGTCGTGAGGTCCTGCTCCGTTCGTTTTTCAGGGCCAGAGGACTCCCAGTCACACAAAATCTTATAACTAGGTGTGGTTCCCTACACCTTTAAAAGCGAAGGTAGGCGAATCTCTGTGGGTTCCAGGCCAGCCAAGGCTAACCTGTCCCATAAATAAAAAATAAATCTTGGTATCAAGTTCACAGTCAAAAGCCCTGGTTACTGAACCTTAGCAAGAGCCCTTCCCCGTTTGAGGTCTAGAGAAGCTCAGTTCCAGTCTACTAGTGAGAAGTCTCTGCCCTCCGCATAAGGACTGGTTTAGTGCCCCCACACCCCTCTGAGAGTGGTGAGGAGCGGAGGGAGCAGATAATACAGCCTCAGTTTCATGAGAATGGGCTTGGAGGAAGAGTCAGAACCAGAGGTGACTGTGTGATGGGCCAGCGGCAGAGGACCACGTCAAGCTGGGGCAGGAGCTCCTTGCTGGAAGACCAGGATGATCCAAGTGGGCATTGGAGATAACCAGGGGACCTGAGGACCAGTTCCAATATATACAAAGATATTGACACAGAGAGGACCCGGCATCAAGTTAGCAACTGGTATATTCATCAGTTCATCCTTTCTTCTGCGGAAGAATTCAGTTATAGCTGGGTGGTGGCGGCGAACGCCTTTAGTCCCAACGCTCGGGATACAGAGGCAAGTGGATCTCTGTGTGTTTGAGGCCAGCCTGGTCTACAAAGCAAATATCAGGACTACTAGGACTGTTGCACAGAGAAACCCTGTCTCAGCACCCCCCCCAAAAAAAAGATTCAGTTATAGACCAGGAGGTCCTATTAGTATCTGGGGATTTTTCTTATTGCCCTGCCTTATGGTCATGTACCTGCAGAGGTTAGAGAGGTCTTTATCCCAACCAGTTGTAATTTGATAGTAAGGTCCCTACTCTAGTCCCAGTGTTCACTGGGAAGTCATTCATCTTCAACTACTCATCAGGACAAGCTCTGAGACCCAAGTTCTGGGGGGTACGAAGGCTATACCCTAACTTGTTCATGGAAACTGAAAGGGTTAAACTGAATTTAAGTTGCAACTCTATGAGAAGGGCAAAGCAGGTGTCTCTTCCACAAAAGGGCCATCTATTCACAATGCCCTTACACACAGGGTCTAGGGAAAGAACAGACACAAGGCCTAAGTCTCACAGTGTTTCAGGGACAAACCCAGAAGTCCTCTGAGTCACGTTCAGATGTGCCCAAGTTTGTGCAGGTGTCCAAAAATGATCAGACTAAGCCTCAGCCCATTAGATATATATAGTGTAACTGCTGCTTGCTTAACCAATTATGTAGCTGTCCCTGCAACTCCCCTTAGCTGTGTTTAAAAGGAGCCTGCATGCCCATCTTGGGGTCACCACCATTTTGTATAGATGTTGACCCCTTCGCACTATTTGAATCTGGGGTCTTCCTTCAGCATTTCCTTGGACCTTACACAACAGCAGCATGGCAAAGACTCCCGGGAGTCACCTACTCTGGTGTTGTGAATGAGAATGTTTGCCATAAATTCAAATGTTTGAATATTTGGTCTGCAACTCATGGCACCGTTTGAGAGGGTTAGGAGTATGGCCTTGTTGGTGGAAGCATGTCCCCAGAGGTGGCCTTTGAGAGTTTAAAGAGACATTTTGAGTCAGCTGTCTCTGTGTTCTGCTTGCAGTTCAAGATGTGAGCGCCCAGTCTCTGCTGCAGGTGCCACATCTGCTTACTGTCATGTTTCCCTGGCATACAGGCTCTAACCCTTCTGGAACAGCTGTAAGCCAAATAAACCCCTCTGTGTGTTGCATTGATCTTAGTGTTTCATCACAGCAATTGTAAAGTAGCGGGTACACCTACATACACCTATGGTCACTTTCTGGCAGGAGGTTCATATCATGTGAGAACTGACAGTCCCACTAGTCATCACACAAGGCACCTCAACATTCTGTAGCTTTGCCTTGTTAAATGTCCCATTTCCAACCTGGTGGACGCCATGAATGCTCAGTGTGAGCTGCTGGTGATGCAGGAGGTACAGGGGTCGAGCCGCAGGCACAGGCAATGCTCCTGTCAAGAGTGGAGCAGTAGTAATCGCGGTGGGCTTCATACCTGCCCTCTGGATCCACCTGGGACTCAACTGAAGTGATGCCACTGGGTTCAATGATGCAGACATGGGGCTTACCAAGAAAAAAAGATCCTTCTGGACAGTGGAGCAGATGACTGAGATGAAGTAGTACAGACTCAGAGGGATGGTGATAAAATTGGTCCCTTCATTAAGCCTTGGGAAGTCCCTCAGTAACAGATGCATCATGATGGCTAGCTGGATGCTCACAAAAAGGGCTAACATGCCATGACGTTCCAGCAAGCCTCCACAACATGCTAAGTTAAAGTCTAAGGCTAGAGAGGGTTCTGAGTTGAAGCTATTCTCCTTTCAAGTCAAGGATGAGTTTAGGAGTTTCCAGAGAGCAGAGATGTGAGTGATAAATGATAATATTAGAAATGCATGGAAGAGAGAGAAAGATTCCATCCAGCATATCAACAGTGAATCCAGAGATCAGCCAGAGTAGACATGCTCAAAGCACCACTCACCTGGTCTGCTCCTGTCATCACCCCTGCCTGACGATCTTCAAAGGTCATTGTCAAGGTGCCTGAAGCTCCAGAGTATCCCCAAGAAAAGTTATCTATACTCACATAAATGGAGTCATTATATGCATAGTTATGAATTTTTCTCTTAATTTATCTTTTATGTTTGCTGTGGTTTTGTCTTTAAGGAAGATTTCATGTGGTATAAACTGGTCTTGGATTCCTGATCCCTCTGCCTCTACCTCCTAAATGATGGGATTACAAATGTGTACCACCATACCTGGCTCTTTTATATAAAATATAAAAGTGGATAATATTCTAATAAGTCAACATTTATATTTTGTATATTACATAATAGCTTGCTTGTATACATTTACATGACCATTAATGTGTAGATTTTATTTTCCTCACTTTGTAATTTATGTGAACCATAATTATTTAATCAATTTTTACCTGAAATCAACACCTTTCTGTCTGTAAGAAGAGTTTGTTTTATTTACAATGCCAAAGGACTGAGAAGAATTGAATAAAAATAAAAGGATGTAGATGACGGATGGATGGATAGGTTTGATTATGTTAACTATGCTAAATTAAAGTATGAGTGTAGCTTTAAAAGTCATTGCAAACATAAAATTTACTAAATGAGGTTTTTGTTTTGAGGCTTGTTTTGTTATGCTTTGATATTCTAAAAGCTTACATTTTATCTGATCCCTTGTATGAGAATTTAAAATAAGCTCCCTCCTCTTTTAAAGAACATGAGCAAACTTCTCTCTTATTGAATATGATCCCTTCCTATATGTGAGTTCCTGACCAGCACTTTGGAAGTGGTGGTGATGCTTAAAAGACAAGCCACTTCTCCACATACTGATAGGTCTGCATCAGGACCTTTGAGTATTGACTCCAGTGTCAACACATCCCTGCAGTGTGAAGGAACCTCTTGGGTTGTCACATATCTTCAGTCTTTTGTCATCTTACTAGTAGTAACAGGAACAGGAGACACACCTAATGCTTGCCCTGTTGCAGTCTGAATAGTGAAGTAAGGATTCATCACTGCAGAAAAAATTTTCAGGACAAGTGAGTATGAAGTAAAATTAGTTTATTAAAACTGGTCTCAATATAGTCGTTAAATGTGGGTTTCATATATGTAATCAAGCATTCTACCACTAAGCAATATCCTCAATCCTTTTCTCAACTTTGTTTGAGATGGGACCTCAGTAGCTTACTTCGGATGGCCTTGAACTAACTCTGTAGCCCAAGCCAGATTTGAATTTTTCTGGTTCTCCTGTCTCAGACTCCCAAGCAGCTGGGACTACAGAGCAGATCCATTTTACCCAGCCCAGCTTTGGTGACTTCTGAAGTCATCATTCAAAAGATCTCTAAGGAAGTTTTTCTTGGTAAATTAAATCATAATGTGGTTTTTGAAGAGCACTGGATAGGAATACAGGCTGATAAGATAAAAATATAGTCCCAGCACTCAGGAGGCAGAGGCAGGTGGATCTCTGTGAGTTCGAGGCCAGCCTGGTCTACAGAGCGAGTTCCAGGACAGGCTCCAAAACTACACAGAGAAATCCTGTCTCAAACCCCCACCCCAAAAAAGTTAGGCTCTGTATTAGTTATTGTTGTCAAGAGAATATACATGACAAAGGCAGCTTAAGAAGAAAGGGTTTATTCGGCCTCACAGTTTGGGGGTGCAGTCCCTCCCACATGTTGGTAAAGGCAGAGCAGCAGGCATCTACAGTAAGAAGGCATGCTGCGACCCTGGCTCTGTCCATTTATTCAGTGTGGAACCTGGAGCCCACTTGTGTTGGTCATGTTCAGGGTTGGTCTTCCTATCAAGCTGGCAGTCAAGATTTACTCTCCCAGCCAGGGTCTGGTGTTAAAGAGCAGACATTTTTGCTTTTACTTTGGGGCTTTTTGTCCCCCACAACAGATGAGCAAGGGATGGAGTTCCTCTTTATTCTAGAGCTGCTTCAGGACTGAGAAGAGGTGTCAGGGGACTCTAGTTGGTGGTTTTGATCTGTCATAGAATGGTACGGAACTGTAAGGCATAGAAGGCTTTAACTGTACTTTGGAAAGGGCATGGAGTGCTTAGCATAGATGTTGGAGGGCAGGGTATGGCATCACTTGGGGTCAAGAGGTCCTGGGTAAGAAACAAGCACCTGTGTGGATGGTAATGGTTTCTCTCTCTGAAAGAATATCTAATTCTCTCTAGACACTCTAATACGGAAGGAAGTAAGGGATGAAAAGAGAGAAAAGAAATATGTCAGTGAACAGAATAGTGAGAGACTAGGAAAGCCAGCTCCGTATGCCCTTCATAGAGTCATCATTGGAGGTACGCTGTTAGAGTCTAGTCTTTTAGTCTTTTATCTGTATTTTGTTCTATGCTCAATTAATTGATAAAGATACAGCATTCCACTTCCAAGGACATTCTCCTGTGGCCTGTTACACTTAATAAAACCTAGACCTGGTTGCCAGACTGTGTCCTGAAAGAGTGCATTCTCAATAGTGAAAAGGGCGTATGAGAAGGCAAAATTTGTATTTATCTTTGGAAAGGGTAAATCCAGAGATATGGGGGGGAGATCTATTTGAAATGTATATGGAAGGAAATTAATCAGGATCATTCAAATGGAGTGGCTGTGTGTTACCAGTCTAATTAGTGGTTTATGACATCAAAAACCAGCAGCTCTCTGCAAGAAGTGAGTTACGTTGCTTAAGGAGATCACGGACTGCTATAGGGGCTGGTAACAGGAGTAGGAGAATCATCAAAGTTTAAAAGTGACACCAAAGAGCAGAGTTCTCAACCTGTGGGTTGTGAACCCCTTGGGGTCAAGTGACCCTTTCACAGGGATTACATATCCGATACCCTGCATATCAGATATATACAACTCATAACAGTAACAAAATCACAGTTATGAAGTAACAAAGTAATTTTATGGTTGGGAGTCACCACAACATGAGGAACTGTATTAAAGTGTTGCAGCATTAGGAAGGTTGAGAACCACTGCCATCAAGTGATTTTAGGAAGGCAGGTAAGAAGTTGCCTTGGCTACTTTTGTTGCTGTGATAAATCTTCCTGAGTAAGGCAACTTACAGAATAATAGTTTATTTTGACTTATGTTTCCAGAGAGTGAGTCCATCATGACAGGGCGGAGGCAGCAGGCAGGCATGGTGGCTACAGAAGGATGCAGGTACATAGCCAAATGAGTAAACTGGGAGTAAGACAGGCTCTAAACACTTAAAGTCCATCTCCAGTGACCACTGCCTCCAGGTCACATGCCTCCTAAAATGCCCTCAGACAGCACCACCAACTGAGTATCCAAATGCTTGAAACTGCGGGGACCAGCACAGAAATGTAATGATCATGAGGGGCCAGACAGTGACTTTAGCCTAAGGAGGTAAAGATAGGGCAAAAACTCCAGGCAAATGGTGGCCTCAGATTAGGAATACCCTGAGTCTCCCTGAAAGAAAGAGTGGGTATAATACAAATTTCCTAAGCTGCAGTGGGTCTTACATAACATGGAGGGAATAAGAGGAGAGAGAGCTTCTACTAATATATCATAGAGCTCCAAACAGTGAGAGAAAAAAACCTCATGAGGGTCCTGGAGGTCTCTGAGTGAGCCTCACCTGAGTCTGAGCTGAAGGGGAGGGAAGACACTCAGAGAAATAGGCTGTTTGAGGTTCTGGGAGTGGAACACCCTTGACTTTGGGCAGGTAAACCAGGGAGCTAGACCTTGCAATTTGACTGCAATTGGCGGCAAGAGCAAGACTTGATAGGGCCAGTTCTCACAGATTACAGTGGCCATTTATCTTGTAGAGGGTTTTAAGACAGACCCAGTCCAGATGATATGATACTGATGGGGGATGGCCTGCATGCTGTGAATGTGTTTCTCTTATTGGCTGATAATAAATGCTCATTGTCCAATAGCCAGGCAGGAAGTATAGGTGGGGCTACCAGACCAGGAGACTTCTAGAAAGAGAAAAAAATTAGAGCAGGAGTTGAGAAGGAGTCACCAGAGAGACATCATGTAGCTGCTGAGGAAGAAAGAAGTCCAGGTTTCACCAGTGAGCCAAGACTACGTGGAGATACACAGATTAGTAGAAATGGGTTAATAATTAAGAAAGAGCTAGCCAATAAGAAGCCTGAGTCATGGGCCAAACAGTTTATAATGAATAGAAACCTCTGTGCATTTATTTCGGTCTAAATGGCTGCAGGACCGAGCAGGAGAGAAACTTCTGTCAACATGATACTCAGAGACAGACAATGAACCTCTGGACCTAAGAAGAACTCAGTCCGACTGTGCTCACAGTAGCAGACATGGGCTGACCAACTCAGCTACTGTCCAAGCCCAGATCCAGAGCTTTAGTGGGTCCACACAACATTTACTCCATCTGTGACCTGCTGGAGTGTACAAAGGAGCTGATCCTGTAAACCAGATGTCATTGCTGAAGAGGACCAGCCAGCCCCCAGCATGGAGCTGCTGTGGCTCCAGCCTATGCTGCTTGCCCTGCTGGGAGATGGAAATCAAGGGGCACTGGTGCTGCCTGGAGTCTACAAGCACAGAGGGTGAGCCTCAGAGAACCCGACATCGAGGACAGGGAGGTGTGTGGCAGCCTGGAGCTTGATTGGAACCCGCCCCCAGGCCCTCTGCCTAGCCTAAACATCATCCTGACTCTGAGCAGGATATCTGAGAGGAGTCTCAGCAATAGTCCAGTCTTTATGGTGCTTCAGAAACTAGACTCCTTGAACCAGACCAATGACTTGTTGCTGTTCAGTTGGAACCTCCAGCTTGCCCATGCATGATCCAGAAAACCCCATTCCTGTCTCTGTCTCCAAACCCCATTCCCTCAGAGTCTTTGAGCAAAGGAAAGGCGCCAAAAGCCCTGTTGCTCTTTCTTGGTGGCTACTGCAGCTTTCTTCCCTGAAGCTGACAGCCACCAAGTCCCCACTAAAGCACTCAGGTGTTCACCACACTTGGGCACAAACCCAGATTGTGGCAGGCATGTTATTACCCCTCACCTGCAATCTAAAGTCTTCCTGCTCTCAACCTATAAAGTCTCCGTGCCTTCCTTTGTGGGCACAGCTTCTCTGCCCTCTATCTCTGGTACTGGAGAACCCGTCAGAGGCTACTTGGCTCAAATAAACCTGTTAGCTTTTCTCAGTTCAGCTTGATCTGGCTTACTGCGTCAGCAGAGAAACCAGTGGGGGCCGGGGGGGGGGGGGGAGCAGAAAACCTGTTAGTAGCAATGAAGGTTTGCATGTAAAGCTATTTGGGCAAAAAGTGTGTACTGTGTGACACACTGCATTTTCCAGTGCCCTGTGATGAACGTAAAAGTGATGGGGAAGTAGGAAAAAGGAACGGAAGTGAGTGTGCAATGGAGAGAGGCGGGACTGGAGAGGCAACAATGGCGACGTGAGAGAAGGCTGAGGTAGACAGGGAGCGTGCTGTTGCTAAGTAGGGCCGACAGGGTGGGGTGCAGCAGCCTGGAGCTTTCACACTCAGCTCCACCCCCACTCCCCACCCTGAGCATGCTGTCCAGCCAGACAGTCGCCCTGGTTCTGAGCAAGGCCAGGATGCTGGAAATGAAGAACCGGTTCATTTTCTGGATTGGGCCTCTACGAAAGAGCTCTATTGTCCCTGTTGTCTGTGTTGGTGGTCTGTTGCTCCAGTCCATGGTGAAGCCCAAGGTTCATGTGCATCTGTGGTCTGGGCACTAGAGGTCATATGCATGTCCAACCAGGCCAGGTGGACAGTCCGTAGTCTGTGCGACCACAGGAAGCTATATTTGTTATGTCCAGCCTTGTATGTAGTTTCCCAAAGACCACCAAGGAGTCTGAATCCATATGCAAAAGCAAAGAGCCTTTGGCCCCCTCTGTGTGTCTGATGCAGCAATACAAGTTCAGAGGGCCTTGAGCTCAGCTGGGGTAGGGTTTTTATCATAGCAGGTGTTGGGATAAGGGGATTTTTAAGGTTCAGGACCCCTGATTGGCTGACATTCGTCTAGGGGTATCCTGGTGAAAGGGGATAGGTGTGGGTTGAACTAAGGGACATCTGGTGATATCCACAATGGTTGGAATGTTAGGTAAATCCTTTGGAACATTAGGTATGTCCCCCTTGGATGTTGATTGGACTATTCCCGGGTGGTGCCAGTTTGTGGTTTTTCCTGGAACTGGGTGTTGCCTGCCACTTAACCAAAACTCAGGCCTACTCCCTGGCTGGTTTTTGTTAAGCCTATCATGGCAGCAGTGTGGCTAAGCTGCCCCGTGGTCCAGATTGCCACGAGAGGCACACTGATGTGAGTGCCCTGTACTGCTTCCTGAGGCTATGTTCACATCAGCTCATGGTCCATGCTGCCTGCCACCTAGGGACAAGTTGGGACCCATGGTTCTGCTGCAGCCAGGGCCATATTAATGTCCATGACTAGTGTTACCACCATAGACCATGCTGATGTCATGGGCTGGGTTGCCACCGAGGGACATATGGATACACATGGTCTATGCCACCTTCTGAAACTGTGTTGATATTTGTGGGCCATGCTGCCACCAAGGGTCATGGTATGAGTGGCCTGTGCAGGAACCTAAGACCATGTTGATATTCATGGTCCATGCTGCCACTGAGGGCCATGTCCTACTGCAGCTGGGGGCCAGGTTCATGTCTGTGACTTGTGTTACCACCAGAAGCCATATGGATGTCTGTGGTCTGTGCCACTACTGCTGAGGGCCAGGCAGATGTCCATGATTGATGCTACTACCAGGAGCTGAAGGTGGAGTTTAAATGAATCCACCAGACCCAAGATAAATGATAGATAGGTATTTATTAAGGAAACACACAGATAAGAGTAAATAACCACTGAGGTCTTCCTGCTCCAGAAGATGCAGTCTCTGCCCTACCGATGCTCTCTGAAACCCATGAGAGCACAAGCCAGCCCCTCCTCTGTCTGCACCTAAAACCATGCCCAAAGGGTGTGACCACCACTACAAGTTCACTGGCAAGGTAAGATGCCACTACAGGGAGCCATGTTGGGGTCTGTGGTAGTTTAAAAGAAAATGGCCCCCAAAGGGAGGTGTGGCCTTGGAGGAAGTATGGCACTG